AAGCAGGGCGTATGTCGGCGAGACGTTGATTGCATTACCTTCACCAGCAATTTAGTCGGATGACTGTTTTAGGAAAAGTTTAAAGAGTAAGGAGGAGGACCCGTTGGACATTCTTGCCTTGCCATAAAAAAAGCAAGACAAGGCCACAAAAATCGTAAAAAAACACACATGCATGCATCCATGCAGTTTTGTGTTACATACAACAACCACTAAAGTAAAAGCGAGTCAGGATTTTCTCTTTTAGACGACAACAAAACAAAGCAAAAAAGAAGAAGTTTCTTCTGGCTTGGCTGAGAGACGTTGTTTGTAATGGAATATGTGTATATCTATTTAGAAAGGGGTCCGTTTTCTACTTTCACCCGGCCGAGGTTTCTCATTCAAGTCCACCCACCCACCAACCAGGTCCCCATTCTTCCAGTTTCCCATGTGGACGTGGGTGCATGTGTGTGTCGTATTTCGTAAGACGTGATTGATTTTCCGCTCCAATTATTCCGTTGGATGATCTTGTAAATCACATCTGCATCTTTTCCTTTGAAGTCAGGCCAGAATTTTTATCAGTTCTGAAAGGAGAAAGTGACGCATTTATGTCCACGGACGTATGTACATACATACATATTCTTCATATAAATAGTTGCACGCAGCCGGGTGGGTGAGGCATGATCCTACCATCACGCTGCTAGTGAGGGGTGAGGAACACAATGACCGCGGAAAGGGTTCTGGAGACATTAACATTGTAGGATAGGGGAGGGACGGGTTTATATAAGATGGGGAGACGATGGGGAATTGATCAACCTTGGGGACATTGTCCCTCTGTCCCCTCAAGCTTCCGCGGCCACTGAATATAAGACGGACGCATACATATAAGCAGTGGCCGCGGAAGCCGTGTAGGCATCTGAGGACATTAACATTGTAGGATAGGGGAGGCCCGGGTTTATATAAGATGATGCCGACATCGAACAACCATGTAGACATTGTCCCTCTGTCCATTCCGCGGCCACTGGCTGAGCATATGGTGAAAGTAATGGGTGGATGGATGAAGAGGCACGAGAAGAAGAAGAAGAAGAACCAAGTTAGTTGTGCGGGCCGGAGAGAAAGCGACCTGGTTTTTGCTGAATAGAGACCCATGCAGCTCCAACTTACCCAGTTGAGTGAGTGAGTAGTGGAGAAATCTCTTTGTTTGTGCTTCAGTTTGACCCGTAGTCTTGATGGATGGGATGAGTTCAGAAAATTAACTATTAAATACTGCTCCTCTCTTCCTGAGCCGTGAAAAACGATCTGTTGGGACGCCAGCATATGCTTCCCTCTCCTCATGAATCTATGCTAATTTACACCTAACCAACTTTACTACCAGGCAGGAACAACCAACCTATAGCTTACTTATTTTGAGAGACGACGGCCCAAAGCATGCAGTTGTTGTGCAACATCATCAGCAAACCTAAGCCTTTCCTCTCCTAAGCCCATGGATGGACGGACCGAGAAGAAAATGGGAATCCTACTCTATCTCTGCTTTTCAGGGCGGCTGTTATGCAATCCACGGTGAGTAGTGAAAGTAGTTGTTGTTCTTCTTCTTGCTCCCGGTTTAGCCTGGCTTTCTCTCTCTCGTAGAGCACATTACACACATCTCTGTGGGGCTGTTGGTCCTGGTATGCAAAGAGAAAGTAGTAGTAGTCGTGGTGGTGGTGGTGGTGGTGGTATTACATTCCCCTCGTTTCACTTTAGTTATGGCTCGCCAGAAACAACAGGGCTTGGATTAATCACTTTATATGGGGCTTCTTAATATGCATCTTTATGACTGAGCAAGAATCTGGGTTGTTACTTTACTTTACTTACATGGCTATATTCTCTGGCCGACCGACCGACTATTACAAACAGCAGAAGCAGAGCGTTTTGTGTCTGATTCATTCGCTTTCTCTTTTTCTCAGATTCGGAGAAAGAAACATTCCGCACAACTGCCAGCTTGACTTGAGTGGATTCATTCGCTTCTTCCTCCACATAACGGAGAGAGAGAGAAAGCGAACTATGTACGACTCACTGTTGTGCAACTCTCTCTCTCTTCTTCTGATAAGCTCGCTTTATTTTTATCGCTTTGTTCATTTCCCGGCAATCCGACTTCTTAGAGAGAGAAGATTTTGTGGTGAAATTGTGGCAATGCGGAACTTCTTCTTATCCAAATTGGAGCAACTATTTCACCAACAATTATCAGGAAAGTGAAACTATCGGGAGCGTGGTTTCCTATTTGGGAGCGAGAAAGTTGGACTGGTTTTTCTTATATATCTAACCAACCAACCTCTCCTGCTTATCTTAACCTTATCGATGCAGCACATGTCAGATAACATACATACATAGCAACAGGTAAGTATTATTCCACTCCTCTAAAAAATTCGGACCGTCCGAGTATTTTGCGAAATTATTGACCACCACGATATAAAAAATGATGATATTGGTAGGTCTAGGGGGAAGCAGTTCAAGGAGGCGGAGATGAATTAGACATCCTTCTTCCTCTTCCTCCTCTCCCGTGAACATGAATAATTCACGAGCACCTCACCACCACCGTCGACGAGAGAAAGAGAAAGTTATGCTTTGAGTAGCACGAAGAAAAAGACGATGCGATGCGAACGGTCATGTTTGTATTTATTTATCGACAGCGTGAAGAGAAAGCGAGCGAGGGGAGCACGTCCGACCAGACCAGGAAAGAGAGGAAAGTTTAAAAGATGTAGTTGATTGAATTTCTGAAGCACCATTCCTATAACAAGTGGTGAATGGTGTGGAAGAGATAGCAGGCAGAGAAAACTGGTGGCAGAACGAACGAGTGGAGAAAAGTATGTGGGGAAAGTTACCTTGTTTTCTTTACTGTTGTCTATTATTATTGAATCCCCTGAGCGAGGAGAAAGTCGTCTCAGCTTTCTCTTCTTCTTTTTGGCTCCTCTTTTTCCTGCTCCTTGTCATAATACGGGAGAAGAGATGTCCATCCGTGGAGGGACGATTTGGCAGAGTGAGGTGAGGAGATGATCGTGGTGGTGATGGGGACGATGGGTGCTTATCTGCCTAGCGTTTTATAGGTATGCATACATGGAAAAGAGAGAGAGAGGAATTGTGGATGTGGTGATACAATGGATTGGAGTTTGACAGTATATTTTTTTAAACAAGCCAGGAAATCAGGGGTGGGAGGAACACTCAATTTCTGAGAAAACATTCGGCCCAGGTCGGACGGGAAGTTTTGGATCAATTCTATAACTAGATGAGAAACTGAATAATATTGCCTCGCTTTCTCTCTCTTGTCCTTTACCTTTTGAAGAGAAAGTAAATAAGAATAAGAACCGGTGGCAGCAGGAGTGGCAGCAAAATGCCAGTCAAAGTAGTCCTTCTGATGTGACTATAAAATCCAATCTGAAGAATTTGGACGTCTCCTTTCCAATGCATATCTGCTAGTGCAGAGTTACGAATTCCCAAATGGGATCCTTCGCTGCCTACTTTCTCTCTGCTCCCACCATCAAACTTTCTCTTTCTCTGCCTGGTTTGCTCATTCAGTCCTCCAAATCTGTTTGGTCAACCTGAAATATGAACAAGGGAGTCTTAATATGCGACCAGCCAACGGACCAACCCTGCTCTTTGCCTGGCTGGCTGGCTGGCTGTTCAACAGTTCTCCCGTCTGTTACCTTGTCACATTTCGGGAGAAATACGGGGCTGCGAGATTGTAAAATCTGGAGAGGACCCATACCTCGATTTTTTTTACTACTGCTAACCTTCACTTGATCCCTCGTCACTAACTCAGGCTGGCTGGCTGAGAAGGAGGAGGCCGGGGTGGGGACGAGAGACCTGGGAGAAAATCGGAAGTAGGCTCATCCTGGTCGGTGGGTGGGAGAAGATGGTCACATTATTGTCAAGAAGGACCTAGATGCATGCATATGTAAATAGTGGTGGTTGGTTGGTCCTATTGGTGCCGTTGGAGGGGCAAGATGAATTACCGGAAATTACCCGTAGCCAGACTTGACATCCTTTGATTCATCACTTTCCGGCTTGTATTTCCATGCATCAGTTTATTTTCGAGGACGAGGACGAGCAGCAACATCACCTCCATCTCTCCCGTCCTCTTACACAGTTCGTCACATCTCTCCAACTCCGGAACCAATTACTCGAGTTTCAGAGTCCTTTCCAAATTTCAAATTCTCCAAACTAAATTACCCGGAACATCGATTTGCCTAAAATGAACGGTCTCTCTCGCTCGTCCACCAGCCACCAGCCGGGAGAGAAAGCAGCAGGAAGCAGGCAGGGTGGTGGTGCAACTATTTGTTTAAACTCTCCCAGTCACCACTTGTTCTCAAAAACTGTCTTACTAACTACGTACGTACTCGCCCGGCAGCAAAGTGTCTGTCAATCTCTCGGCTCTCTCTCCTGGTCGGACCAACTTTCTCCCAAAAAAATAACTCTCACCAACCAACCAACAACCGCCAGAGCACTTCTACTTCTGCTTATCAATCAAGTCGCCCACCAACCCGGCAACCAACCAGCGGAGTAACCAAACTTCATCAAATAGTCTGGTGGGATAACTAATGAGTGTAAATTCCTCGCAACTCTACAAGCTGTTACCATCCCCCACTTTTTGTCCCGTACGTACGTATAGACGTACGTATGTACCTAATCTGAGAGAGAGACTGATCCACAAAGTTTGGGCGTTTCGAACCGTTTAAAATGGAGTTAAAAATTGGAATTTTCTTGGACCATGAGGTTCATGACGCAAGAAGCGTAAGAAAATGAATGAAATGCTTCAAAAATTTGCAAATTAAAAATATTTACCGTTTAAAATCCATTTAAAAATTCAAATTTTCTTAAATCACTTGGTTTACATGACGTAAATAAGTACTAATTTTGCTACCAAAATTTTTTACGGTTTTCAAGTTAAAAAATAAAATCCATTTAAAAATTCGAATTTTCTTAAACCACTCGTTTCATGAAGTAATAAGCGTAATGAACTCAATGAATTACTACCAAAAATTTGCACGTTTGTTTCCAGTTAATAATATTTTCATATGATTTATTTCTCAACATAATTAATAATTAACAATAAATATAAACTTTAACAATATAATATTTGGCATAGTTTAGCATCGTTTTCAGTTGTATTTCAATACTGCTTGGAGAAGAAATAACGGTGTGTGTACATGTGTATGTATGTATGAATTTATATAGTCAATTTGTATTTATGTGTATGTAAGTAAGTAAGGAGTGCATAGCATCATAAAGCTCACGTGGCCGTGGCATGTGGTAGTTCAACGTGATTCCAGGAAATATTTATGTATTTACGATGGCGATACTCATTTTCTACGTGACACGATATATTTATGTACATAGATATTTGACGAAATATAGTATGGAAGTAGATCAAGGGTAAATTTCTTGTCTTGTTTTACATATGCATATATAGAAGAGAGTATATTTTATTATGGAATATAATGTGGTGCCTTTTAAGTGAGAGAAATTAATTAATCATAAATACACTAAATATTTTTGACATGCTTTTTCCCCTTAATTCGTTCAAATTCTAGTGGCTACAATACACACTTTGTGATATATGTAAATACACACGTGACAAGATTTGCATACGTACTTTTGCCTGACAACTTTCTCCATTCCGATATTTTCTCGATCCTATTCCGCATTTTCGGTGTGTGTAATTCAGTTTTGGGACACGGAGAAGGGAGAAAGTTTGGTGGTGGATTATTTATTATTATTTTTTGTAGTTTTAAGTACGCCTTATTAGAGACTTACGTAACACGAAAGGGTGGGTGGTGCAGTCAGTTGACCAATATTAAGAATAATAATGATCCATATTTTTGTGGTCCTCGGAATAATCTACTAAATCCATGTATGTATATAGAGAGCTACATTTTCTTTCGGGGTAAGATAAGAACACATGGTTCGTGCAAAAGAGATAGGTCTTTGTGCATTTTAAACATGGTAATTCTACCCAGGGAGAAAGTTGATGGGGTGAAAGTATCAGAGAAAAGTATGACAACGACCAGTTGCAGGGCGCTCTACGTCTAAGTCTACTAAATGCCTTCTCACGAGTGATGAACTGCAAATGGAGTGGAGAGGAATCCTGCTGGCGATTAATCCAATAAAATAAATGCCAAGCCTGAATCGTCGCGTCATTGTGGGGTCAATTGGCTGAGGAGAAGAAGAAGAGAGCAAGTTTTTTTTCGAGTACTTTTTTTCCGTGAGTCATTTGGTCGTCGGGAAAAAGAGGGAATGATACATTGGAAGAGTTGAGGAGGCTTTCTTCTTTTTTTTGAGAGAGCGCACATTCCATTCGTTGAAGAAACCACGTAATAAAAAAATAACGAGACTCATAATTTTATCTGCCTTCAAATTAAGCAGAGCAGCAGAAACCAACAACAGGTTGGTTTTTGTGTGGTATCTTTTCTTCTTTTTTGTTGGTTCTTTGATGGTAATGAGTCCGTTTTAGTAGTAACCTCGATTTTTTTCCTACTTTCACTGATCTATCGACTCGTACGACTCCTCGTCCAGGTTATGCAGCCAGTTGAAGATCATCATATTCCGTTCAAACTTGGAGAGGGGGCGACCCCTCTCTCGCTCGACGTCTTTCAACGAAAGTGGGAGTTCCTTGGCAGGTTTTTTCTTCGTGGGGAGCTTGAGAGCGTCCAATTCAGCCTTTGCGACTTGAATGGGAGGAATATTCCCACCCCCACCCGGGCCCCCGGCGAGACTTAGCGAATTCATGGAAACGACGACGGGTAGTTTTTCGAGGTCAAAGTTGCTCTGGGCCATCCGTTCCAGGGCGCGGTACGCGACGAGGAGTCGTTTTCGGATGTAGAGTTGGCGAATTTTCTTGTTCACGGAGCGGATGAGGTCGGCCGGCGTGAAGGAGCCGCCGTTCGGTCGGGCCATGCGACCTTGGGGGGAGGGTAGCTGGGAGGTGGAAGAAACGTCCCCGACCGCCACCCAGGTCGAGCAGGAGCGCGACGTGGGGCCGAAATGGGTGCGAAATATGGCGTCGCTACATCGTACGGAGGACAAGTCCATTTCTGAGCTTGATTTTCGAACAGCGGCAACTTGGTCAGGGTCCGGGGGCAGGGTGGAACTTATGTCGGTTGTGGAGAAGGATTTTGGCAGACCGAGGAATTTAAACAGGGCGCCAAAGTTTTTGATGAGATCGTTTTCCTCTTCGCCCCATAGGTCTTGGGATTTGAGAGACTCGCCGGGATTGGGGACGGTGAGTCGGTGCCGCCCGTCGGGGATGGGGGAGGGGATTCGCATAAAAGGGCCCAGGCTGGAGAGGGAGAGGAGAGAGATTTCGGTGGAGATGGATTCATGACTGGGCGAGCGGAGGATGCGGTTGGAGGCATTCTGAAAAGAGATAAGAGAGAAAGTGGGGGAGAGTAGAGGTTTAGGTAAGGTTTTTGGAGGGGGGGTTGTTTGGGGGTTAATTTGACACAGGTTGTGTCAGTTTATACGAATTTTTAAAAAATTAAAAAACTCCAAACTTTCTCCCGACCGTCCGGAGAAATCGCAAAATTTACGCTATATTCTTGACGTTATCAAGAGTTACAAATTAAAAATAGAGTGATTTTACGATTTCTCCGGACGGTCGGGAGAAAGTCCGGAGTTTTTTAATTTAAAAAAAATTCGTCAAAGCTGAACACAACTTGTATTACCATCGAATTAATCCCCAAGCAACCCCCCCCCCCTTTGCCTCCCCAGTTCGAAAACCTTGAGATTTAGTAACAATAAGTCCAGAGTTATCATGCACATTTATGAGAACTAGAAGGGTCCCACATCACATCACACCTTGACCTTAATGGGCATGCATTAGAAGAAGAAAAGGGTGCCCGAATGAATCACTTAGGAGAAAGTAGTATTAATATAAGTTGCTCGATTTACCGTGAAAAAATCCCGTCTCTCTATTTCCACCCTTTTTGCATGCCTCGCAACTTTTTTCTTCTCTCCCGATCAGAGAAAGTTGCCGTATTTAGCCGTGTTTATCCAGTCACAAGTTTACCGTTACTCATAACCGCTCTTACTTTCTCCCCCACTCCCACACACCCAACCCAGCAGAGCTCCTACATACATGCATAAGTACATTACCTAAGAGAAAATCGGCTCAGAGAAGAAGAAAATCGGGTAAAAAATCGTCTAAAAAAATCCGCTCAGAGAATCGGGATAAATATAATAATACCATCTTCTTCATGCATGGAACTTATTGTCCTCCAAAGTCTGAGGGCACCATTGTGCCGGGAATGAATGAATGGGAAACATTTTTGGAAATGTGTTGAGTGCAAATCTCCCCAAAATACGCAGGGATGCGATCCTGGCATCTCATTTGTGTAGATGCAGTGGCCGCGGAAGCTGTGGGGACATCTGGGGACGTTAACATTGTAGGATAAGGGGCTTATATAAGATGGGAAGATGATATGGACATCGAATAACCGTGGGGGACATTGGCCCTCTGTCCACTCAAGCGTCCGTGGCCACTGAATATAAGACGGATGCATATATATAAGCAGTGGCCGCAGAAGCCGTGGGGACATTAACATTTTAGGAAAGGGGAGGGCCAGGTTTTTAAGTATAAGATGCCGACATCAAACAACCGTGGGGACATTGTCCCTCTGTCCCCACCCCCCCCCCCTTTCCGCGGCCACTGCATCCTACATAAACCATACTACGTCCACCTACCTGGATGTGTATCAGTGGTTTTTCTTGTGACATGTTTCTCGAGCAGTAATGAATGACAGGAGGAGCAGCAGCAGCATCAGCCAAGCCACCAGCCACAATCGCACGTTGGTTGGTTGCACGTTACTACCCGTTCCCCATCCGTTTCTCCATCTGAAAGTCAAATTACGAATGAATTTAGCTCTCCGCTACCTTTCAACTCGGTGGAAGGAAGGAATTCTGATTTTAAAAGTCTCTCAAAATCGTCTCTCTCTCTCGGCTTCTTGATTGCCATGCAGCTTCACATCAGAGATTTCCGTGGTTTTCCAGAGTGCCGTGATGGTGACAAAGGAAAGCAATCAACGAGTCGATTGGATACTGATGAATGGGTCCAATCAAAACTGAGACGCTTTTTACTCTACATTTTACTCTAACCTAAAGCGCAGGCAGGCAGCATTGAATTTTCTTTCTCGGACCGATTGTTCCACTCCTTGCAGGATGGGAACATTAAAATTGAGACGGCGGAGAAAACAATTATTATGAGAAATTCAAGTAGGTTCTAAATGATGGAGGTCTCCCAAGGTATGTTCAGAAATTTTGACTCAATTAGTGTCAGAAATTTAATTAAGATGAAATTTGCGACAGACACGATCTCCCAATGGGCACATTTGGCCGAGATATTTGCATCCGAAGAGGAGAAAACGCGCAGTAAATTTAGAAAGTGTAAAATTTATCGACTTTACTGCACACTTTCTCCTCTTCGGATGCAAATATCTCTGCCAAACATGCCCATTGGGAAATCGTGTCTTTCGCAAATTTCATACTAATCAAGTTTGTCATAAATTTATATTATTTTGCGCAAAATCTGATCGCATCCGCTCGTCCACCTCCCTCGTAAACGATGCAGTTACACAAAACCTTCCACATATTTCACTTGCACTGCACGCTCCCCAATTTTTCTGCACCTGAATAATAATAATCTGGAATCTTTCAACAAAACGGTTTTATTCTTCTCCTCGTACCACACCCCGCACAAAAATATGCTCCCCGTACAAACTATGGGGGAAAAGTAGCCAAGAGAAAATGTAGAGTAAAGAAGAAAAAAAACGTGAGCGAATTATTTTGCCCTCGGTGTAATAAATCTTTGCAAGTTTTCCTTCAATTGCTTTTATTTGAGAGAAGAATGGTTTCACTTCACGTATCCGCGGCTGGATTGAGAACATTTAAATGTTTCAAATAGGTTCGCATTTCCTTTTCTGGATCATAAAATACTTGAGTTTCAAATATCACGAGTGATCATGCAAGATTGCGTCAGAGAGGGAAAATAACAGAGAGGCAGAGGGGAAAGGAGGTGGATCATTTTTGTAAAGGACGACTCGGTCCTGGGAATAATTGGGTTGAAATGGAGACGTTTTCTTGTATGGGGATCACAAAATGTTGGCCGTCATGCAGGCCCACCAGGCGCCGCGGGACAATGTCCCCACGGTTGTTCGATGTCGGCATCATCTGCCATCGTACATAAACCCGGCACTCCCCAGTGTTAATGCCCCCAGATGTCCCCCCACCTTCCGCGGCCACTAGTCCTACCTACGTACGTATGTACTTATCTATATCCCTGCATATATTCGCAACTATTGCGAAAATAAGTATCCAGTTTCATCTCTCCGCGAAATAATATGTATGTACATATAAGGTAAATAAATTTAAGGTTAAGTCAGCACTAGTGATCCTTTTTAACGTCACTGCGTACAGTATGTATGTTGACGTGAAATTTCCTCCCATTTTTTTTTGCCTGGCTTTTTACACCACAACCACCGCAACAACAACACCGACTAAAACGACGACAGCTCTTCTGCCGAAACTTTCAACCCCATTCGGCATAATCGTTATTGCTTTTCAAGACAAGACCATGCTCCTCATGGTACATAAGGTTTTATTCATTTTTAACAGCACGGGCTTGACTCGTGGGCACGAAGAAGCGGGTTTTATTACCACGCAGGATGGATGGATTGGATGACAATAGCGATGATTCTAATGAGACGACGAGGAAGAACAATGGAGTGGGTGGCATGGTGGCTTCATGATGATGATTTGAGACCGTGCATGGCGTCATTAAAATTCGGATTAAAGTTGACCTTATTTTGTGATGTGGTGCAAAAAAAACAACCAAGAGATCCCGTACCATTTGGCAAAGGCACCTGGTTCTGGAGCGAGTTTATAGGTATGTAGATAAGTACACTTGATAAGGGTAATGTAGTAATAACGTATTAATTGAGAGGCACACAAGATTGTAAATTTGTGGGGGTAATGAACATCGCTTTTATTGCCGGGGTCTCATCATCTCGCTTGTCATCATGGTTTATTATTGTTGTGTAGATGCGACATAATTCTGAGACGACGAATGGAATGGAATGAAATGAAATCAGAGAGTTTGCAATTTCGTGATTATTATGAACCCACATAAAGTTTTATTATCTGGCTGTTTGGCAACTTGTCGGTTACATGGGGTATCACTTTGTACATCTTTATAAGGCTGTTGACAAGATGGTGAATGGTGATGATGATGCGTATATAATTTAACCCGAGTCGTAAGTACTGGGGTGTAGTGTACTAACTAATTTAATTGCGCACAGTTGTAATCATGATGGAAACCAGATTTTGGAGAAGGAGAATCAGCAAATTGGACTTAATTTGGGGCAAAAATAGGTTTAATTTCCCTAAGTCAGTGGAGCAGATTAATTCCCAAATATCCATTAATTAACGCGGTGTGTAATTTGAAAAGGGACATTCCTCCCCTCAAACCCTTTGATGCGAAAGTATGCAATGCATCGAAATATCTCCGGATTAGATTTCTATATCTAAAATTTCATTGATCTTTTTCACCACGTGAGATGAAAGACAATAGTTTCACGGGTACTTTTTGAACCTCCTGTTGAACCAAACCTCCACCTCCACCCACCCAGCGCAAAACCACACTTTTACAACACCTGCTGCTGCTCCGAGGGCTTTGTTAATAAAACGTGCGGTTTTCCAGGCGCAGGTTGTTGTTAAAGAAATCTTTTTATCAAAGTTTTCCAGTTAATCTCAACAATCATCATACGCCAGAAAATCCAATATCATGCCCTACTCGCTATACCGTATTGATTTTTTTCGCAAATTAATTCCACCTGGACAGCCGGTGATCAACTTTTACGTGGGCGGCGGCGGCGGCGGAAGAAGAAGGAATGGTATAATTCTGAATCTTAATCTCGTCATAAAAAAAGAGTATTATTTCCGGCCTGGATGTACACATGGACTGATTGATTACTACCATATGCAGAGAGCAAATTGGTTCCCAGTAAATTATTAGGATGCGCCGGGGAAGATATCGGTTTTATTGGGGGAGCTACGTACATACACTACTACCGCTTCGTAATTGGGTATAAAAAGAGAAAGAAAGGGAGGAAAAACTAGGTGGAAAATTGCCAAGATATAAAATCTTACCATGACAAGAAGAAAGCAGTTTGTCGGATGCAGACTTGTCCTTGCACAACAGGCCTGCTACACATGACGGCACTTAAGAAGTCCTTTTCCTGCAGAAATCACTCGTCGTCTTCTCAAATATGGATATGAATGAATTCAATCAAAATTTTGGAAGAGTTGGTAAGTAAACAGGCGATGTTGGCAATAATGTTGTTAATTGAGAGGAGCGGAGAAATGTTCGGTGTTTGCGATGCGAGCACCCCGTCAATGGCTCTCGTGCCCTCTCCGCCTGTCCGCGCATCGGGGAGATCGATAGCTCCAGTGACTTTCTCCTGCCCGCTGCCACCACCACCACCACCACCACGGCTGCTGCTTTCACCTTCATTTCACCATCACCCGCCGAAAAAGGTCTGTCCATACCCTCTCCTCTCCTCCTCCATTCCTCCCACCACCACCACCACGGCCACCAAAAGTATGTATCTCGATACCTCTCCAGGATTCGAACCCCACCAAATTTTAATGTCGTAAATGACGATAATATTATTATCATCCCATGTTTTACGACCCAACATAATCAGAGGACGGGAAAAATGATGCCTGACTTTAAAAAAAATTATTCCTCCTGCAGGTCCGACCCAAAGACGGGATCTGCCTCCAGCGAAGGGTGACTAAGTTTAAATTTATGTTGGTTTAAATAAATGCCCGCAGATCTGTCATCGCGACGAGTGGGAATTGTTGGTTGAGGTCAATGGTTCCTCTTCTGTTCGCAAGTACTGCTGCGGGATAATAATGTAATGGTCGTTATAATGCCCTTCCTCTTATTACATCGTTATTATTGCGCTATTTGGGAGCTAAGAGGGAAATAAAATAACCATGATTTCAGCCCTGGCTCGATCTCTCATCCTCATATCAATGAAATGCATGCAGCATGGAATGGATGGATGGATGGATGGATGGTCGGCGTGTGTATGTAGTTTCAGCCACGAGTATGTAATTCATGAGAGGAGAGGACCATGAAAATTTATAAACTGGGCCTAAAAAAAGTATGAGTTGGTTGGTCGGCAGTAAAAATGTAATTACATTCGGTTCTGTACACAGTGGAGGAGATGATGATTGACGTATGTATGAATTGCAGTTCGACCGACATAAGTTCGCCAGGGTGGATTAACTACTTATTTAAGTATGAAGTCGTAATTTAGCACCAATATTCGTCACCATTTTTTTGGTAATCAGAAGACTCGTGGGGGTGATTAGGTTGAACATTTGAGATTTTTTTTAGTTGAGAATAATGTTAATGGGCATCATTCATTTTGAGTGCGAATTGTTTGCATGGATTAAAAAAGGAGGTGGTGGATTTATTATTGGGATGAGAATAAGAATAGGATAAGTAAGATGATGAATCGAGGAGATGGTGATGCTCAGTGGCCGCGGAAGCTTGAGGGGACAGAGGGACAATGTCCCCACGGATATTTGATGTCCACTTCATCTGACCATGTTATACAAACCTTATCCTACAATGTTACTGTCCCCAATTGTCCCCACGGCTTCCGCGGCCACTGATTGATAATGCTGGTAATGAATTCCACATTAATTTTTGCACTATGTATATCACCCAAATTCTGTCTTTTAAGCTTGACCAAGCAGACGGGGGAGGGAAGGAAGCTGATATTGATATGACTGCAGATGATATGACTGGTGACCTTTTTTTCCACTACATAATATGTCAATTCAATGCGATGTCATTATTTATTATTCATCTCAATCTCAAGTTCAGATTTGCGAATATAGTCGCAAACCAAACCACCACCAGACAATTTTTCTTTCTTTCTTCACCATTTATTAATCTATTCTACATTTCGTTCCAAACAGAGTAACAAGTTCATCGGTGTACACATTTTTTCACCTAAAAACTATTAAATAAAATGGTCTCGAAATTGTGGTGCAAGTTTATCTGTTTACCAATCTATTTATCCCTCCTCGTCCCCCACACGGAGAGTCAACAAGCCCGAAATAGTCAATGGTTTGAGGACACAATCGACGAATTTTTACGAAACGCTCAAAACAACGATGAGGCGACGGACATTCAAGTGTCAACGTGTAAAATATCGAGTCAGCAGCTCGTCGCCACGGCGCAAGCGACAGCTGCCAGGGTGTTGAAAGGAGTATGCAATCCGCGTAAGTGTACTGTAATTTTGTTCTGTGCTTTGTTTGATCTGTCGTCGTCGTCGTCGTGCTCTGTGTAATTTTAAAGTTTCCTTTTTGGAGAGAGAGAGGAGAGAATAGAAGGTTTGGCGAGAGAGTTATGTAAAGGAAAAGTTATCAGTTTTGTCCTAATTGAAAGTTTGGGATGAAATGGAATGATGAATGGATGGAGATATGTGTGTCATGGCTAGTTGGTTGGTTGGTTGGTTGCATGTCGATTCATAAGGTTGGATATCATTATTATTTTGTGATTATTAATATAAATACTTATGATATATATTTATCGTGTTTCCATTCAGTGGGTGGGTGGCTGGGATGTAATCATAATAATAATAATTGTTATTATTATTATGAAGCTATATTGAGAAAGAGAGATCCAGAGTCGAGTTGTTCTTGTACTAGTTGATCCATCTCACTTGATCAGTGGCCGCGGAAGCTGTGGGGACATGGGGGGGCATTAATATTGTAGGATGGGGGAGGGATGGGTTTGTATAAGATGGGGAGATGGTGAGGATGTCCGTGGGGACATGTCCCTCTGTTTCCGCGGCCACTGGTAGGCCTGCAAATAATACGAGAATGGAGACAGACAGACAAGTTCGCAATTGACAATTGACACTCTGCTGCCTTTTGAGGAAAAATGGCAATCGTCGTAGTCGTCGTCTAGTCGAAAGACTCGTTTGTTTGGTCTCTCTCTCTCTCCTGTTGTTGTCCATTTTATGGAGAGAGAGAGAGATTGGACTGAAAAGGGGAGTGAGTGAGCAGTCAGTCATCCACCATGCACCATTTAAGAAATTAGTAGCCTGATAAGATCACGTAGCGAGGCAATGAAACTGCTGGCAATGAAAGTTTTGGCAATATTGGGAGCCTGCTGCTTTTGGGACATGATGGGGAAAATTGTTATGCTTTTCATGCACATGCTATAGGAATGGGTGATCATGGGAGTGACATGTCTCAGATAGATCGCTGGCTCATTGAACTGCCTGGTGCGGAATTGCTAATAACTTGATGAGACAGAGTGAGAGAGTGAAGGTCGGGTGAGCAGCGTGGGGTGAAATGGTCACGTCCCCCACTTCCCCCAGAGTCCGGCTTAATTATCTTCGACGACGACATACACTGTTCCGATGAGATGATCATCATCATTGCGTTGCGACACTGGTGGTGGATCATATTGATGGATGAGTGGATAAGGAGGGGTCCGATTAAAAAAGGCAGACTTTGAGATTCCAGAGAGGTTTTGGGTTCATTGGGTTTCTTAGAAAAATATGAGGCCAGCGTTGTTACTTTAGTTATTAATTTAGTTTGTAATTACTGCTTTTATAGTAAATAATCCCCCCCTTTTAATCATCTTGGTCTGGTCCGCAGAGGAGATGGCGAATCGTTTTGAAGACCTGGAACGCGACTTGGGAACTCGCCTCACATCTTTGACAAACCTTTTGGTAAGCGTCGAGGCCAAGTTGGTGGAACAAGAGCAGGAGATTAAGCGAAACCATCGCCGCATGATGAGTGTTTTGGGCGGAATGAAGAAATCAGAAGTTGAAGGAGGAAGAGGTAGCTCATCCTCTGATAATTCAGAGTACAGAGCGGAGGAAGTGATCGGAGAGGGAGAGGAGAGTATCAACAGTTCATCCGGCTCCGAGGTGGTGGTGACGGGATCCACTTCCTCTTCCACCACCACGAGTACCACCACCACCACCGACAGAACAAAGAGCATTCTCCCCACCAATCCTTACGGTGGACCCCGTTCCGATGAAATGATCAAGTACAACTCGACCGTCCACATTGAGAATGGGCGGCGAGTCTTCTCCTACTACTGGGTCGTTCCAGGGATGACGTACAAGCTGAGTAGTTGGGGTCAGAAGCGGGTCCTCCGATCCAATAGCTTTTACATATTCCCCCGCGGCTACCGTATGTACCTCAAGATCATTCCACGCTACTCCACCAGCACGATGTACATCCACGTCGGGATCACGCGGGGAGACTATGATGAGACTTTGGAATGGCCATTCTCCTACAAGATGAGAGTTCAAGTGCTCGACCAGAATGAATCTAAATCAAGAGCTCAGGATTTGAAATCAAGAATATGGGACCCAAAGGAGTTGTGTTCAGCCACAAACTGGCGCAAACCTCTGAGCGCGGATAACGACGGTATATCCACATTTATGTCCACCTCCTCCAAAAAATTCCTACCTACTCCACCTTTACCTCTCCCAACTTTGTCGTCCACTGACTGTCCAAGTGGCAAATGATTCTGCGAGAGGCGGAGGGAAAAGGATGCATAATGGATGGGGCTGGACAGTTGCGGAGAAACTTTTATGACGCCACAATATGTCTCACTCTGATTTCCCACCTTGTCACCCAACATAAATCTCACGGTTATTTTTCATTTCATTCCACAGAATGCGTCGGGCTAGGCTTCCCACATGATGTGATTCAGACGCCGGACTACATCTGGAATGATAGGATCGCAGTCAAACTCACGGTCCACTTGGATTAACGAATTGACGAGGAGACGTGGCCCATTTTAAAATAAATTCCTCTCCTAAATTGGCCACCTCATTTTTTAGAGACGACGGACGCCTAACACAGCACTTGACCTAATTGTTCTTCTTCTACTTGTCCTCCTTTTTGCCTACTTTTATACGTATCGTATAATATTTTATTTCTCTCCCTCCCTTTACGAGACTGGATCGAGTTGGTGGACAGCGGCGACGGTGGAGAGGATTCATGCCACCTATTGTTTTTGATGATGATTTCCTTTAAGAGCAAGCTTGTACGAATTCCTCTGATTCGAATGAGTAATAAATTATCACCCATTTTGTCATATATCGTCGTTGTTATCCGGATTATGCCATCGCCACTTCTTACCTCCTCCTACTTACTCTGCATATTTTCGAGATAAATGTAGATCTAGGGCGATGATTACAACATTTCATGTCGAGATATTTTCTCCTCTGCGTAATCGCCATAATGGGTGATTGATCCGTTCGTCTAAAATCTGGCTCTGTCTGCCTGCACCTGAAGAGGAGGAGACCCACACATCGTCGTCACACACCATTAGAGTCATTTATCCACAATTCAGTGCAGTCGTGAAAAGCAAAAGGAATGTCGATGGATGAATGACTGACGACGAAGTAGGAAGTAGGAAAGAAAAAAAGAAGTCGGGGCGATATAATATTTCCATTGGAGAAGAAGAAGATGATAAGTTTATATGCTCACAAAAAGTGGCTGCGTCCCACGAGGAGCAGAATTTTTATTTGAGTGGAAATTGCAGGGGAAAAAATGTGGCGTGGTGGCCTTTTCACTGCCAAACGTACGTACGTAGTAAGTATTTACTCGCAGAAGAAGGAGAGCAGTATGAGTGTAGGAAGAAAAGAGTTTTTTTTCTCATCTTGTGTCATTATATCATGATGCCGGTGGGGGTAATAATAAATGCTTTCTGATCAGACATCTCTTTCACTCAATTTATTATATCATCATCGTGCTCAATTGAGACGCAAAGAAAGAGAAATTGGAACGAATTATGCTCTGTCTTGGATCATCATCTTTCTTCAAATCTACTCCCCTTATGCTGGCCGTACGGAGTATGAGCCAAATACCTGAGGTCTAGCTCAACAGGCAGACTTGACTGGGTGAAAGGAAGGTCTAACTAGTTTGCTTTCACCAACCACTACTGACGGTTCCCTAATTCTCTCTTTCTTCCAGATGCTGCAGAGTGGAGTGGAGTTGCAGCTCTAAATGGGCGAGAGAACATGGAAAAAGCCGTATTATGAGAAAGTCACAAGACTTTTATTCACGGGGAAGTCATTAATCGCGAAAGAGTAGTAAGTAAGAAATGCATGCGGTAGTGGTTGCATGGTTGCATGCATGGAAAGTAATCAGTAAACTCCATCAGGAGTGCATTATGTATTTGGTGTTTTTTTATTTATTTACGGGTCGGTGTTATATTGTGCGTGGTAGGATTTCCATAAATCGAGACAGTAGACTCGGAAGACGCCTGCCTGCCTTATGGTGTATGTACACACACTTGACTTCCCTGGTCAATCAATTGAGACGTGTGGGTGGGTGGATGGATTTATTTTCTATCCGAAGTAGGTAGTCACGGATGATTTATGAATTTATTTAAGACTCAACCAACTAACTTGTGAAGGTCAAGAACCGATGCTTGATTGATGAGTGATTTGAGCAGACAGGATAAAAGACGAGATGATGATGATGATGATGACCATTACGTATTCTTCTCCTGCCCAGTCCTTGACGTCTCTTTCCTCCTCTTTAGAAGAATCAGTGGTGGTGGTGGTCGTGGTGGTAGAAGCGATAATAATTATGTCTCGATGCACTTATTCTGATGAACGTGATAATCTCAGACGTTTAATGGTTGGGTTGGTTAGTGTGTGGATTGGACCTAGCTAATGCTTGTCAAATTGTGTGGTATGCTGCATTTTGGTGCGATATGAACTCTTAATTCGCCTCCTGAGAGTATAGATAGATGGATAAAAAGATGGGATATACACATTGATTGGATATATATTATTGGGTGCATTGATTCTCATGATCGTTGCTGAATTGTGTACGGGATGGTGTGCAGAAGGAGGAATTCCGTCGTGGTCCAAGTTAATAGTGGAAGGAAGAACAAGATCATCAATTCATGTGACACGATTATGCGATATGATAGCCTGCATGCAAAAACAGTGTACTCACACACACTCAAATCTCACTCAAATCTGTGTAATGTGAAGCATAATAATGTGTGCATGCATATTTGCGAATGTATCGAGAAGGAATTGATGAATCGCATTGAAATCTCATCTCGCCCACAATTGTCCATTTGGATCCTACGCTGTCGTAAAATGAGATTTCGTGTCTCATATAAGAAGCCGAATGTCCCCAACAGTTGCTCTCAGTACGCTGAGTTTGGTGAGCAGTTGTGGCTGTTGTTTTGTGTCCTTGTTCTTCTTCTTAGAGAAAAATGTCGCACCAGGCCGCGTGCCTCTTGGGTTTTTGGGTGGTGGTCAGTTTACTGTCCGCCCTGCCGCAAGGACATCTCCAATGTGGTCCGGACTCTTTGGTCCTTTATCATTTGATCATGAAAGCGCACTGGAGCCAAGAAACCTTTCCACGCCACTTTCCCGGACGGCTGGCAGGATACCGGCCCAGTGCCCAGTGGTCTCGGCTGATCGGTAAGAAGAGGGAGATAGATTTTTTATTGCCATGATTTCCCAGAAATAACAACCCAACACTAACGATGTGTTGGGTTGTTATAACGCAACATATGTGTTATTTTTTTTGGGGGGGGGGGGACCGATCCGTCGGTGTCCAATTATTGCCTTTTTTCTCTCTCTCACAGGAAGAACGCACAACTCATCCTACGCGTTGTATCGGGTTGGCGAAATGGCTTCTGCAGGTTGCAGCAATAATCGAAGTTTGGGATTATTGGAGGCATGTAACATTTGTTTGTAACGCATAGGTCTCAAGAAATTTGCGGAAACGTCGTCCTCCGACAGTTTGGATGAGATGGATAGCACCGGCGTGTTCGATGCTTTCAATGCGCCACCAATCGCGTCGGGTGAGGGTCAAACGCAGAGTCAATTCTTCCTGGATGGGAACCATTCGCAGGTTGGTGAACGGAAACCGTTACGATAATACTTATAAAAAAACTGTAAATAAATACGGTGTAAATTCCAATCCAACACCCACTCATGTGCAAATATGTACTTGTACTTATGCAAAAAAAAAACAATGATGATGTGCTTTTCTGTCTCAGGTCTCTCTGATCTCTCGAATCGTCCCGTCACCCGACTGGTTTTGTGGAGTGGATGGGGTTGATCTCTGTCTCAATGGGGAATGGGTTGACTCTCTCACGTTTGATGTAAGTCGGATAATAAAGTGGGCTTTTAGATGTGAGATTTAATAATCTATGATTATCTATAATATCGTGGTGGCAGGTGGATCCTATTGATGCTGGGACGGACAATGGGTATGTGTAATTAACCACCTGCTTGGGTAAATAGGTGGGAGACTAATTATTACTGAATTTCAGGTACACTTTCAGTGCGCCAAATTGGGTATGGTTTATTCACTATGAGATTCAGTATTTGTGACTCAGTGGCGGCGGAAGTTGGGGGACAAATGGGGACATTAGCATTAGCATTATCAGATGAACAGGATTTTTATGAATTTCTGGGGGACAATGTCCCCCTCTTTCCGCCGCCACTGTTTCTCCTAAAAAATGATACTTTAACGTGGCGATGGATTTATCCCACTGATTTAGGCGACCATGCCCCCTGAAGCGATTTACCCCATCAACTCCGTCAAACTGCATCCAGCCCACTCTTTCTACCGGGATGACCGCTCCGAGAAACCGAAACCCTTTGCGACCATCACCCTCCTAAAAGTTGGCAGTGCAGCAGTTATATAATAAATTTGTTTCCAATTTGGATTTAATCACACCATTAAATAATTAATGGTTTCTTTTTTCAGCTGAAAGAATACTCGCTCTCGTCACTCCGTGCCAGCAACCCGGACAACATCCCAACCTCGTTCCACCACCACAAGCATAACCTGAACCACCACCACGTCCACCTTTTCGACGAACTGGACCAAGCCGACATTGCGAACGAGCTGATGGAATTTGGTGACTTTCGAGACGAACAAAACATGACGCCTCGAGCGGCCAAGAGAAAGCGATCCCGTCGAATGAGAGGTATTTAGTTACGTAACAAAGTAAACATGGACAATGGCCGCGGAAGCCGTGGGGACATTAACAGGGGAGGGCCGGGTTTATATAACATGATGGGGGCAGCAAATTATAACCGTGGGGACATTGTCCTCAAGCTTCCGCAGCCACTGAAAAATGGATGGATGCTTATGTTCGACTCATTCCTCTTCCAGGGAGTCGGTCTGCCCGTGACTGTGCTGTCAGTGAGTGGTCCGAATGGTCCGAGTGCAGCGCCCTTTGTGGTTTTGGGGAACAGCGACGAAATCGCTATATTACCAATCATCCCCGCGGAGGTCAGACTTGCCCGTCGCTGTCAGAGACAAGACTGTGCAACTCGGCGAGGGAGTGTCGCGACAACTATTTTGACTGGTAAACCGAGAGCTTGGCGATGATCATGACGACGTCTCCTCCTAAATATACGTATAACCAACCAACCACTCACTGATCTCGGAGTTAGAGTCACAATAACTTCGGAGCAACTGAAGACTATTTTATTGTATTAATAGAAATTATCATTGTCGGCGAGAGAGGAGAGGAGGGAGAGAAAAAGTCCTGTCCGATCTGTCCTTCACAGATATTATTAGTTTACTATTATTTCTTGTCCGACGACGAGGACGACGACGAGGACGATGAGAGGATAAAAGTTGAGAGGCAGAGAGAGAGTGCTTCGGAAAGGAAGGAAATCATCGGAACAATTTTTGTGGTTTGGTTTTGGTTTCGGTTTCATTGTTCTGAACTCAACTTTCTTTTCTTTTCTTCCTCCTCCTCATCCTCCAGTTGTTGTTGTTAGTTTATCCTCCAGAAGAATTTTCTCTCTGTTGTCTTTGCCATCAATTCAGCCAGAAAACCGTTGCAAAGTCAAAAGTGAAGAATCTACATTCTTCTTCTTCTCTTATTATTATTATTATTATGCTTGCGCTTATCCAGCCAAACTTTAATGATAATAATGATGATGCCACATTATTGTATCGAACATACTTATATAACCACGTATGCATGCATACTACATATTTATTGCGGGGGTAACGAGAGCGTGTATGTATATCACGGAATAAAAACGTCTATATAAATATGAAAATTCCCAACTTTATGAATTTCGCGAGCTTTTCTGCCAGCCAAATCATTATTGTTGCGATAAATTTGGCAGAGAAGATTTTTCGCCTTTGTTTTTGATCTCGGATTGATACTTTACTTTGAGCGAGAGACAAGTTATTATTATTACGGGCTCATCTCCTCCCTAATGCCATTCCTGTTGTGTTATCCAACAAGGTTTCCTCTTTGCCTTGGTTTTAGGAATCTCAACGACGCTGTTGTTGTTGTTCTTGATTTTTGGCGTATTCAATAATAATAAATATGCGCCGGATAATATAAAATGGTGGAATGTTGTTTGATACCACATCAAAGGGGACATATTAAAATTAATGTCACTACTGCTGGATAATCCCGTGGAATATTAATGTTCGAGACTGTTTTTAGTATCATTTTCTCCATCCTTTGATTGCTTTCCTATGTACAATGTTTCATCAACATTTTGCTCAAAGAATGACCCGGAAGCCTAATAACATACGGAGAGAACAAGCCTAGGTGGTGGTGGTGGTCTGGTCTGGTCCAGTCCAGTCAAACAAACTTGTCTGGTCCCAAGTTGAAGCTGTATTGTAATAAGTCGACATAAAAGGGAGAGAGAAAGAGAGAGAGACTCGATGGAAATACACAATTCGACTGAGACACAGCCGACGAACGAGCCTTGTTTGTTTGTATGAACGAACGAACGCCGTTCTTGTGAAGAAGAATGAATGGACAAAACCTAACCAAACTCTTATCCAGCAAGTTCTGACAAAGGCAGGACTGGGTGAAAAGGAGAGAGAAATTCTGCACAAGTAGAATGTATGTTCAGGACCAGTGGCCGCGGTAGGTGTGGGGGCATTAACATTGTAGGATGGGAGGGGTTTATATAAGGGTGGGGACATTGTTCCTCTTCTGTCCCCCCGATTCCGCGGCCACTGTTCAAGACACCTACTTTCTTCTCGGGCAGAATAAGAGCAGCAAATTACACTGGATTTCTTCTTCTTCTCTCGACTAATATCTCCCTCCACACCGAACCGACGCCATGCATGCATTCATTTATCTCCTCGCCGAGCGAGGAAGGAGGCTTGACCATGAAGTGGGGTAATTTATGTGTAAAACGGTGAGTGAAATACATGGGGTCAAATAAGAGGCACGCGTCCGTGCATACATACATAACTTGGTTCTAGATACATGTATTTTGAGACAATAAATCTTTTTGAATTTATCTTTATTATTTTTCAATTAGTTTTATCGGTAGCAACATATTTCATTCTTTCCAAACAAGGCGGCACTCATGCATTCATTCATCATCTCCTTGAAAAGGGAAAGGAGGATGGGGTTAGTGGGTATACATAATAGTATAAATTTGCATATAAAGATTATTCCACGTGCGGTAATTTACTCGTATTTATCATCGGCAGTGTGTAATTTAGGGTGGAATTGTTTGTGGGGCAGTTATTTTTCGACTGGTAAATAGATATTTCATAATACTTGTGTTTGTTATTTATGGATTGTTTAATAATTATGGATTCAACACCGTTTGGTGGTTGGTTGGTAGTGGCGGCTGTGTAATGTAAATTGACTCGTATATATTGTGTCCTATCATCGTAATTGTCATCAGTGGCCGCGGAAGTGGGGGGACAGAGGGACAATGTCCCCATTATCTGTCCATGCTATTGCCCTCCCCTATCCTACAATGTTATTAATAATGTCCCCACACCTTCCGCAGCCACTGATCGTCACCGTCTCGGTCCATTCTTTCCCTCCACGAATGAAAGGAGGCACCGAGACAGAAAAGAAAGCCTCTTGAGCGTTTTTTTTTGGAAATCACACATAAAATTTATAATGTATTATAATATATTTAATAATATTCTATTCATCCGTGCGTATAAATGGTGGCGTGGTGTGGAGTGGACGATGGTGGTGGTGGTGGTGGTGTTGTCGAAATGATAAATACTAGAATCGCCCGTAGTTGACTCTGACCCAGGAAAGGTTGCCATCCATCCATCCAGTCCATGCACGAGGGGGGCCTGCCTACCACCGATTAGCCCAGTTGAAGTAGTTCCGAGAAGAGCATGATCTCGCCGAGCCGCACCATTTGGCCTGAAAAAAAAGAAGACAAGATTGCGTGATCATGGTCAGAAGAAGAGTTGATTTTCTCTTTTTTTAGAACTACTACTCCTCCTCCTCCTCCACTATTTGTTGCTTGTTGTTCAATGAAGTGAAGGGCATGGAGTGAGATTAACCTTGGCAAAAGCCGTGTCAAAAGTTTTTTCGTCTGTATACATATTTCGTTTTTTTGGTCAACTTTATCTGCATAATGGTCGCCGTAGGGGCCAGAATTGTCAAGCATTATGCAGATTTTATGTGCCATTACTTCTTATTGTGAAAGCAGCATAACGTTACCTGTTTGAGAGGAGGGCACACATTCCCACCGCGTCTCGCATGAGTCAGAATTCCTCTGGATCGGGTCATTTCGCCGAGACCGCAAACTTTGCTGCAAGGCGTCCATGAAGACCACTCCGTAACTTGGCAGTCTTTTGGAGGGCCTGAGAGAGAAAATAAAGTAGACAATGAGGAGGCAGTTTTTGGAGATTACGCCATTGTTCATCATCCTCCTCGTCCCGGACTAAATTGTGTGTTTGTGTGTGTGAAATGGATGTGGGGACAGGAAGTTTGGAGCTCATAAGAACGATTTGATACGTATATATGAAGGGCAAGCATTTGAACCAGCCGGAGGGGCTGACACCATCTATCACTCTGGTAAACTGTGCGCCACTACTTAGCCGTCTGTAGAAGTAAGTGAAGTGAACTTACGGAACTTCTTTAGTTTACGTTTCTTATCTCGAGAGCTGGTGGAGCTGGAGCTGCTGCTCTTTCTGTTTTCTGGGAACGGGACATAGTCTATGATGCTGTTGGACTCTTCTTTTTTTGCCCCATTTGACAATGATGAAGAGGCTGAAGCACTTTTTAAATTGGTTTCTCTCGGACGGCTCTCCGGATCGGTCACATCATTGTTCAAAATCTCTGATTCGGGGTGATGGAAAACCTCACTCAGAGCGTACTCCTTCACCTACGGAGAGAGAGAAAGTCTTAGTACGGAGAGAGTACCCAGCACATCACCGTGTCCACTGGGGGCCCCATCACCAACCACGACGATAAAAATAAAAATGGAGACAGGAACAATTCCAGGACAAGCCAGGCATGCATAATGGGCGCGGAGTCAGACTCGCTTAGTTGTGCGGGTTCCTCGACTCAGTGGCTGCGGACGGAAGGACAATGTCCCCACGGTTGTTCGATGTCGTCATAATCGGCCCATCTTATATAAACCCGGGCCTCCCCCCCCCCGATGTCCCCACGGCTTCCGCGGCCACTGTTTCCCCTGCTGTCGAAAGTAGTCAATGCAGGTTTGGTCCTACTTTTTCGAGTCGGAATCCAAAGGAGGCTGTGCTAATTTGTTCTCAACGTGGAATTTATTCCCCAAACGGTTCGTGCTGTCAAAGCGTAAATCCGAACGCAATATTTTTGTGGCTTGGAGTCGGATTGGGTAAGAGAGATAGCGGGCGAGATTGGTAATAAGGTTAAGTGCAATGTAATCTGTCCCTGTTGCAAACTAGAGATTTAAAAAGAATTTATGGAAGCGGCTGGTGGAAATGTAAATAGTGCTGGGTAAGTAAGCAAGGCGTGAAGGCAGCAGGCGACACGACCAAGTTACACATAAAAATGGGACGCCGTTCGTCGTGGTGGTGGTCAGTGGCCGCGGAAGAAGGTGTGGGGACATTAACATGGGGAGGGCCGGGTTCATATAAGATGGGCAGATGATGCCGACATCGAATAAGAATGGGGACATTGTCCCTCTGTTCCCTCAAGCTTCCTCCGCGGCCACTGTGAATCCTCCCTTTACGTATGCATCCTTAGTGGCCGCGGAAGCCGTGGGGGACATGTGGGGACGTTAACATTGTAGGATAATAGGGGAGGGTCGGGTTTACATAAGATGGGGAGATGATGCCGACACCGAACAACCCTGGGAACATTGTCCCCTCACCCTTCCGCGGCCCCTGGTGTTGGTAGCAGTACCTTGTGAAACTGGAAAGTTGCGATGGGTGGCAATGTTTCTCTGTCAGGGTAGAAGAAGGAGCTCGCTTGGTGGTTGGGATGTCTTGGAGTCAGTCTTCGTACCGGGACACGGGGATCCGTCGGCCAGTTTGGACTCGTGAATGTTAACCCTTTCATTAATAATTAATAGTTAATATTAAAATTAACCTGTGGTATATAAACATATCTAATTCTTTTAATTGGTCGGTACTTGTTTTGCAATCTCTTACTGCCAATTTTACTATGTAAAATACAGAATATCGAACGAATTTGTCACTTTCATTTATAGCTTTTTCTTTTTCTTTAAACGCACATTTTTTTCAGAGGCTCAAAATTGGATAAATTATACCCACCAACCAAACCACATGCACCACCAGAAGGAAAACTATTTAGACGGAGGGAGAGAAAGCGAAAGAGGATGAAGAAATCCAACTCCCACTCCTCCAAACAACTTACCGTTGTCGCTTCCAGCATCTAATGGATCAACCTGTCCAAATAAACTAATTAATTTATTGGCTCCAAAAAACTATCGATTTATTCCCAACACAAACTCAGATTGATTTCCTCACATGAATCCCTTTCACCATAAATGTGCTTGGCGGAAGGGGGAAGGAAAATGCATGGTTATTGCTTCCTATTAAGGAGCTAGCGAGTAATAAGTAAAGCTATGAAAAGCAGCAGCAAAACCAACCAGCAACTGTTTACCCCTTTTCAATTCAATCTCCTTTCTCTCTCTCTCTGCGATGCGGTGGTGTTTCCCAACAAATAAATTCTTGAACCGTCGCCCTCCTCCGCGTCCACGGCCACGTCCACCTATTTCCACATTGCATGGATGGATGGATGGATGGATGGATGGATGGATGGATGGATGGATGGATGGATGGATGCCTGCCTGGTGAAAGCAGCAGCAACATTCCAACCCGAGAGAGAGGCAGGCAAAAAGCTAAAAGCGAAACCTCAACCACCATTCGGCATTTATTTTCTACTGGGTGCACTGCTTTCTAATTTTTGTGTCGAAACCACAACCAAGACAGGAAATGAAAACAAAGCCAAACTTTGTGGCGGGGTAGATACACGTATAAAGACGGCGTCGTAGTCTTTGAACACTTTTCAGCTTAAGCAAGCAAACCCCCATGTCAATCGTAGTTAAGATTGGGCAAATAATCGTTCCATGCATGCACACCAAAGTAAATGTGGATGACGGGTGTTACCTCAATCATGACACTGTCCACCCAGCGTCCATTCGAGCATAGGTCGTAACTACTGATTCCCACGAACCAGTCGGGTGATGGCACAATCCGGGAGATCAACGAGACCTGTGAGGAGAAAAGAAGAAAATTTGCTGAGGAGCATGAAACACTTAGCGCAACGTTAGCGCGATGCAGCAGTGGCCGCGGAAGCCGTGGGGACATTAATAAAAGGAGGGCCGGGTTTATATGAGATGATGCCGACATCCTGGGGACATTGTTCCGCGGCCACTGCCGAGCTAAACAGGAGGAGAAGAACTGGATAAAAGTAATGGGAGAAAGTTTGTCTCGGGAAAAAATGGGATGATGTCATTCATTCGTCTATGAGAGTGTTGCGGCCTTTATTTGTTGACAGGTTGTCGAGTACTTGGTGTGGAGAGAGGAGAGTTGTCTCTCTAATCTTTGATACCTTTTCTCCTCTCTCTCTCTCATCTATTTTAATGCTTCTTCTTATCTCCACTCACTTGAGTGAAATGACAAAGGTTGTCGGGGAGGAAAATTATTCCGGCCGTGTAATATATCTGATGGTCACTGGAAGACCAGACCACCCACCCGGCCGATGATGATGAGAGAGAGAAAAACCATCTAATCTACGACATGGTGGGAGTGTTTCGTTCAGAAAACGGCTGCTGGTAGCGTCGATCGTCGTCGTCGTAGCGGCCAGCACCACCGCGGTCCTTGATTATCTACAACTGGGACACTCTCATTTGTCCGCCTCGGGTAGTAACGGGCCAGAAGCAGCAGGTAAAAGAGAAACCAATTTCGGAGATGAAAGAAATAAAAGAGTTTGAGCAAAAAATCACAACTTATCATTCCTTTCTTCTCCCATTCGGTAGGGTTGAGAAAGCCAAAAAAGTTGTGTAGGGAGGGATATGGTATGGTCATCGACATGGGCGGCGGAAGCGGGGGGACCGGGGTACATTGTCCCCAGCAAAATCATATCTACTAACAATGCGTATTTTCTAGAGAGTTATGTCAAAAAATCAAGCCAAAAATTAGGAATCACGTGACACTCAAATTTCCGTTGAATGACCCCTTGAAGAAATATATTGGGGGGTAAAGTCACGTGCCTGCCTTATTGATTTTCAAGCGAGATAAAATTAACTCGAAACTTGAACTTTGCCCCCAATATTTTTCTTCGAAGGGCCCCTGTAACGGAAGGATAAGGGTCATGTCATTCCTAATTTTTAGCTAAATTTTTTGATATAACTCGCTAGAAAATCCCTGTCTAGCTTGTAAAAAGGTTCCCCTCCTCCTGTCCCCCACCTTCCGCCGCCACTGGTCATCTCATAAGGAGATGACGACGACTACTGCTCTTCTAGTCCGCATTATGAGGAGGCTTTTGTGTGCAATATCGCTCCATGGTTGGTTACTTGATGGCTAGGTCAATACGACTTTCTCTGGATACAAAGTCACATATGCCGAGTGGTGAAAGTGTGGAGAAAGTTTTGCGAGGTTACTGCGATGGGTGGTATGATATGGAGAGGAGGAGGAGATATTAGTGTGGAGATTCTGACTAAAACGGCCTCGTCCATTTATTAATAGTGCTGAGAGCTGATATACTCGTATCGTATGGTGCATGGCCTTACCCTTGAGTGATTTCCGTCCACGAAGAACTCGGCATGAGTGCTTCCAACTCCGTGTAGGACTGACGGGGCAATAAATTCATCATAAATCCCTCCCTCTCCTTAAGAATACACATACAAGAATATGGATGAGTGTGATAAACTAAAATCTTCTGGGGGAAGTGGAGACAGATCAGTTTTATATGCTAATTGTACTCCACTAATTAATAAAATCTCATCTGGAATCCATTCCCAGACCGTAAATTAGATCACAAACTCGATCGGAAAGTGTGTCAATCTGCATTTCGTGAAATTATCGCAACACTTTGAATTAGTTTGACTCAATCAAAGGAACTGATCTCTCTCTTCCAATCTAACCCATTAATTCTAACCTTGAGAAAGTTGGTCCAGCACGTCGGACGCTCCGGTTTCTGCAAAGATCCTGACACCCTCCGACGCAGTTCGGTTAAGTTCAAAGAGGAGGAAAGACTCGTCGTGGGAGCGACCTAGAGAAATGTACAAAATAACCAGTCAATTCTTCTTGAACGACGAGATAGGGGAGAAAAGTTGAGCCCCCGAAAACATCTTTTTTTCTCTTCTTGTCGTATCCCTCAAGGCTATAAATCGGGGACAGGAAGTAGACTGACTCAATCTGAGACAACAGTCTGACAAGATCCAAATCTACTCGAATTAACTTACTCTTGCTTTCCACAAACTTAATTTGAGCAATTTCATTCCCTTCTCACAACCATTTCCATCCATTCCATGCACACATACGGACATACACAACAGTCCGACATGTACTTAGGAGGAGGAGGAGGAGGAGTGGCCGCGGAAGGTGTGGGGGGACATAGGGGGACATTAATAGGGGAGGGTTTATATAAGATGGGGAGATGATGGGGACATCAAATTATCGTGGGGACATTGTCCCTCTGTTCTGTCCCCTCACCCTTCCGCGGCCACTGCTCCTACTCCGAGGACGCCAAACAGTTATAAGCAACCAGCCAAGTAAATAATGCAAATCCTTCGCTTTTTATCCCTGCAAAATTCTCTAAGACTTTTTGAGCATGCCGTGTAATCGTTGAGCTTTAAGCTGGTTGGCTAGTTGTTGTGTGTGTGGAGAGAGAAAAGCTTTGTTCAAATCATGTCGGATGGAGAATGGAATCAATATTTCAGCAAAATGTGTAGACAGACTGCATGGCACGACCAAAATTCGGAATGCAGCACAGGTTTTTATGTTTCAATATTTGCTGGTAAACGCCGGCTAAACCGTAATAGTATTGCTCTCTCGCTGCCTCTCTGCTCCTCTTCTGCAACAACTATTGATGTTACATGAACAAATCCATATACGATTACTCGCTACTGATATCAATATTGATCTCTCATATTCTCTCATTCTTCTCCTCAAAGAAGGGAACGCCGTCCTGGTACCACTTTTCTGAGAAGAAGAGCTGCTTCTGCTGGATCAATTCACGTTCCGAGAAGAAATAACGCTGTGTGCTGTGTTCTCTCTGCTAGTTTTTTCTCCAGTGCCACGAGGACGACTTGTTCGTATTATTATTGGATGGGTGGGATCAGAAATTTATTTTTGCTCGAGGAATTTAATGTCTTATTGGACCAGATTAGATCACGTCACACACGGTATAATTTTATTAACGAGACTATTCTCTTCATAAATGGTATCCAATTTATAGCCAATCATCATCTTTACAAATTGTTCATTTATTTATGAAATGATGAAGGGAAAAGGATGAAACTGGAAACCTTCTTTTTTCCACATATTAGTAACACACTCACACCCGACCTATCCGCCCACTCGGGAAGAAATATGTTTAAACAAATGTATGTCCACCTCGGTCGGGTTGGAAATATAAATTGGTGGATGGAGAGAGAGAGAGATGAGAAAGCAGGGGCAGAGGCAGAATTAATACCAGCCGATGATAAATAAGTTGACGGATGGATTGACAAAAAAAGGGACACAGGGGAAAGCAAACGCGTCCTTTCTTCGTGATGACGAATGTGGATGGAGGTAAACAGTGGCCGCGGAAGCCGTGTGGGGACATTAACAGGGGAGGGCCGGGTTTATTAAGATGAGGAGATGGTGTGGACAACCGTGGGACATTGTCCCCCCTGTTCTCTGTCCGCGGCCACTGGAGGAACACACCCACGCCAGTCCACACACACATCCCGGGCTGATTTGGTTTTGTATGGTAAACGATTATTATATTGCTGTCATCCTGTGACATTTCTGCCACGGTCGTACTACATCATGCAGGGCAGCAGGAGCTATAATAAACTAGACGAAAAGAAGAATTAATCCAATTTGGTGAGGAGGAGCAGGGGAAAAAATGTTCTTTTAAAGGTGATGTGCAACGTGTGACTCGCATGTTAACATTCCTAACAACGCTGTCTACCTCACATCTTGTTGGTCTGAAAAAAAGATGAAATATGAACAAACTTGGGAAATTTGATGGACTATGCGTGGATGTGGACGTGGACACAAGCACCTGCACCTGCAACCTCTCTCTCTCTCTCTCTCTTTGGACAATTGCAATAAAAGGCAATACCTAAAAAAACAAGGTGCGTTATTACATATTTTCTACAATATTTGAACTCTGCTCGACTCAAAGTCTGCTGCTGCTGCCGTGCCTGCTAAACGATCTCCTCCCTAATAGGCGAGTAATTTAATAAGTAAGTGGATTGGATAAGGTATATGCAAATATCCAATCCACCAAAAAATGTATGAATGAGAGATGACAAGGAGGTTAAGTAGAAGAAGAAGAAGATCGTGCAATTTACAAGAGGCGTGGGCGTCCTTTTTTTCTTTGGGTGGGTGGGTGGAAGGCAGCCTCGAGTCATTCTTTTTTTTACGACACGTTGCTTGTTCTTGATGTGATAATTAACACTCTCAATTCACATTGCATTATGGATACTCGCACTTGTGTGACAATTAGCAAATTTGGGTGAAATATGATACTCTTTCGGCGTACGGCTGGTCGGTCGCCCATAATCAGTCAACTAGTTCTTGCTGCAATTTAATTTAGTATTTTTTCTTTTACTTGTAGGGAACAAGACAAATCCTATTTAATGGTTGACCAAGTGTTACACATTGTTCGATAAATATGCAAAAAGATAGGAGTTGTTCTTCAACATGGATTAATTCGTTGAAGCAATTTGCACAACAACCCTGATCATGTTTCATGAATGGACATGATAATTTTCAGTCGAGCGTATACAAATATGCAAAGAAATTATGTCATTTACAATCTTGTTAGCAAATCATTAGTGTGTAATGTATTTTCTTGTTGGCCTCTGTTTCGACTTGACTCGATCCAATTTCGTGTCGGAAAATTGAGTTAAGATTGTGATAAATAGTCAGTTTGGCAATGATGAACGCGCCGTGTCGGATGTGTATCGTTGGAACCAATATGTCCAACGCGTAGTTTGCCAGGAAATTAAAAATTTGTCAGAATATGGGCTCAAGTTTGGATCGTGGTGGGTTTCCCTTTCAGGGAAATCCTTGAGACTTTGTGTATTGATCAATGAGAGTGAGCCGAATGCTACGTCGTATCAAGTACAGGATCTAAAATGTGGCCAAATAAAGCCGACTTTGGTTTTGGGTTAAGATCCCGAGTCACATTTATTGCTGGCAGTTTAATCGAACGGAACACTTATTAGAGTCGAATACAACGTCGTCGTGGTCGTGGTCGTGGTGCGGGAGGAGGAGGATATAAGAATCCCAGATTTCGATGCAACAAAATTTTTTTCTGGGAGATTTTTCTTTCGACACTAATAGTTTATTAGTAGCATTCTTCTTCTCTTTCTGGGTTCCGATGTTGCTCATTGCCAGAGGAGAAGCGTTCCCGGTCAGGGGCCGCGGAAGGACAGAGGGACAAATTGTCCCGGACAATGTCTCACGGTTGTTCGATGTCGAGATCATCTTATATAAACCCGGGCCTCCCCTATCCTACAATGTTAGCGTCCCCACAGCTTCTTCCGCGGCCACTGGTCCTCAGGGTAACGTGGTTATGTCCTCTCTCTTGTGCAGTGGCCGCGGAAGCTTGAGGGGACAGAGGAACAACGTCCGCACGGTGGTTCGATGTCCCCATCATCTCCCCATCTTATAAGTATAAACCCGTCCCTCCCTTGTCCTACAATTTTACTGTCCCCACATGTCCCCACGGCTTCTTCCGCGGCCACTGTCCTTCGGCGTATGTGTGACGTCGGGCGCTCTGCTGCTGCGATATATTATCCGACTTGACTTGGTTCGCTCCTTGTTTGTTTGTTTGTTTGTTGGTGTGGTGTGAGATTGTTGGAGCTAATATATTGCACCACTTTATATCACTTGAACATCAGCGGAGGCTTGTCCATGTACAAAGAAAACCTTTTACCCTCCAGTCCAACGCGGTGGGATGAATGGTTGGTTTGGTTTCTTCGGACCGAATTTTGGTGGTGCATGGTTTTGTAGAAAACGGCAAAAATGTGTTTTCTGGCTGTAGCTAGTTGATGATGATAAAGGAAAGGATACTGGCCAGGAAATTGCAAACGCGTGGAGGGTGTGTGCAATGAAAGCTAAGTAAATTAAACAAGTACTAAATGGAACAAAGAGAGAGAGAGTTGAAAGTGGGGGTGGTGTGGTGGGCAGAGTTTGGTTATTATTGGCCGTTTTTTTCTTCCCATAAAATTGTATTATTGCAACCAGATCGAGGAGTTGGAAGGGATTTATTTGGCGTGATCTGCAAGATAGACGTCAACTCGGGCATCAATCCGTCACTCAGTCAGGGTCTACCTACGTGCATGCAAAACAAGAGATGCAGTTTCTCCACGTCCATCACCTTTGCTTACTGCAACGCTTCTGGTCCAATGCCATGATGATGTCGTGGTTGGGCTGTGGTGTTTCTGGATCGTCGTGGTGGTGGTGGTGAATTGCATCTCTTTCTACTTGCCAATCTATCTCTCGTCGAATTTGCATATTGTATTTACTGCATGCCGTAACGATTACCCAGTTGGCTATGGCTGGCTGGTTGGTTGGTGAAATGAAATTGTAAAGTGCCATTCGATTCAATCCACGGAGCAATTAATGAGGTCGGATGAGACTGCGGGTAGGATTTATGTGTCACAGATGGGTCCTCGTCTTGTCAGTAAGGAGGGGATGGTGGTGGAAGGGTCGCCTGTCAAAAGGCCCCCCTGATACGGCCAGACCAGGCAGCCGATCAATTTCCTCTGCCTCTGCCTCTCCGCACCCCCACTTCTTTAAGAGAGAATCACATCTCTTGATGGTTTTGAGAGGACGGGATCCTCTCAAAATAGACGCCAGCAGGATCGTTTATTTTTGACACTTTTAACGCCATCAAAACATATTGAGACGTTGTGTCACCATTCTTGCGGTTGGTGTGATTTCCCTCCTCGTATTTCACTCATTGAGCCATTTATTATGTTATCGGAGACTCATCAATTTCCCCGTGGCTGGCGTTAACCCACTTTCCTTAAGACTCGAGTCGACCGTGTGTGTGTCGTGTGCCATCCTTACTTCTTTTCTGCAGTGGAAGAGGACTAATCACACCAGCACAATTTCCTTCCGCATTTCTGAAAAATCCGCTCAGGTTCCTTCTTCCCTATCACCGGCCAAATCATTAAACTCGCCATTTTCACGAAATATCTTCTACGGCGTGTGAAACATTGCCTGTTGCTTCAGTTCATACGTGGTGTGAGAGAGTCATAATGTAACGTGGAAAAAAAAATCTACCTACTTATTCTTCCTCGCTATAAAATAAAATGCTTCCGTCTTTTCTCACCCAGCAAAGCACAGTGGCCGCGGAAGAAGTCGTGGGGACATTAAGAGGGGGGAAGGGCCGGGTTTATACAAGATGATGCCGACATCGAACAACCGTGGGGACATTGTCCCCTCAAGCTTCCGCGGCCACTGACCATCTCATCTCGCTGAGGAGGAAATCTCACGTCTCATAATCTCAACTACTACATAGCAAAACCAAGGAAGAAAAGTCAGTCTGTGTCTCTCACTAACGAGGACGCGCGGGGCAGAGTGATAAATTTGGATGATTTCACTCTCTCTCTCTACTTTCTCTGCTTAAGGTGAACCATAGGATTTCGCTCTGTGATGCTGCTTTAGTTACTTTTAGTTACTTACACATGCCTCTCATTACGGAACTCTAATGAGACTAATGAGACAAAGGAAAGTTCTGCTGAGCGAGAAATTGCACTACTTTATCATTTTTATATACAATGCTTTCGGACTCTGTGGACAAGATATATTTGCACATTATGCAATTCTGCACTTCTGCACCCACCACCACCACCCTCCCTTCTTCTCGCACCTTCTTGCATAATAACAAAGTTTTCGGAGAAGAAGCAGTTAATAAAATGAAGGCGAGCACAACTGGAAATTAGGCATGATCATCATCGTCATTACTTTGAAAACAACTTACCAATCAGCTTGGAGAACTGGGCACTTGGTCGAAACATTGGATAATGTTTTGGAAAGTCCTTCTTGGACCAGTAGGTGTTCATAACGACGCGATAAACCGTCAACCGATCCGCAACACATGGTTCCGAGTACTTGGAGTTGGCCAGCGGCGTGCAAGTAAGGATTAGGACGAGTGTCCCGAACAAGTAGGGCAGCATTCCCACGGTCGTTCCAGCACCACCACCACCGTCGTGACGACTAACGAACGAACACCAACACCACGGTCACAGAGAAGAAAGTGGTGGAAATCTGGTTCCAAACCATGAAAAGGGAGATCGTTTTCTCCCGTTTGATCTTATATCTGAGTGATTAAAGGAGGATGAAAATGGCAAATTCTTTGTCTTCTCGAGAGATCAGAGATCTGACTGGGGAGGAAGATTTTTTACGGCTTGGTCTCACTGACTGATGCAAACAGCACTGATACCTGCGAGCAATTAATGTAAGTACGACTACGAGTACTGCTCTGGACTGGACGAACAACAACAACCACCAAAACGACGAGAAGGAGGAGGAGGAGGACGACGACGTCGACGACGACTAAAAGTCTCGCGAGACTGTTTGTCTGCTTCAATGATACGTCTCAAAATCTTTAGGTGATCATCATCATCATCATCATCATCCTCCAATAATGCTGACAGGACAAGTGTACACAAAAATGCATGCAACGCAGAACACTTTAAGTAAAAGTGTGGTGGTGCTAGGTATTGGATCATGCACAATGCAATATATAAATCCTCTTGGTTGGTTGGTTCATTGGTTAGTTAGTTGGCATCTTATCTGGCTGGTTGGTTGGCTTGCATGCATTTATTATGTGGGTCTCTCTCACTCTCTCGACTTGTCTCGATAGTAAAAGTTGGACTGCTCATCACACGCTATGGTTCAATTATTTTTTTTTGGCGTGGCTCCAATCCAAAGGGATTGATTTGTTTGGACGACAACGACGATATGCACTCGAGTCTCAGGGCGAGATGGATGGGAGACAAGTGTAGTATAATATTTGTAGTGGTAAAGTTATTGAACACTTGCTCGTTCGAAAATAGTTGTCTAAGGTGGAGAAGAGAAGAGATGCCAGAGTCAATATCTATTTTATGCAACTTTTCTCCCAATCAATCTCCATCCAGGGACAAGTATCGCACCAAGTTGTCTCTTCGACTTAACTGTGGTCATTAAATTCGAGTTGAATTACATCAATTTATGTACGAATGCATCTCTCAGTGGAGGATCTTATCTCAGTCAGCGTCACCAGGCTTGTCTCAATTTCCCATCGTAATCCGATGAAGGAAATGGAAAATCCTTTAATCAAACAAGCTGTACAGTATTGATTAAAAGTTGGCATCCATAATAATGCATACAGAGAATAAGGCACGAATTTGGGACGATTATTATTAATTTGATTATTATTATTATGAAATGGATGAAGGAGGCAATTAAATGTTGTCGTGTAGCAATACTTATTGAGACATAAGGAGCAAATAAATAATAAATAACCGCCCGTGAAAGTGAGCCAACTATTTAATGTCTAATTTAATAGTCCTGTTGCTACTGTACTGTTAGTCGTGGTCATCGTTATCAATATCATTATCAAAGATAAGCATCAAATCATTAATTGTCATAAGTCGTGAGCAAATTAGGTCATAGACATGACTCAAGCTAGATATTCGGCAGTCTCTCTCTCTCTCGCCCAAAAGTTGTGTTTAGTAATTGAAGACGTAGACGTAAGTATTGTGCCCATGATAAGACATATTTGTGTCCAAATAAGGCCACACTCTTCTCCCAGGCAGACAGACAAAACACGCAACATGCACATTTAAGCGTCTACTACCTGCATCACAATTGGATCTTGTTATTGTTGTGAGGCTACGGGCTACGGAGATAATAAAGTGTTTGCAATGAATGCATTTATCACTTCATTTTGGCCAGACAACAAGGAGGCGATTCTTTCTTTTTTTCCTAGCACGTGCTTTTTCCCTTCTTCGTCGTTGCCCTTTTAGAAAAGGAATCGGTCAATCTCAACAACACACACGTAAGAAATTCCAAAAGAGATACATACACGACACAAGAAATATAAGCGATGATATTCTCACAGAAATCCCTGAGACGGGATAAAATTCCCTGTTGTATGGGCAAGAATGGCCAAAACTTGCTGATGTAATAGTCGCATAAGTCATGTATACAGGGGCCGCGGAAGAAGGTGTGAGGGCATTAAGATCGTAGGATGGGGGAGGTAGGGGTTTGTATAGCAGATGATGCGGACATCGAATAACCGTGGGGACATTGTCCCCTCAAGCTTCCGCCGCTACTGCGTGTACACGACGCACCTGGGCCAAAAATCCAAAACCCTTCCCTCCTGACTTGAGAGGATATTGATAAATAATATTTCAAAGCGTCATGTGTCACACCAAAAGGCAAGGAAATTATTCAACTCGACCCACCAATCCAATCCACCCACTAGCAGAATAATAATAATAATATTTATGGGTAATATTTAACGAGAAACTTTGTTTTTTTTTCCTGTCCGTCGTCGTTCCGAGGAGAATTTTATTAATTTCATGATACGAATCGTGGTCACGTATAATGTGATATCACACGGATATGTAGATCATAAAAATAGCCAAAATTTGCCATAATAATAAATCGTGGCGAGAAAGAGAGTGATGCGATCAGTCGCGTGGGATCGACGACTGGGGAAAACAGGTTAAAATGGATCGCTTCGATGGGATGTCGTTGCCCAGTGGTCGCGGAAGTTGGGGGGACATGTGGGGACATTAGTATTGTGGGGACTTGGGCAAGATATTGCTGACTTTCTGGGGGGAATGTCCCCCTCCTTCCGCCGCCAATGTGGTTGGCAGTGCAATAATAATCATAACATTATTCTGTCGCAATCTTACAATAACACTCATCAACAACTTTATGCCCTGTGATCACTGGCAGCAGCAGCCAGCAGCAGAAGCATTAAAATATTTCACGTTAACCGATATGGATCAAAGTTGTCAGACAGACCAAGCAGCCACCCACGCGTTAAAAAATGAGTCGAAAAGAAAGGTGAGTCATTCATGCATATGCCCGAAATGTAACAAGTCTACATAAGTAATGCGCTTATTTGACATGCATTACTTGCCAGTAAGTGGTACATACATAAATATAGGCAAAATACGTGCCCCTGTCACTTTCAGACTGTCATTATTTAGTTGTTGGATTGAAAGAAGGGGGAAAAAAGGCTACTTCACTACTTCCTCCACGACCGGACGTTATTCGCTAAGAATTTCATGTGACAAGGATAAATTATAATGATTATTCCGAGCAAAATGTAGAGATTTGATCGCACGAATAATTAATTGGTGACACTGCATGCACGATTAATTTAAAGGAGTGGACACATACGCTTAAGGCTTGGTTGGTACTTGGTTATTAATTCCATTCCATTCATTCATGCCAGGCTGCACTATTCATTCATTTCAATTCATTGACAACTATTAGCTAGCTCCATCAAGGTGCAGAGATGCATCACGCGTAACAATGAAGAGTATTCCAAATATGGAGGAAAAACTGTTTTGGTCATAATTTCAGGGTCTTGAAGTCACTCTTTATTACGAATGCAACCATGCAACAGACTTAATCTTTGTGTTGCAGAACAACGACAACAACAACCCTTTCCGACAAAGACAGTGGCCGCGGAAGGACAGAGGGACAATGTCCCCACGGTTGTTCGATGTCGGCATCATCTCCCCATCTTATATAAACCCGGCTCTCCCCCCATCCTACAATGTTAATGTCCCCCATGTCCCCACGGCTTCCGCGGCCACTGTGAACATGTGTACAAAGGAGATCGAGATTGCGATCGAGATTGTGTTCTGATCCAATATTATTATTGTTGTTATTACAAGATTTGCCACTTGATTGAATAAAATAAAATGTGAATGCAATGAATATAAAATTGATTCTTTGGTTTGGTCAGAGAGATTTTTTTTCAAAGAAATAAATACTTGTGTGTTTTTTTTTGCTTGGTCATCGATCTGATCTCGTATTCTTTGAAAAAAAAATTGTATCCACTATGTACGTATGTGACATTTTTTTATCGCGTGATGAAAACATGAGAGACAACAGAAGGAAGAAAGGACACTGTGATTTCAAGGATATTGCATTACCATGATCTTTGCTTTACAGTATTTCAAGCAGAAAAAAGCTCTTGGCCGATGTAAAATTGGAGAGAAAGCGAGCAGAGGACACAATGGAGAGCCGGGATCTTGTTCTCGGGACAAGAAAGGAGGAAGGAAAGCATGCCAAAAAAAACAGGAGGAAAATTCTCATAGATTGAAATGTTCCAGTTGAGTGAAACGTGGCTGACATATTCGTTCTCGGCTGCATTGCATTGATTCTCGATTTTCAGGTCCGGAATTCAATCGCACATCATATCGCACATAATAACACAATGGAAGAAGAAGGAGCAAGGCGAGTGTAAAATTGGGAAATAAAATTGACAATTTTCAAATTTTAACCTGAACTAACCTCCAAGAAAAAAAAATGCGTTCCTGGTCGATTTACGATGACGAGGTTTGTCGTATGGGATGAATATCTTCGAACTAGTGGAACGCAATGAGAAGCTACCAGATCCTAAGGTAAGTTGGGTGGATAGGTTTTAGTTTTTTAAAAAAAATTATGATCACTTCGGAATACGTGTGGCCTGAAATTTATTACAGTACGTAATACAAATTAAAGACAAAAACACATAAAATTAAAAAAAAACATTTTATTGTACAAAAAAATACAACAAATGTCACCCTGTGTGATGGATTAAAAAATTTTAAGGTACTAATCTGACCGCAACGTATATGTGGACTAATATTTAAGGATAATGTGATACATACAAGTGAGTTTGTACTGTGGTTTGTAACAATGCAAATAAATATCATAAAGTATTAAGTAACAGAATAGATGCAAGAGTATAAAAGTTTCAACGTGGACATTTGATGGCGTTGCATGAGGTAGGCGAGTGCATATTATGTCTTCATAAAACTGTTTTTTTTTTAAATTTTTTTCATAGTTGAAATACTGCTAGTCTGTCCTCGGTTTCTTTAACATTTTTAGACATTCGTCAAGCTTTTTAATGAAGAAATCCACATCCGCTTTTTCCATTCCTAGTGTAGATGCAGCAGTCAAGTATGGAAGTTTGTACAATGGACTATGACATCCCCATCCTAGAGAAGTAGTCGAATTAAAAATTGCACAATCCTCAGTTTTACAGTAGGGCATTTCAAGTCTCTGACTAGAAGAATATTATTACCTTCAAGTTCAACCTGACCAATTGTTTGAGTTTGGGATGGAATTATTACTCGAGCCCCTTGAACATTTCGAAAAAATAGCAGTGATCCCAGCTTGGTGAAAAATGTTGGCATTTCAGCCTCTGTAACACCTACGGCCCGAGTTAGATCTCCAAGGGATATCGCTGTGTTCATTATAAAATTGAGCAAGACTGACTGACTGAGTTAAGGATGTACATATAATATTGATATAGCATTTAATAAAATCACCTGTCGAAAGATCGTTGTTTTTTGATAGTAGCATTTGCAGTTTGTGGGCCATACAAATACTTTTCAATTTCAATTGCAAGTACAGAAAGTTTTCTGCTCGTTTAGTGATCAATGCTTTGTACCCTTTAACCCCCATGCTTAGCATGGTAATAAACACATCCAAGCTCTGACTAGAGGAGGCACGACCTACAACAAAATATAAATTTAGCTTTGCTCACACAAAAACACAATGGATTAACATTAAGTTATTGCTCTGCTCAAACACACCTGGGTATGATTTTTGTATCTGAGAGATAATCTCTTTCGAGTATCCGGCAACAATTGCACCTCCAACAGGAACCATTAAATTTTTGTCGGTACTCATCACAACAATATCCATTCGACCCATTCTGATATAATTCAGATAGAAATAATTAGACAAGAGGCACAAAAATATATTGTAGTACTTAATTACTACTAGACAGACACTTGGCACTCCTATTCTATTAATTATAAGCTTATTACCGACAACCTCGATCAATTGCCCTTACACAGGCTAAGCTTTGGATTCCATAAGCGTTGTTAACCAAGTGGAAAATGGGCGTATTTTTTAGTAGTTGAGCAACTCCTCCAACGTCGTCGCAATCACGGGGAGCGAAACAGCTTGTAGTGGAAATTACGCAGAGAATTGATTCAGTTCCCCTTTCTTTGATAACACTGTCAATCATTTCAAGATCAGTTACTAGTGAGGTTTCGACGAGTTTAGGCTCAACAACTATTGGACTTAGGCCTGAAAGTATGCACAACACAGATTTATTATTAGCTATTTTTAGTTTTAGCTTAATTATGTATAAAGAAATTGCCCCGAACCCGCAGATTGGATAGCTTTAAGACACGATTTTTGATCAATTCTAAGCCATATGACCCATTTTGCGTTGGGTCTGGCCTCCTTCATCGTCTGCAAGCACAAACTGATCGTCATCCCAGTAGCCATTGGGACAACCATTGCATCCACAACCTTACCACAAACTGAAAACGAGTCATTGAAAACAATTTCACAAAAAATATAACTTGATTCCTTACACATGAGACAATATGTAAAAGTTTTTAAAAACCAAAACTTACCGAAGGTGTGCATCAAATCAAGTACTAGTGCATTTGTGAGAGTACAAAGCAAACTGGAACCGGCCGCTTTTGGTTGTGCCTCGGCCAAATCGCCAGATCTGCCCATCCCATGAGCCATGCCGAAGTGACGACGAGAAACAATATCTATAACAAAATTTACAATTAATTCTTACACCAAAACGTACTCAATTAAACTCCTTCAATACATTTTCTACACGTACTTGAATATATGCGACCCTCTCGTTCCCCAACGCCTCCTTTTGAAATAAAGTTATTGCTATCCATTGAAGCTATTTCGTTCACAAGAATTTCAATGGTCTGATCATCCCATCCTTCTTGTGGCCATTTTCTCTATTAAAGGAAACAACCATTATCATTCCATTCCATTCGACAATTACTACAATCATCTCATTATTTATTACCTGGTCCATCAAATGGCGAAACATTTTCTGTCTAGTTTTAGCCGTTTGAAGCCCCATATTTACATAGTTTGGGGGAACAAGGCCCCTCTCGGCCGCTTTGGCAAAGGCTTCACTATACGCCATCCCTGCGGGGAGATAAGTATTTCAAGTTAAGTCTTTCTTATCTATGTTCAGAACTAACTTTTTATCACTTTTTCAACTTATAAATAAATGAAACTTTCCGTACCTGAAAACTGACGAGTTTTGACTATAATTCGGTTAAAACTAGGGTAATACTGGAGCGGTAAGATTAGGTCACTTATCTGGCGATTATTACTGGCGAATTTTTGTCATGTCACGCCGTGCAACTCGTGCGGCACGTTAATTTCGTCATTTCACTTTCCGTCGTAATCTTTGTAGTTCGTTCCCGGCTTCACATAAAAAATGTCGCACTTTCCTCGAGCCAGCTGAGAGCCCGGCTGGTAAAAAAAATCTACCACCACCTGTAAGAAGACGAATTGAATTTTGAATTTTTGATGAAAAACGAGTACTGAGGAAGGTGTCACATTATGGCGTCGACAAAGCCTTCCACGACGCCCAACATTTTGGCCACCTTGGTCACCAAATCAGTCTGGAAATCTGAAGAGCTGGCAGACCTTCTGGCACAAGAAGTTGGGAGACGAGATAAGCTACAAGAATTGGTAAGGGAAAAGTAGTCGTTACGGGGAAAATGATAAGCGTATTGGGTAGGATTTTTATTTTGATAAGGCTTAAAGGTCCAAAAGTGTAAAAAAAAATGTGTAGATGCACAAACAGGTTATTTTTTCGAACAATATATCAATTGTTTCTAAAACTTGTGACGGCGATATTAATTTTCAATTTAACCACAAATTGTAAAGCAAAATTTGTGCCGAGCAAGTGTCTGAGTGAAATATTTCGTTTTATGGACCTTCGTATTTTTTAAATGGAACTTGTTAATTAAACGACTTGTGTTTTTATTATCCTGACAGAAAATAGCTGCAGAGAAGGAAGCCGCTAGATTAAAGATGGAAGGGAACTGCGATCTACAAGAAGAGGTCGAATATTTGCAGAGTTCCTTCAACAAAGTAAAAGTCCTAGTCACTCGAATGGCAAAGGAAAAGTTGCCGAATCGTTGGGAGAACTTGGAATTTTATCAAAATGTTGCAAAAGTTGAGGAATTGGAAAAGTGCAAGAGATACATGATGGTGTTGGATTTCTATACTACAACGTCAGAGAAGATTGGCGATAATATGGAGTCCGGTAATTAATGGATAATATAATAGGTTTTTAATTTACTAATTCAGTTTGTAGAAATTAAAATAATGCTTGTTGTAAAAAATTTCAGATCTCGAAATGGATGCTATCGAGTTGTTTCACAGAGTGAAGGAGATTGAAAATGTCTATGTTGGAGTTGGCGACTGCGAGCATCTGCGAACACTTGGGGCTGGAATTGTGTCGTATTGGTCGGCCAAGTTTGCACAGAAATTGGGCCGGTATAAATCGCATACGTTCATAATTACTGTTAATTACTGTTATGTCTATGCTAAATTTGAACTTTTTGTAATGATTATTGCTTCACAGGGACTTTGAGCAATTATTCGAAGCGTTTGGTTGGCCACTGAGACTTAAAACGGCAATTCCCACGTTGGAAACGCATGAAAAACTACGTCGAGCTATTACAAGCTTTGCAAGAGTAAACGCCAAACCCGTAAGAGACAGTACAAATGAATTGGAAGAGACGCCTAATTCGAAATTTGATCCGATCCTACCAGTTCAGGTTCAAAGAAATTATAAATATATTACAGGATTGTTTGCTTGTTTACCTACCTGGTTATCTATATGTTATCTATAGGTCCTGATGGCGCCTTTGAAACGTAGATTTCGTTTCCATTTTCTAAGCGATAAGCCAACTAGTGAATCGTCAAAGCCTGAGTGGTATTTCTCTCAAGTACGAAAAACATACATGTTCAATAGTTTAATATACAGAAAAATGGTATTGAATTGACAAACATTATTTGCAATATAACAGGTTAAACAGTGGGTATTCGACCTTGTGCCTTTCGTGAAAACACATCTAGAACAAATCACCGTCTCAGAAATGGGAATCTCGTGCATCATTGAATTCGTTCGATGTGTATCAGACATGCTTATCCTTAAGGTTGACGCTCATCTCCAAGATGATTTTCGAGACGGCGTATTTGTCAAAATACTTGAAGAGTCGATTGCATTCGAAAATGAAATTGGGGATTTTGTTGCTGAATGTGTTGACTCACAATCTAAGAGTTATCTGCCCGCTTTTGTCAATGCTGTCTTTTCCCGACCAGAAACGTTGCAACGCTGGGTGCAAGCTGAAAAGTTAGGTATATAAAAGAGCCGCTAGAACGTTATTATTATTGTTAGTATTATTTAGTTAAACTTCAACTACTAATACTAATTCAACTTTGACTTTCTATTATTCTGTAGCTTCCCTGGAAAAACTGGATGACATGTTTAGCTCAGAATCTGCTTGGAGCAAGCCCATTGCTGCGGGACCACCGGAAATTGTAGATTTGTTTGTAGCTGTGATTCGTAGTTTAACCGATCGATTCGCACATCTCCAGCATCGTGCACAGCGTTTAAAATTTCTTCACTTGTTGAACGATTTACTAGACGAATTTCATGTACGCTCGCTTCAAACATGGAAGTGCAAGTCGGATATTAACGAATATTTGCCAAACGATACTCCAATCGACTATGTTATCGCTGATGCGTTGTACAGTATTCATGACACTCTTCAGGAATGGGAGTATTTACCTGTAAGATTTATTATTTTGATTATTTTTTTGATTTTGATGCAGTCAAAAGTCTAAGCAAAAAATATTGATTTGTAGTTCTTTGCGTCAATGTCCGTCAGAAATCCTAACGAGGATATTATTTCGAATGCCGCTATATATGCTACTGCCATGGACCTTTCACCACGTCGCCAATCTTCAAGCAGCACCAACTTTGTACCCATGATTTCATACGGAAGCGATTCCGCACCAGAATCTCCTGATTTTCAGCCCGGAAACCTTTTCGAAAATGCGTGCGGATTATACTGGTGTTTGGCAAATGAAATTCAAACAAAATGGTGCACCCAAGTAATCCGTCGAGTCAAAGAAGATATCCATAAATATGCTCAGATAAAATGGCAATCGTTTGATTGTACAACGACGCCTGAACGTTTAACAGATCAGCTTTTCCCCGCTCTGCAGACGCTCAAAGACACATGGAAAACTCTCTTTAATAGCATGGATCCTAAGAATGCGGATAAATGGATGAAAAAGCTGGCTGTTAAGGTCGATGAGGCGAGTACATGATTGAACCTATTAAAAAAATACTACCTGATTACTAGATTACTGATACAAATTTAACGTTCCAGGTTTTAATGGACGTGGTCATACTGCCAAACCAATTTTCTCGTGCTGGTGTATCTCAGCTAGAGTTTGACTGCACCACTGGAATCTTACCAATATTTAGCGACAACGGTGTCAACTGTAAAATTTTCTTTGGCAGCGTCTCCTCCGCGTTGATAATACTGCAACTGAGCACGGGGGAAGCAATGCTGCTTTATGACACGTTGCAGAGTGAAAATTTTGAAGACCGTGAGCTTGCCTTAACTGAGTTGGACGTCACCATTTGTCAGTCGGAAGTGATTAAAGTAATAAAAAGTCGTTGTGATCTTCGCATTTAATTACTTAAACTTTGTTTTCATATATACAAAAATAACAAGCCTTAATTTGACTAATTTAAAGAGTTGTGCTACCACAAAGTCACTATACATTTACGAATTATTTAGATTAGCTCTCCTTATTGTAATTATTTAGATTTGTACCATTTTTATGCAACGGTAAATGTATGTAAAAGTATTTTTTTGGAATAAAGTAATCAAGTTTCATTCAAGGTACAGTCAATGGAACAAGTATAGGCACCACCCACGCAAGCTACCTAAAATTGCCTATAACTTTGGAATGCATTATCAAATTAGCATGAAACTTTGTACACATTTAGCAAATCTAATGTAGTGTTCGATTATAATCATGTTTTATTGATTAAAATTGGATAAACATAGTTTTTAAATAATTTGTTGGAAAATATATAAAATTAACCCGCAAAAAGTATTGGCACCCTATAACTTATAAAATCATAAATCAAAGAATCGCCAATTTTATTACGTCACACTGCTTCTAATGTTATGTGGCACCTCCCCTCGACGCAATAAGAGCATAAATAGACCGTTGAATTGATTCGACAAGTTTCTTTATAACGCTTTTCTATATGTCTGCCAAAACTTCTTTCGAACTTTCGACAAGCTCGTTTTTCGACGAGTGGTTTCCCATCAGTCCCTCTTTTCTCAACCCGGACAATCAGAATCACATCGGGAGACTGTGCGGCCAACGAAAGAACCTTAACCTTTTCGGTTTCCAAAAATGTGCATCGATAATTTGGATGCATGTTTTGGGGCCACTGCATTTTTGGAATATGAAATTCCTTTCTAGGTTAGGTTTTTGTCAAATGTTTCAAATTATCGCTTATAATGATTACTTAGACCTCCCTGGTCATGATTTTGTCGATAATTACCAGATAACTATGCCGCGACCTAGTCATTTAACCCCAAACCACAATCGATCCTACGCTGTGTTTAACTGCCATATGCACATATTCGTTTTTGTGAGCCTTTTATCACATCCGCCAGACTTGGACCATTCAATTGGCTCCGAATAACTAATACTGGCTTACGTCGAAGCAGCAGACCCTTCTTTACTCAATGAAAGTCTATTTAGGGTGATATTGACCCTATTCCAATTTATTGAGCTTCTTCGTTTTGAGGACCCTCGCGTTTGTCGGGCAACTGGACCCTGAAACCCCATGGCATGATTTTTTATTGATCACCATATTGCATGATCTGTTGACCCCTCAGTTCGTACTCAAATTCAACATGATTTTGGAGGTTGAAATATTCCGATCTCGAGTGATAGTTTGCTTGATTAATCCGTTGATTTTAGGATTAGGCGGCTTTTTTAGCCGGATCATAAGAAAGCAGGAACTAAAATGATTGCTTCATGTCCTTTGGCTACATTTCGAATAGTAAATATCACGGAGCATGTGTCCTGTCTGAGTTTTCGATATCCAAGCTTGTTTGAGAAGGAGGCAAGATTATTTCTCGCTCTGCCAAAAATAGCTCGTTTGGTGTCGCAATTTTGGCTGTAGACAATACCAATCTGGACTTACGAAGCAGATAAAGTTATATTTTGTGATCTGATTAACTTACCGTGACAAAAGGCAGAGGTTTATCGTTATAAAAATTTCGCTCAAATAAGTAAGACATAAGGTGCCAATACTTTTTGCAGGTTCCAACCTGACGTGTTCGTGTCAAAATCAGAATAACGTTACGGTTATATAATTTCAGTCGGGAACATGATTATAATCGAACACTACATTAGATTTACTAAATGTGTACAAAGTTTCATGCTAATTTGATAATGCATTCCAAAGTTATAGGCAATTTTAGGTAGCTTGCGTGGGTGGTGCCTATACTTGTTCCATTGACTGTACTTGTGTAAAAATGATGTTAGCATCAGTCTTGTCTTGTTAGTAAGATTTTGAGTAAAGAAAAAAATAAGTAAGATATTCATAAATCAATTCTCGTACAAGTAATGAACAAATTGCATCGACATAATAATAAGAAAATCTGCATAAATACAAATCGGCTAACAATTATAAACTGAAAGTTCCAAAGGCGAGTGACCAAAAAATTGTTTGAATAAATCAAGAAATAAATAAGATAACAAACAGAACAAAATATGCAACTTGCAATTTTGAAACGATTCATTTGATAAAAATAATAACATCAGAAACAATTGCCAATTGTAGAAATTTCAAATTTTCTGTATCTTTTTTTAGAAAAAAGTCATTCAGCTCCCCCCTTCCAAATAAAATAATAATCATGGGTACCCTACATCTCAAGGACTATTTGAATGCTCCCGAAAACAAAGATTTTCATACGTACTTGCATATGAAGTAAAAGTATACATACAAAGAAATAAAACACAAGAAACAATGCATTTTTTTTCATTCGCCTTTTATTGATTTTATTCAACCCATTTCGTAGTCTTATACATGGTTACATATCGTTTTAATATATGGTAATCTGTATTTGTCAGTTATCTATTTTTTAAAACGATTCGTATAACATATATGCCACATATACTATTAATTAATTCATCATATTTATAACTTTAGTAATTATCAGTATCATTGGTCTTTATGTAAAAGCTAGGAGTTTACTGGAATTTAGAATCACAAAATTTATATAATCTATTAATACTTTATTCCAATTATAACAAAAGGATTAGAAAATTAAGAATAATCAAAATCTCAATATAAAAAAATATACGCTTTTGCTACCAAATTATACTACTCAACGGTATGAACTTATCAAGCATTTATTTAAAACTAGAGCTAGCCAGACTACTAAGCATATCGACTGCATTTAATAGTACCAGCTCACTAGCGGAATGAATATTCGAAGATTATAAACATATTATATATATATTGTAGTTTTTTTGTATTTTGTGTTAGGAACGATTGCATTAGTTACTTTCATATAGCTTTAAAAATAAAGACAAATATTTTTCATCCAAAGATAAATACTTTATTCATCTTATTATACATAATATCTCAGTTAGTAGGAAAATGTTCACCTCAAATTTTTTTGGCATTGGTATGAGTTAAATGCGAGAATGACATAACTAATTAACCAACTAACTAGATAATGTTTAATATTATATTTTCATAGAAAAAATTAGCTAGGAAGCACTCACCCCGTCACTAATTTCTAATTCGCGAGGAGCTTCAGTTGAACCTGTGTCAACTCCCTCGGCGTCAGTACCAGTCGGAGATGTGCAAGGTAAAGGAGAGATCGGACCACCTAAAAATAGTATAACATACTGTACAAAGGTGTCATGAAAATGTGAAATAAATCGAAATAGTACCATTGTTTTGATCCAATGATGACTCATTTTGGATGTCATCAATATCAGTCAGTTTTGGTCGCTTCGCCGGTGAGGAAACCGGTGTAGAGTTCAGATCAATTCTTTTTCCATCTTGAACGGGAGAATTATTGCTCCCATCAGAAACCGGGCTAAAGCCATATGAGTCCAAAGTTCTTTGTTTAATTTGTTTATTTTTATTTGTATTTCGTTTAGCAACACCGCGACACCATTTGGTACTCTTTCGGGGTGCTTTCCGTTTCTTGACGACGGAAGCGGCAGACTTTTTAGTGATGGAAGATTGAAGTACGGTCACCGGTTTAACTGTTGAAGCACTCGTGGCAATCGTACCAGCTGGGTCTTGAGAGGGGTTTGATGCAGCAGATCGCCGAAACATTGCGGGAATAGTGGGTACGAGTCCATTTCCAACATTGTTGGGTGGAGCAAGTGGAGCAGCCGCATCTTGGCCTATTTGAAGGCTCAACATATCATTGACCTTTCCAAACCAATTAAACAGATTAACTCGAAGGACATGTCCACGCCAATCAGGAAGCTCGTGTACGCGCTGATGTCGAAAATTAGCCAAGGCATCTTTATTGTACGGGAAGAATCGCTTAGCAACCTTTAACAGCTTGACTTTTGACATGTTGAAATACTTTCGGTTCGTCCCTTTTGACCTGAGCATGTGTACTTGGGTCCCAGAAATGGAAATAGCTGGGATGCTGCTGCTCTCTGATGTCGAAGCTTCTGGGGTGAGTCGAAGTAGAATATTAACATTTGTTATTATTATTATCATCATGTGTAACAGACACGGATAGCTAAATATTCTTTCCTTGTTAACTTAATAACTTACCTTTCTTGGTGATAGCGACACAAGCATTGCATTCCCAATCTTCAACAGACTTCAATTTTCCACACTTCTTGTGAATCGCGGAAGCACCACAAAGTGAGCAGCGAGCCAGCTCATAAGATCTATCATGATTACAACAGGTATACTAATAAACTAAATGTTCAAATGTTGAAAGTATAGGTTCGAGAATACAAAAATCAAAGAACTATACCCAAATTCTGCATTGAAATCATTTCCCTTTGGACATAAGCAAACTTTTGCATCGCACAATGAATATTGAAAGAGCAAATCATTAAAAGTCGTCCCTCGTTCCCAAGATGCGTCCCTGGAAATGAATACATCAAGGAATGATGTGAGTGAGTCGTGAATGAATTGCATACTACATAGCAAGCAGATAGGTATAGAAAGATATTTCAATTGATAATAATTTGAATGAAAAGAGTCGTTCAAGAACATAAATATTCAATAATCCATATATGGATTTCTAACGACAAAATATCCAACTATAAACATAGGAAATATATTTGCGTGTATATTTATATACATTAGAACTTACTGTTCTGGGACAAAGACTCCATGGGTTCGTAATTCCTCAATAAATTTGGTTGTTTCATTGCATAATGGGCATTTCAAAAAGTATCCAGCATTTAATGCCATTTGCTGATATAAGACAGAGAAATCAGTTTATGAGAAATGTAAAACTCTGACAATCCACATAGTAATTACTATGTGTAAAAATAACTAACCTTAGCACAATCCTTATGGAATATAGATCCATTGCAGCATCCCCCTTTGATTACGTCTTCATCTTTTGAAATGCCAGACATACACAAGGGACAACTCAGTTCTTCATTATCAGGAAGACAAATGTTCTGATGGTCGTAGTGCTTGGGGCAGTACGTCCTAGAAAAAATGAAGCGAATATTATATTAGTTTGCTCATTATTCTCAATGCAATGTTAACATAGTATATTTTCACAGAAAATGATTTGATTGTGTGAAAGTTTAGAACTTACATCGTTATCGAAAATCAATCAATATACCAATCAATCTTAACACTCGAAAGTCTGTCATTCACTTACTCAAAATTTCGTAAGAATTGGTATTGGATATCATTGGCCAGACCACACGGGAAATGATACGTAGTTCGGCAAGCTTTCGTACAACATCCAATAGATGCACCAGTTTTCCCACAAAATGTACATTTCTGAAAAAATAAGGTATATTAATATTATATTTATTACTTTATTAATTTAACTTAAATCCTTCTTACCAAACGGCCTCCCCTTCGCACTTCCTTCATAATATCTTCCGGCATAAATCCAAGAATACCCTCCGCATCAGTTCCTGATTGCGTCAACCCTGACGAAAACAACTGCAAGAAGGCAATAAATAATGAATAATTTTATAAAATAAAATATCCACTAACTAAACTAACCATGCAGAAGTAATGGCAAACAAGCCCATTCAAATCGTAGAGTGGTCCATAGCTGACTTCATTCAGTTCTGGTGACTTGCAGAAGATACAGACAAGTTTGTTGTCCTTATCCGTGATCATTTTCACCAACGTTAACTCCGGTATCTGAATCCCGTCTGCAAATGAGTCATATGTATTATTTTATGTTTATTTATTATATACTAAAGATATGGAATTGAAGTTCGCCAATCCGCCATTTCCCTTCAATGTTTTGCTAGCCAAGCACAAAGTATTTAAGATAACCTAATCATGGGATGAGTTTGATACTTATTAAATTAATTTCAATTTTGATAAAATTCCGTCCTGCACATAAGCTCTCTTTGTTGGGGACTTTGGAATTTTTCTTATTCATTGTTTGGTACATTCCAACACAACCAGAGCATTCTTCACATTGATTCACCAACCCTTCACATTGATTCATCAATGCGAAAATTGCTGACCTCGATAAGCTACGAGACCCAATGAGGGAGGAAGTGCTAATGTTTGTTTAATTTTATACCAGCTTAACTATTTACAGGATAACTCTGAAAATTTCATTATGTAAAACAAAGTTGGTGTAATGTAGATACCGTGCAAAAAGGATGTTATCGATTTGACGGGGATTATGCGGCAAGCATCCAATAAAATCATTCCATGCTAATTATAACATGAAGAATATAGGTCACACTAGCCGAGTAGGGATCAAAACTTCTTAAGAAAATCTACCTCACTCTTTCAATAGAAAATAATAAACCCCAAAAGTCAAAACTAAAATATCTCTCCCCCCCCCCCCCCCTCAGAAAAAATACACGAATAATACCAACCACACAAATAGATTAAATGTTGATAAGAAATACAACTTACCTTCCTCCGACGAATACGACCGACGTCCCTGCATCAGTTCAATTGCAGAATTTTCCTCTCCCATTTCGAAAATCAGTCTTTCAAAAGCTACTACTCGTAGACTTTTGTCCTCCTCCTACTGCACCGCTGGGGGGTGGGCTTATTTCAAATTCAAATACGATAAGAAATTAAATTTTCAAAAATTCCGAAGAATATTTCCTGGAGCTCTCGTGGAATGAGAGCGAGCAGAAGAAGTGGAGAAGTGATGCGGAGTAGGAAAGCGAGGGATCGGGCCGAGTGAAGAAGCGAGGGAGGAAAATTAACGGCCAACTTTGAAGCCAACCCCGCCGACTCGTTTGGGCCTCATTCCCATTGGATTTCTCACTCGCTGCCTACTTTATGCAAAATCTCGACTTTCTCAAAATGACCGGACAGTTAATTAACTAAATATAGTTAATATTTAATTGATTTATGGAAGTGATAAGATAACCTGATTTTTTATGAGATTAGTATTATTTCTTCATAGATAAGCGTATTTCTTAGCTCCACAATTTGTATTTGATTTACATTATGTAAATTACATATAATTTAATTAAGCATTTATTTGTTTTTTCATTTCTCTTCTGTAGCATTTCTTCATTTTTAAGGCTAAAAAGACTTAAAAGATGACTCATTCACAGTCAAGCGGCATGATTATAAAATTATCATCGGATAACCTGCATTCTATTCTAAGAGTGCTGAGTACTTTTTATTTAGTTGCAGCAATAAAATAAAAAATTATATGAATAATGTCATTATTAAATTCATATCTCTCTCCTGAAATGACATTGACGTGACATTGAGGACTGAATATTGTCTCATCACATCACTCCATCCTTAGCATGGTGACAAAGGAGAGGTTAAAGGCATGAATGGATTTGCATAAGTACTAAATTGGCTTCTATTGTGTACTTACATGCATACAATCCAAGTTTTTAGCCGTATATATCTATATATATTGCCAAAAACGAGATGAGAGAGGTTGCATGATTCCACTCCACCAATTCCTTTCTTGGACAATAAAGGAAAATGCATCATGCCTGATTAAGACACAAATCAGGAAGGATCATCGTCGTATAATTCATAAGAGAGAAGTGTTATTACGTAGTTTTATGTGACCTTCCAGCTAAATTGAATCAAATATGGTTATTACTCTACTAAATTTGCAATGAGACACAAATCTAAATAAATTGATATTACTGCTGTTTTATAGACTTTTATAAGATGCAATATTTGCGTGGGTGGTTGGCACTCAACGTTCGTCGTCAACAAGATCCCGTTTAATGTTTAACCGAGAACTTGCATTACATGATGATGATGATGTACGTTTTTTGTGCCGTGTTGTTATTATTATTATGCCGAAAGAAAGGGGTAGAAGACTAGTCATCATGAAATCAAACAAGGAGTGCAGTCCGTTATTAGACCTGGATCATGGCCTTTATACAAATCTCATCCTATTTACTCTGCTGCTGAGCATTGTGGTTTAGTCGTTTAAACCAGCAGCAGCAAATGGTAGTTGAGCTTCGTACATTTGTGTGTACGAGATAGGTAAATAGAGAGAAGAGATGCAAATAAAAATAGTTGGATGCAAACCCTCGCAATTTTCCTGTTAGTTAGTTAGTTACTTGTGTATATTATTATTATGGTGTGTGTCCGTTGTTCTTCGTCGTCGTCGGTTTGCTAAATACGTTTAGTTTTGCATTTTGCATCTCTTCGTCTTCTTTTGCACGGAGGAGGTGCATGGTTGTGAGAGACACGTAGAATTATTGATATTTTTATTTTTATTTGTGAGACGGAGACAAAACATGGACTTTTGTGAATAGAGGACGAGAGAGCCCTAGGTTTAGTAAAAAAAAAAGGAACCTTAATAATAACAAAATAGTGGAAGAAATCACTATCCGAGGCTCCCTGTCCTTCTAGTCACACAACCGAACGAACGAGAAAAAGGACCCAAGGGACCCACTTTTCAACGTAAAGGTGAGTTTTTATGAATTATTTTTTGTTTCAGTACATTTTAAGGTTTTGAACTGGTTGAACGTCGGTTAGTTACATGTAACAGTTGATTTTTGTAAAAGTAAAAAGCCATTAGTGATTTTTGAATTTAAAAAAATATCTAATTCTAATATTCTATACAGTTTAAAGTTTAAACTTGGGCAGCCAAGAAAAGGGAGGTTTTTGGCTATTAGTTAGTACAAATTACGAGTAGAAAAGAGTGCTCAAGATTTCAATCATAGATATAAATTATCGTGTAAATTGTAAACAATTACAATAAATTATCAGATTCGTAGCATTTCACATTTTGCATTGTAAATATACAATACATGCTCCAATAACTCGGAAGAAATTGTAAGTGTAAATAATTAATACGCTGTATTATTCGTTAGTTGCATTGCATTCACTTCACTCGTAATAATTAATAACGTACATATTTAGCAGTCTAACAACGTCTCATCTCATGATCCCAAGCAGTACATAAACTGATCTGAATTCGTTCCGATTTGCTAATTTATTGCTAATCGTGACATATTATTCAAAGACGAAGAAATAAGTGAAGGCCGTGCATCAATAATTTATCACACATTTAGAATTTGCAAAGTCATCTTGGTCTGGCCAATATTATTGCAATTTTTCAAGCACTTTAGTTAGTTGCCATGCGGCGATCATCATATTTTGCACTCAACACGATTGCGGAATCTCGGGTGAACGGCCTGCCCGTAAAAGAAAAGAAGTTCATTTCTGGATATTTTTTTTCCATTTTCAGTTCGTCTTGCCACAGTCGGAGAGGATTGGATCGCACAACCAGAGAGACGACGACGACTTTTTTAATTGGCATAATTAACTAACTAACTAACCTTCAAATTTCGAGTTATTCAGCGTCGAGTGGTTCCCACTTCTACCCTTTCTCGGGGGGGTTTTTCTTACAAGGATAACAGGAAATCATCAAGAGCAGCCATGATTGCCTACTTCCTCTCAAAGCTCATCATGTAAGTATTTTTGGTGCAGTTTTTTGCCATTTCTCGTCGTTTATCTTTATCTTTTTAACTGGTATGTAGGATTTTCTACGGCATGCTCTACCCTGCGTACTGTTCGTACAAAGCTGTGAAGACCAAAGATGTCAAAGAGGTAATAAAAAATTGAAAGGGAAGAGAAAATGTTCCGGGACGATGACGGGTATAAAAATAAAGAGAAATGTCTTGTTTTTTATCAGTATGTTCATTGGATGATGTACTGGATCGTGTTTTCAATCTTCAGCGTCTTTGAAGTTTTTGCTGATACGTTTGTAGGCTTGTGGTGAGTGAGATTTGAAGAAGAAAATGGAATTTTTTAACAGACAGAGAATGATGTGAATAATATTATTTTCTTATCTAGGTTTCCGTTTTACTACGAAATCAAGATCCTGTTCATGATCTGGCTACTTTCTCCGACCACGCGGGGAGGTAGTACTTTGTATCGGCGGTTTGTTCACCCATTCTTCACCAAACATGAACCTGTAAGTTATATGTGTATTTATGAAGGCTAATTTTATCAAGTGACAAAAAAGGTTAGACAAAGTACTAATTTGTTTTCTCATATGTAGGAAATTGATGGATATCTTACCGAGTTCAAGCTCCGAACATCCAGTCTGATTGTACAATGGGGTACAAAAGCATTTTCGTACGCTACCAATTTCATTACGACACAGGTGCTCAGGGTATGAATACAAATTTAATTTCAAACACTTATATAGTTTTTATGTAGCACTTGCAAATGACATTTATAAATAATCTGAAGTATCATTATAACTTTGATTTGTTTTAATTACAGGGTGGACTTACTGACCAAACCATGATGACAGTAACCAAAAGTTACAGCTATGAAAATTTCGGTGCGTCAGCCGACATGAATCGGAACAATTACCCTATTCTTCCTCCTATGGATGAGCTTGATAATGGTCGAGGTATGTTTTTTTTACAAAGGCGAGATTGTTGTTTGCATGTATATGGTGCAAGATTTGAGTACTACTCTCCTTATTGGTTGTAGTTGAACTGCCTTCCGATATGGACACTGCATTTACCCGTGAGCGACCAGCCCCACGCCAACGGTAAGCTAAATTAATACACATGAATGTTTGGATTTGCGTAATCTACATTATATTTAGTTGAGTTTATAATTATTTTCAGCAATTTGTACACCTCTACCAATTTCTACGGCTCTGTAGATGAGCAGCTTGGAAGAATGGCCGAAATTTCAAAGCCCTACTCCATGATGGATTTGACTGAACAAGACGATGAGCCCATGCCTCCACCCAAAGTTCGCTCCGGCTCACGAAAGAAGAAAGAGGTACTGGGAAAATAGATTATTTTTTATACTAATCGGAATTTCAGACGCATCGAGTATAGAAATTGTATAGAGATATTATTGAGATGTAAATATTCTTAAAAAATTAGGCAGCAGGGATACTATAGATATGAATATAAGTATGTGCATACTTAGTTCTTGAATTGTTTAGCAGTACATACTGACTCACTGATCTTACTGTTTGTTTTCTTCTTCTCCAATTATCCACATCAAGTTTGGGAAGTTTTCGGTCATAGCTGGACCGGAGATGGGTGGAATGCCCGTTGTGTTCTGGGGTCATCCTGACATGACCAGTCCAATAATGTCTACACCATTTTCTCCTCAAGAGTTTTCACGCATACCTTTCCAATTTCATGGAGGAAACCAAATTTTATGCGCTCCAGCACTAATGAAAAAGCAACAAACAGGCTTCCAACATTTTCAAGAAACTTTAACTCATATAACTGACGACGAGGATGAAAGCGAAAGTGACAGTAGCAGTGAGAGTTTTTTTGATTGTGACAGTGACAACCATTCTAAAAAGGATAAGATCGGAAGTAGCAGTGGTAGCGATGGACGTTCATCCGTAACACCTAAAGTTCATGTTGTTTCTAAAACCGTACTTAAAGAATTTGTTGGTAGTGAGCCCTCCTCCTCTTCTTCCGCTGTGCCATTGAGGAAAAAGAGGTCAGCGGATCCCCAGCAGCAGCAGCAGGGCCTTACTCCTAGTAATAGTGGTACATTTCAAAAACGAAACTCGGCGTCCTCCTTAGACAGTCTTGACAGTAGTGGTGGTACTGCTAGTGCTAAACCTAAAGTAAAAAAAAGTTTGAGCCAACATGAACCGAAATTTGTGAAAGCTCCCATTTTATCATCGTCCTCATTCAGTCGAGTTTTTAGCCCCTTTTCACCCACTGTGAAAAAAGGGAGCAGTCCAACTCCAAGTAGTAGCAATCGAAACTCGAAGGAATACTAGTTTTCAATCAGAGTCAGAGTCAATGTTAGCGTGGGTGCTGATGCAATTAATTATTACGTATTACGCAATTCAAGTAAGTTGAGAAAAGTATGAAGGCAAGTACGATAAGACTTACTCTGTTTTTGGAAACGTCATGTTTTTTTTCTCTCTAACTACTGACAACCTGAAACTGGTATTATATTGCTCACTGACCTCTTATCTATGAGCCATAGATAGTCATTGGCTTATGTGTTGGCTGGTCGTAAATGAAAAAAACAACCCTAAAAAATGTATGAATGGTTTTAGCTTTTGTTGCGGTATATAAAATGATAATTATTCATTATTTTCTTTTTTATAATAACGTTTGTCAATTTGCATGGGACCGCATAATATGTATGCGATACAAATAGTACGTACTATTTATTATAATGTGTATGTATGTATGCATTTATGTATGCATCTCTCTAACCCGTGTGTCATGATGACAACCTCCCTGTTCTAATTGTTGTTTGGACTTTACCCTAAAATTTGCCTATTAATTTGCTTTCAGGAAAACTTGTACGGAACCCTTCCTCGAACCAAGCGAACCAATCGACGAACTACTAAGCAGCAATAAGACTTATTTCTCCATCCTCTTTATAAATACTCCGTCCGATCCATTACATACACAAAGCAACAAAAAAAACTAGCACAATAAGTGTTAAGAACCGTCCTTCAAGTGCCTTGTTGATTCTCACTAATTTCTCAATTATTTATTTGAGTGTAGATAGATACACAGTCCAAAATTGTTATACGCAACTCTCGACTGTTGTGATATGTGATATTACTTATACAATACTGATGCTAACATCGTTCAACCCGCACCGATTTCTAATACCATTTGTACCCACGATAAAGCGATAACAAATTTTTATGTATATCAATAAAAGGCGATTCGTCAAGTTAGCTTTTTAAAGAAAGAACTGTTCATAGGATTAGTCAATGCGTGCTTGATTTTTTTGCAGAATCTCATCTGTCATAAATGAATACCAAGCAGATCGCGATTTCTTATCGTAGTACAAAAAAATTAGGCAATGCCAGACTAGCAGAAAGTATAGCAAGCAACAATCGATGATGATGATGCATCATCATAATGATATCTCTTTACCGTAATTCTCAATACGAGCTACCTATCCATCCTTGTCAATATATAGTTGTGACTGATAACGTAGGGTCTCTTAGGTTTAAGGGTTGACAATAATTTTCATGCAAAATGATTTGATCCTCCTCCTCCTCTATTTTTAGAGTTTGGATAGAAATAGTGATACTATTCGCAATAAGTTGTAATTTATAAATAATTTATGCTAGGTACAAGTTTAAACTATTTTTCCACTTCCATTTTTCCCCTGTTCTGTAAATGCACTATATATTTGTCTTGCGTTTTTTATTACAAACATGTATCTCTAGTTTACTGGATGTATGCATATGAATACTTATGACATAAATTTATCCAAGTGCGTAAAGTAAATGACATGCTAAATATATATCAATCACCTCCTTCTTTTCCATTTATTCCACGTTACATTACTACCGTTTGTGACTTGGTAATGGAAACAATGTGTATCTACATACTTATTTTTATCGCAGTCACTTAATAAAGATTGAATTGTTACGTTAGGTGATTTTAAATAGATAAATAAGCGAAATAATAAAAGGTGCAATGCAAACAGAAAAAATGTGCAATTCTTATCACTTTTATATTATCGATAACCTGGCACGATAAGTCTCAAACAATATTACGGTTTTTGCATCTTCAACGATGATAGATATTTCTACCATGTAAAGCATACCATCTCCCAACCTAGAACTAGACCTAATTCTCCCACGTGCCAAAAACTGAAATACATTCCTCGTATGACATACATACAATCTGCATCTACGTGCAGACAAAGTTATTGGTTATGTTTTGGCAGTTAATTTTTCGCAAGGAAGAAGTGCGGAGAAAAAGTGTGATCATCATCGTCACTCGGGCACAAAATAATGTTTATGTACGGAGCCAGCGAGCAGATTTTATTTACTTATGTGCAAAAATATTATGGCGAGATTGCCATTATTATGGTAGGACATGCACATTACAGATTCTACATACATCCTCTCAGATAGATGATATCGTACATATCCGCTTATGCAAAAATTACCAAAAATATTGGCACTTCTCTCTCTCTCACACACAGTACACACACAGGTTTTGAACTTGAACTGCAAAAGAGAAGTTCGCGTCCTGCATGCATCCTTTTTCGCCTTCACGACAAGCAGTAGGACGAAGACGTGCATTGCCAAATGCAGAAATGCTACGTACATACGACGAGCATGGTGACGTAATCCGCACCACTTTCACCACCACTCTCTGCCCATCAGCAGCTTTCTCCCACTACTCGTGACTGACTCCATCCCGACATACATAACCAACTTTTTCGGTCCACAACAATACATAATAACAAAAAAATAACGATTCATTCACCATTTAAGAAGAAATTCATCTGTAACAGCCAGCTAGTAAAAAAACTCTTTGTTTTCGGTTTTAAAACAGTGGTGGTGGGCACCAGACACGTAGTGAGATTAATACATACATACCCAACTTTTTGCACGATACGCAAAAAAAGAAAGTTTGCATTTTTAAGGCGCACGTACACACGGGGGAAAATTGCAGGGTAAGTAATATCTGTATAAGATATAAGCTATAGGCAAATTAGCGTACCAATTTTTTCCAGACATTATATTTTTGATTCCGCAGTAGTTTGTTTCATTTCATTACTAGTTTTGTTTGATGGGACAGTTTTTAATTTCATTTTTCTTCGTTAAGCCTCGCTCAAGAGGAATAAAGAAAAGCGGATGGTTTTATCAAATCGATATTTGTCATCTAGTTGAAAGGTATCGAACCATCATGCCTCGGTCGGTTGAGGTCAGGCCGAAAAGGAAATATGTAAATGGGATGATGATGTGCATGTATAAATAGTTACCGTGTTTGGTTTTTGGGCGAAGGGCATTGCAGGAGGTACGGTACACACGTATTCGACATAACAAATTTTGGCCTGTATTTCCTTATTTTATTACTGACTACTTTTTTTTCCGCGGAGAGTGGTGCTGGCTGGGCGATTAAAAATACAAGAGGAGGCGAACGAACGGACCCCCTCACGTATGTATGAAACCCGGGTGTTTTTTTCTCTTTTTTCTGTAATAAACAATCAATCACACGCTACATGCGGGGAAGGAACAAAGAATCGGCGTTGTTTTTTTTTAGTGGACATACTTTCTTTCTCCAGTAAAATTTGGACCGTGTGAAATAAAATTGTAAGTAATTTCCCTTGTGTGATTTTCTTATAGCTCGAGAAGAAGAACCTAAACTTACAGAAGGCTACTTACTTTTGTGTACAAGCTAGCCAACTTTACTGACTCGGATCAATCAATAATATTCAGAATGGTGCCATGCAGATTGTGCTAGTGTTAAATAAGTGCAAGTTATTATTAATTCACCATCATCATCGTCATAAGAATGAGGTCGTTTTCCTTTACCAATGCTGCTGATAAGAGTTTGGAAGGTGCTCCAGGATGAAAAAAATCTGCAGGCAGATTGCAAAAGTCGAAAGGATTAATTAAGAGGTGAGTTAAGTTACTTATTTAAGTTGATGGAGTTAAGTAGAATTTTTTTTAGTTTAAACTTAATTATGTATGGGAATCTTTAGGGTTTTTAATGTTCCACGCTTAAAATTTTTACGATTCATTTGAAACGGTAATGACATTCATTAAATTTTATGTACATTGGTGCACGTGAAATTCATTGTTGAGAGCAAGTCGCACTTTTATGCCACACTTTTGGGATGAGGTGTTGAATAAAACATTTTATGTACATACATAGTTTTGCACATAACATATCGAATTCTGTGGTTTTGCATGCATAGACTTGAACCTCTGTATGTTATGAAAGTGGACAATAGATCGGCATAAATAAATGATTAATAAGCTTGTGGGGCATACTGATACGTATTTAATTACTTTAACCACAATTTCCTCTACAATTAAAATACCTGCACGTCTAAATACATTTAAGTACATAGATATCGAAAAAAACAGGAAAATTTGTTGTTGGTTTAATCTACACACGCTCACATCATGCATGTCTACACACTTATGATGACACTTTTTTACTTTTAAAGCACACACCCAATGTAGACATAAATAAATAGATACATATAAAAAATCTGTTTTTATGCATTGCTGACTGACCATTATCGATCGTTAGTCTTTAAGTAAACTGTGTAATCATCACCAATTCCATAAATATCTTTACATTCTTGATTCTATATACAACCATCTTGGTTCGATCCACTCCCATCTGTCCAAATATAAATCTGGAGCAATAATAATAAATACCGTTATCTATCACACATTAGAATCATGTCTTTACTCAAGAAGAAGAAGTAAAAGTTCACATTTTTTCTGTGCACAAATGCACAAATAAAAGTCCAGATTTCTCGAGTCATACATGAAGGAAATGAATCATCTCGATCTGTTTGAACTTGACTTATCATATCATACTTATCATGCACCACCAATGCAATGCAGTTACAGCCAGTGTATGTACATACATACATACATATTCATTCCTGATAAATTTGTGATATTAAGCAGAGCGTTGAATTGACATAGAAGAATCAAATGCACTTATTTTTTCATGACTTTCAGCTAGCCCAGCTCAGTTGGAATATTTAAGTGTTTTTGGGTATATTTCCCCATCAGACTAATGACAAAGCCGTGTCGCTATCTTTCGAGAATGTCAGGACCCATTTCCAGCAGGAGAACATTAGACACATAGCAGGACCACATATGCATATGCACTAATGAAGTGTGATATAAAGGATAAAAAGTATAGTTGGAGCTTGAAGAAGCTGGTACAAACTGGAGCTTGTAAATAGCAGCAGGAAAGAGAGATATCTCTATTTTATTTTGTCGTGTATGTATTTATGTACGAATATGAATGGACGGATGCAGCAGGGGAACAAGTGTCAAGTGAGACTCATTAAACAGTAGTTGTCGTCACTTTAGAGAGCTTTGACTCCTGATTTTCACAAAGTGCATAAGAATTTTCTAAAATAGGGAAAAATCTATACATTTTTGCTTAAGCTACTAAAAATTACGTAAAACAAGCCACATCCAGAAGGTGCATATGTACATATACGTATTTACGTACAACATATTTAGCAGTACGCATCATCACAGAATGATGCACATTTTGCATTCTCTCTCTCTCTCATTCGTTACACAATCTAATTTGTTAAACTAACTTGGAGAACCACGAGTATCTACACAAAAAGTTGAGTGTTGTACAAAGCTACACACATTAAATGAAGCAGATTACAATACAGCAGAGAGTGCAATATTGCTGCTGCATTGCGTTGTTGTTCTGATCATCCATTGTTGATGATCAAACATGTTCAGGACATTACCACGACCACGACTGAGACCAGGGACGGATACGACCACGACGTTTTAATACATCCAGTCTAATTTTTTGTACTATCTTCCTCCTCCATTTTTAACCGTACATTCAGTATAATCATCGTCGTCAAGTTAGGAACTTACTTAGGTGTGAAATTATTATTATAAGACCAAGACGAGATTGAGAAGAAGTAAACAGTTTTCTTATATTCGCGTATGTGCTGGATTTTCCTCTCGTTTTTTTCCCCCTTCTGTACTACCGACAACCGATGATGATATTGTAAATACAGAGTGCATGGTGGGTCGGCGTTTCGTTTTATCAAACTTATTTATAGCAGAGATCATCTCGGTAGTTGGAGGAAGTGAGAGGGTGAAAGGTTAAGTTTTAACTTATAAAGACGTTACATAATAATACACATTCTTCAATTGTGATTGTGGTGACGAAATAAAAAATTATTGCCTATTATTTTATACCGAATTTTTTTAAAATTTTGTATCAAAAGGAGTTTCTTACATAATATTTCATTCATTGATTCATGAATAATTACGGAGTGCACAAGTGACATTGCAATACGGTTACTGCGCCAAAGTTTTACATAATAAATAATAACAATAGATATATCGTTAATCGTTACTCCTTTGTTTTGTCAGTCATTCATTCATGATGAGACAAGTTCTACTACTAATACCGTCTCATCTTCTTGTGGTAGCGTTGTTGTGGTGTGTGGTTAAAAGACCTGGACTTGTGAATTTTACTATGTGACGTGATTTTCAATCTTGTCAGGAAGTGATATTTTTTTAAAATTCTAACCTCCATCGGGATCCGTGTAATGCGATGAAATTCAAACGGAGACAAGTGCGAATTATTAATATATTTAATTTCAAAATATTTTCAAATTTTCTTTCCTGCTTTTTTGATAATATTTCGTTTTTGGTGGTTTGGTAGCGTGGGTGGGTGGTAGGAATCACTGTTAAATCGTGGTAATTTTCTGTAGGGCGACCAACGGATTTAAAAAATATTGTGCTGTTGAAATCTGGTTTTTGAGACAAATATTTGCTAATTGCGTCTCGTATTCGTAAATATCTCTGGGTGCCGATGTATGTCTGTATAGCCGTGCTGCGTTCTGGTATTAGTGGTGGGAGTGTACGCAGTATACTTGTTTATATTTACTGCACAAACGCTATTAAAAGCTATCGTACGACGCCATTTATCCACCGACCCCGTGCACATGGCAGAATGTTGTGGGATTGGGATGGATGAGATACATGAATGGAGAGAAGATGCTAAAATAATGGTTTACAAACATGAGAGAGAGAACCTTCTGTTGCTAAAAAGTCGTTATGAAATTTAATTTCGCATTTCTGCTCCTTGTTTCACAATAGAAGAGTGAAATTCGCACGCAGAAATGGTTTCATCAAACTGCTGCTCATTTAACTTAATTCGGAAAATAAACACTTTACTTGTATGGAGAATGTTATTAAATGCGTATTTGTTGTGGGCATGTTGGGAGATAGATAATTTGATAATTTGCACCCTGATTGTGTCTTTCTTTTCAGATTGCACAATATTTTGGTGATAGACTTTTTTTTTGCAATTTGGCCAAAAATACGATTTAAATGTCGGTCGTTCATGTCAGTTCTTTGACAAACAGGAAAATAAGAAAGTATGTATTATTTGGCAAAAAAAGTGCCCACTATTGTGTCCCAGCCTGAAATTGTGCACTTTTCCTTATACCCATACATACACATGTACATAACTGTATAGTTATGCGAAATTTAGGAAATGGACAAAATGAAACACGACAGGTTTGGTTGGCCACTCGAAAAATTGCACATGCATAATTAATCCGAATCGGGTCATAGAAATCAATATGTAGCCCCTTCTCCGCGTCGTGGTTCGTTTTCTTTGGGCTGATTTCTAATTTAAAGAGTCAACTTTGTCAAAATCAATTAATCCATTGTTTCATAAATATAGAGTTGGAGGGTTTGTAATAAAAATAAATCCACAGTCATCGCCACTCTTCTTCTGCTTCTACCACCTTACGCAATTTTGTCGATAAATACATACACCACGAAATAATGAAATATTATCCCAGTCTTAATTACTGAATTGCTCCTTCCTTCTTTCTTCTCCTTTAATAAGTATTCTCATCTCGTAATAAAATACCTTGTCGTAGAAATTAACGTTGTTTTATTTCTTATGATTTTGTGAAATTTCTTGATCCTTGCCTTGCCTGGTGGCCGTTTTACGACTTTTTCGTTTCATGGTAAGTATGCTGAGAGGGAGGAAATAGATAACAAGCATCATCATCATTTCTATTAATTAATTAGTAACGTTTTGCGAATTTTATCCTGAAAGCACACAGTTTATGATGCAAAATAGTGCGATTATTACAGTAACGACCTATACCAGTGTTGTTGCTGTGATCATAAGTCAACAACTAACCAACTACATGTGCAGATTTTGCACATCATGGCATTCATTAAATTTGCACTTATTTATCAGAGTGCATATGTATGTATGTACCTCGTTCAGCACAGATTTATTTGCTCGTGAGGGAGGAGGTGCAGTTATAGTTGCATTACGTATTTAAGTACAGGGTGGTTTAAATGTCAGGTTACAATGTAAAATTTTGCAATGGGAAAAATTCGCAAATATCCATTAGTTACCTAAATTTTGCCTCTGAAATTCAATATTTTAAGAATTTTGTCATAAGTTTTAATAAAAATTAATAAAAATCTCAATCCCAAATCAGTAACTAATGGAAATTTAAAAATTTTTCCCATTAAAAAATTTTCCATTGTAACCTGACATTTAAACCACCCTGTACATTGGTTAGATTAACTTATAGTTTGATTCAACCCTCCGATATATTTGCAGTTCGAGATAGTATCGTGCAGTGCAAATAATAATGCGCACAGACAGAGAAGAACCAATGTTTTTTGCATGTATCGCGGATTATGGATCGTATGGTGTAGATGTGCAATAAGTAATTTATGTACTTCAGCTCAGATTTGAAGGTTATTGGCAATAAATATTTACTGAATTATGAAGTCATTCACATCACTCGTAATCTATCTTTAGTCGTGCTAATTTGAATCCAATTTAACGTTCAGTCACACACCACACCACACGGCTCATGGCGATGAGTGTGAATTGTTCAACTTAAAAGATTTGCATGAGATTTTGACTACTTATTGGCAGTCACAAGACCAAGATTTTTTTCAGACAACAAGTGTGTGTCCATCTGCATAGATACAAGTCAGGCACATCCATCACACAATAAGTTATTGGTCATTTTGTAGTGTTTTTTTTTGCAAATTTCGTGTCCTGAAAATACGTAGCTGAAATGCATAAGTAGAAACGTTTAATTGTGTGTGATCAATTAAGTGGATACATAAGTGACACTTGTGTTTATATAACTTTTTTAGTTGACTAATAATATTATGGACCATGAAACGATCGGACAGGAATTGGTGAAATGTGTTCTTGTCGGGTAAAATGATTTTATAAATTTGATAATTTTTGGGAATGAAATGTGTTCAAAATTTTGAAAGGTTGTTTTAATTTTTTGTTTACAGAGACACTGCGACCGGAAAGACGAGACTTGTTTGTGCCAGAGCTTTAAATGCTCGCGTCTCTCTGCGACAACTGCTTCGACAACATGTACGATTTGAACTTTTATTAAAATTTTTAAATGCATTTGTTCTTATCAAGTGATCTTATCAAATGTATGTAGGTTCCCACGGTGTGGGCGATCGATCAATATCGAATGTACAAGGAGGTACTGGAACGGTCCATGACGATGGTGGATGGCGTCCAGGTATATTAAATACTTAAAAATTAAAGGATAAATTTCCTGGAAAAATAGAATGTTTCTGAAAATGGTACTCAATCCGTTGAAAGGTATCTCTCCGATTGTGGGACACATTTGGAGATCATGAAAAAGATCGGCGTTTCGCGTACGGAAGATCTGACGTAATCCTCCTCTGTTACTCAATTGGCAATAAGAATTCTCTCCTGCATTGTAAAACAGTATGGTAAATAAGAGCACATTATTTTAAAAAAATTAGTAAAATATGGAGTTAAAAAATTTAAATTGAAAATTAATTTTTCAGGTTCCCCGAAATTCGACGATTCTGTCCAGACACACCGATTGTGCTCGTTGGTTGTAAGAATGATTTGAGATTTTTGTGCAAGGATTCCACATATCTTGCATATTGTCGTGATCGAAGCCCTTGCGTCCGCCCAACGCGTGAATGCGATGTCGTCATGCCGGAACAGGCGAGAGCGTTGGCGAAAGAGTTTGGAGTTCCGTACTACGAAACGTCCGTTTTCACATATTACGGGGTCACACAGGTTTTCGAAAATGCCATCAGGTGAGATTACGACTGACATGATTTATGACAAAATTTCTCCTCTAATTGTAATGCCGATAAATGTATGGGATCCTACTTAACTGATCATAATTTAATACTTTTTACGACCATAATTAATGTTTTTTTCTCTAATACTTCTTCTCATCATAATGAAATCCAACTTGACCATAACAGAAAAAATTTTGTCTTGAGAGAAACGCAATTTCCAAAGGCATTTGTGATTGGCTAAGAATAGATAAAATTTGTAAAAAATTTGTAAAATTTAAAATTTTGAAGCGATCTTAACGTGTATTATCACTCCTGACAAAATCGAGTACTTATGAACAACGAAATATTTTACTAAGAGTAAAAGAAGTATTTCTGTAAAAAAAACACTTATCATGGAATAGTATTAAATTATGATCACTTAAACATTCCCCGTAATATGTGTAATCATTCATTTCTTGTCAGGTGTGCCTTAATTTCTCGCCGGAATCAACGATTTTGGATGACCAATTTGAAACATGTTCAACAACCCTTGCTACAAGTGAGTGAGACATAGAACAAATTTTACGAAAACAGTTTAAAGTACCGCAACACGTACATAAAAATTTACAGGCGCCCTACTGTCCCCCGAAGAAGGACCTCAACGTAATAGAAGTTTTTCCTGGAACGTTTTCTGGAGATATGAAGGATCTCGTGGCTTCAAAGCATTACCCCGACTTGGTCTTTGCAATGGGTAAATTAAATTAATGGTGGGTGATAAATGTGTAATTAATTGTGATTAATACAATTTTACAGGAACATCTGAAGTAAGAGCTCATCGCTTCATAGTTGCTGCTGTGGCACCCATTCTTGCAGGGATTTTAGAACCAGAGGCAGATTTTTTGGGGAGACGAAACAGTGAAAGTAGTACCGTGAGTGTATTTATTTATGTAAATCAAAATGTAGCGGAGAAAGTTATGACAATGTACGAAATTATTTATTACGCAGACGAGCGAAAGTACCGTTGACGACACGGAATGTCTCATCAGATCGTCGCGAAACCACTACTCGTCCAAATCGGAAGGACATATCAACTCCGTGTTCTCCGACTCGCTGGAATCCGACTGGAAATTGAACTTTGAACGGAACAGTTGCAGCCGACTGATTGAACACTCGTGGACACGGGCGGCGTACGATGACGTCAAAATTATGCAAGTCGTTCTCAAGCTGAATGACAGAATTTCTTGTGATGCTATTCGTGCTATTTTGCATTTCATTTATACTGGAGATTTCACAGTGCATGTGCCCTGCTCGTATGAGGTAGGTGAAGAAATATTGTATTATAAAGATACCAAATTGTATCGAGTTCAGGAAATGTGCATCCGTTTGAATTATTCATGAATCCATAGGCAATGAAGACTGCGGCTGAAATTTTTGAAAATTCGACTCTGAACCAATATTTAGATGCATGGTTTCAAAGAGATGTAAAGTCGATGGAGGAACTACGTAAAACGCACAAACAGGTATCTACATGTATAAATAGGTAGTGGGTTTTGGAGTAATTGTGACATTGTTGTTGTCGATGTTGAAATTGGTTTAATTTTTGTCGACCAAATAATTGGTCGATTTTTTTGAAATTACCAAAAATAATTTTGATGTTTAGAATCTGAGGGCTGGAATTTGGACGAAATGCTTGGCCGGATACTGCACCGATGTAGAATTCCAACTTGAGGATGGTCAAGTTCCTGCTCACCGAGCATTACTAATTTCACGAAGTGAAGTAATGAGAGCAATGTTTTCACGGGATTTTATGGAACGCCGAAGTCAAATGGTTCGTAGAATCTTTCGAAATGTGATATAATTTCCAATATTTCTGATTTAACAAGTAATTTTTTTTCTGCAGGTATCCATTCCCGACGTAAATCAGGAAGTTTTCGTCTATTTTCTAGAATTCTTGTACACGGACTCAATTACCTCTCCAGTGCCTTCAGACGTGGGAATGCAAGTGTTAGAACTTGCAAACCGACTTTGTCTAACTCGCCTTATGAATTTCATGGAAAATGCGATGATCACGGATTTCACGGAGAAGCAAAGTCACGGCATTGATGTCATGGAGTGTTGCATAAGTTTGCTGGAACCTGCTCAGGTGGTGTACTGATTTAATCAGGGTATAAATTTGCATATCAATTTGCATATAAAATTGTCTCACATTTCTACAGCTGCACAACATTGAACAATTGGCTCAATGGTGTTTAATCCAACTCGCAACGAATTACGATCTCGTGTGTCGCAAGCATGGAAAGTCATTTAAGGAATTAAGCTGTGAAAATCGTCAATGGATCTCACAGTACAGATGGCCTCCTATTTGGTACAAAAATTAGGGTGATACTCTCCTCCATAGAAAAATTAATTGTTTTTTCTCGTCTTTTTCTTCCTTCAGGTACGTCAAGGACTATGACTACTATCAGAAAGCAGTGACCGAACGGTACAAATTAGACCATCCGGAGAAGAAGAGTCGTAAACGAAATAATTCTGGGTGCCTTTGTTTTCCTGGAAAATCCCGAAAAAACGTAGTCGCATCCTCGTCCGATGAACAAAGTGAGGTTCGGAAAATGCTAGTGTCCGCAGGCAGCTTGTGCTTTTGACTGGGCGACAGATTTAATTTGGGCGACAGTTTTAATTTGTCATCATTCTGCTGCAGCATTCCAATCATTCACAACTCTCTGGTCCAAGAAGAAGGAGTTTAAAAAAGAGTAAAACAATTAATTAATTACGTAAATCTAAATAGGATCTGACACTGCTGCGATTTGTATTCAGTGCAAGTTATTATTTTTTAGCCTTGATAAATATACTTATCTTGCAGCAATTTGTAATTTGTAATCGTTAACTGTTCCTTTAATGATTGCGACTAAATTTAAATATTTATGGTTATCTTGCATCGTTTTTATTCAAGTACAATGTATAAACGAAAGACTGTATAAAAACTCAAGGGTATTTTGTACCCACCACGTTTTCTAGTTCTGCTTGTTCTGATCGCACTCACAAACGTTATGTTATTTAATTGTTGTGTTAAATACTTAGTTGTCACGGCTTATGAGTGATTTTCGTTAAAATTTGCACATATTAATTCCATACACTATGTGACAGTATAATTCTACTTGTGACAAAGTTTTCGAACAAATTTTTGTAAATGAGCTTACATGCTTATTTTTTCAATCTTTATGACTTTCAATTTCAAGACTAAATTTACAATTAGTAGACTGTTTTTAGAATTGTGTTAAATTTTATAATTAAATGTACCCAAAATCACACTTTTTTATACCGTGTGCCAATCAATACGAATCAAATAATGAAATCACTTACTGACCTCCTGCCTGAAAGAAAATTAAGTATGCAAACTTGTCAATTGATCCGTTGCAATCATTAATTTTTAATGCACAAGAGAAACAGAAACAGGACAAGTAGCAGATAGCACAATTAAGGTTCATTCAATAATGAGAACAGAGTCTAATAATTAATAATAATTAATACTGAGTAATTATCACGGTAAAATTGTAGCATCTTAAAAAATAATATGTACGTAATTAATATGATAAGATGATCTCTTTGTCTTTCCTTTCTTGGATCGAATTTTGTAAAAGAGAGTGTAATAATTATGCAAATGATAAGTTGTTGTTATCATATTTAGTACCGATACGATAACCACCTTTTACGGGTTATACGAGTCGTGAACATCATGAATTCGCTCATTGGAAGTGACTCTTATTTACTTATAAATGTTTCAAATCTCATTAATTTCTTAGTAAATGCTAAATAACTATGAAATATAATATGTGATGATCAAAAAACCAACAAATGAAAATATTCATGTTCCTATATATTCGAGAAAAAGTGAAATTTCAATATTGATGATGATAATGGTACGTATGAAATGTATGTTGTCATTCACGAATATCATCAGAATTCTTTCTTATCGAGATAGATAAACGATTGAACAAATGCCTTGGCTAAATAATTAGTGTTACAAATTGTAATAAATCTACAATAATAATTCAAGCCATGAAAATTACGAATTTTCATTCAAAAAACATAAAACTGGAGGAGAAAGAAAACAAGTAAAAAATGTGATAATTATAATATAAAAAAAGTTACTTATTTGTAACCAAATTTCAATTGTTATACTACTGCTTTTGCACGCTGTTGAATAAAACAAAATTGAAAATAAAGTCTAAAACCAGCAATTATGTTACTCGATTTCCCCATTTTTGTCAAACTTTGAGGCCGATTTGCGTTTTCTCGACGAAATAACAATATTGGAGCTGATCTCATTTCGCCTCTCGTCTCACTCACCCTTTGCGAACCAAGCTAAATCATTTTATTAAAGGGAGACAAATGTCATTCAACTGTACAAAACCGGAACAACTTTGACGAAAAATTGACGACAAATTATATTCGGAAACCCGTCAAAAATAGTCGTTTTTTAAAAAAAAATTGGGTGCAATGTAAAACATTCAAGACAGCTTCATCTCTTAACGTAATTAGACAAGAAGAAGAAAGAGAGCCGTGCAGGAAGGAATAATAGTTTTGTTTCATTTTATTTTAAGTTGAATAACTAAGAATTTCGTCATTTTTTTGATCATTAATTAAAAGTAGGTCTTAAAATTGGTGAAGATGAAGTGAAAATTTGTGCTGGAGAGGGATTTGACCTGTGAAAATTTAGCAATGACCGATTAGCGGTCGTTGAAGATTTTTCATTTTCTTGCTGGCATAAAATTCTGTTAAAAATGCTTCCTACACACGGCTTATTTCGCTCAATTCCCTGCCCTTACTACGTCTCGGGCCTATGTGAACGCCCCCACTGTCTTTTTCGGCACACTAAATCGGGTAAGTTTAAGTTTCTGGAAACTTAAGGGCTATGCACATATTAGGAGATAACATTCATTAAGATTAGGCCGATAAGGACTAATTACTCTTAACGTCGCCACATTATCGGTGGGTGGTCTCGACCACGTTGCAAAAGCCTGAGACTTGACGCTTTTCTTGAGCTGCGGTAATTACGTTTTTTTCACTTTTCAGACGTGCTCCTCGCCAGGCAGGCAGATATTTGTGCGACGAGTGACGGAGAAGAAGAAGCTGAACCCGGTGAGGAATTTGGATAATTTAATTCTTATAAATTCAATTCATGGTGTGCTTATCTTATTGTCTTATCTATGGTCAAGCAGCGCGAGAGACTATCAATCAACAAGGAGGCGGCCGAGATAAGCTTGTACAAGTATCGAGAGGAGTAAAAAGGAAGGCGGAGGATCAAGCGATAAACGAGAACGAGGGGAAATCTCATTGCGGGGAGGTAATTTGGATAAAGGGTGAAGCTGGTGGTGTAGGGAAATCTATTCATCTTCCTGATAAGACTGCTGAGAACAAGAGTCGTAGTAGTAGTGGGAGGGAAGGGAAGGAGGTGAGGTTTTATTTTGATGTACGGATTTTGATAGTGTCAATTTGTTTTAATTGTTTTAATGTTTTGTAACAGTCATCAAAGTCGTCTTCTAGGGACCACAGGCACAAAAGTAGTAGTAGCAGCAGTAGCAGTAGCAAAAGGTCGTCTAAAAGCAGCTCGGATAATAGCAAAGTTCAAGATAAGAAAAGTTCAAGCTCATCACGGGATAAGGAGGACTCGAATAATCATCATCGGTCGCACTCTTCATCGTCAAAATCAAAGTCTTCAGATAAATCGCATAAGTCCAGCTCGTCAAAATCCAACAGTAACAATAATAAGTCATCTTCATCTCATAAATCTAGTCGGAGTAGTAGCAGCAGCAGCAAAGACAAATCAAAGAGCAAAACCTTGAGTGAGTCCCGGTCTAGAAAGTCTGATTCGAATGACACTATAATTAAGAAAGAAAGCTCGTCTGTCACTACAGTACCTGATGATGATGATGATGTAAGGATCCTTGATTCAAGTAAAGCTGAGGATTTAGAATTATCATCGAACGCAATTTACGAAGACGAAGAGAACTTTAATTTGCCACAAATTAGTGACTCTGAAGACGACCCAGATGATATTGAGCTGGAATGCCTAAGACTTTTTCAAGACTATCAGCCAGAGGCTAAATCACCAGAGAAAAAAATAGTAGTAGGAAATCCAGCATTAGCTCTGCAAAGTGACCCTGGTAGGAAGAGGCAAGCACATCCAGGAGCGTCCGAAAAGAAAGCGACATTACCCCCTTCAGTCAGGAAATCTACTTTCAACTTGCATGAACAAATTGCGAGGAGACTTGAATCTCAGAAGAAGGTTGTTAACAGTCGAATTGAAGAAACCAAGAAGATTATCCCTAGTTCATCTTTTGTACAAAAGGCAACACATCAGACCATGAGGTATTTCATATTTTATCCAATTTACCTAATATCGTCCGCCGTAGTGAACGAATAACTGCTGAATTGTCGTAAATTATTAATGATCTTGTTTGTTTGTTTGTTTGTTATTTACAGTGGGACTCAATCTCTATCGTCGGGTCCAAGTACAGTTGGTAATAAAAAGCGAATAGCGCATGTGCCAAATGTCTCTGGATTACTGAAGTCGCCATCAATCCCGGTGGATAACAAGACCCCTTTAAAATCTAGTGGTAGTACATCCACGAGCTCATCATATTCAACAGCCAGTATAACTCTCTCGCGTACCTCCGACAAAGGAGTCCCCCGTGTTGCGCACTCCACGATAATTTATGCAACTAATGTAAGTACTAAGTAGAGAAACATGATAAAAGTACATTCCTAGAATGTCTAGATTATTAAGACAAATTGTTTCTTCACACAGAAAAACAAAGGCCCTCTGGTTAACATTGACGCTCCTGCAAAGGGAATTGGTAAAATTCCCGTCCTGTCACGGCAGAAGGTGCTGGATCAGCTTTTTGAAGCCGCAATGCTCGTCCACGACAATCAGTCGGACGCGTTTCAGCGAGCCATTGACGAGGAGGCTACCATTCAAGTTAGGTCTAAAACAAAAGCAGTCTACACAAGTCTTGCTGTCAGTAAAGTTAGGACTATTAGAAAGGAGGCAGAAGATCAACATAACCAGCTAAATCAAGAGGGTAAGATTAATTAGTAAAAGCATAAATAATTTTTAAGGATAAACTTGATAATATTTTTGAAATCCTGTCCAGGTCAATCTTCAACATCCCCTGGTGCTAAGCGTGACAAAGGTTCGTAGTTATTACGAATTAGATAGGATAATGGATGGATTAGGAACTTTTGTGTACTCTGAGAAAGGAGTTCCCATGATACCTTGTCTAACGGTTTACCAACCTATGATAGTTCCTGTTCAATATGTTTATTATGGAACCAGTCCAATTGCCCAAACTTTTGAACATGCATATGTCCCCCAATCATATCTATCTCCTTCATGTATAACTACTCATAAAAATGCTTCTCTTCTAAACGAAGTAGACTCGTTTTTAATATTCCAGTTCTTGTTGTATTTCATTTAGATCCCTCCATCCGACCCACTGGACAGTCCCTTTACCAAGGGCTGAAAAATGTCGTTCTAAAAGAAGAGGACCTTGTGGCCAATGGCTTCCCTAGATCTCATCCTAATGGGGAACCTGGTAATTTTTTATGATGATGACAACCAGCCAGTATGTACATGCTTTAATAAGCAAAAATTTACAATTTCTTATAGGTTGTGCTGTAGCCACGTTAGGGCTTTGGAATACGGAGTATGTTTCAGAACAAACGCGACGGACCTGTGATCGATGTCACAAGGTTTTTAACGTCGATGAAACTGGCATTCAAGCAGCCAATGAAGGTTCGTGCGTTTATCATTCAGGAAAAAAGACATCACAACAGGGTACGTTATCTACCTATTTTTAAAACTTGTTTGTCTTATTCCCTTTGACTTTAAGCTTTATCTTAGACTTACTTCTCATTATTATTTTGACGTTTTAGTAAACCGAGCCTGGAAGGTGATCTTCTCATGTTGTGGTGATGAAAGAGGGTCTTCAGGCTGCTCCACGGCAACCTTTCACGTTCCAAAGTCACATCCGGTCGCTTCAACAAGAGGATTCGTCTCTGCGGTCCAATCCATGGGATCCGACGAGACGATGGGAACCAATCGGTGGGACGTTGTTGCGATAGGTAAAGAAATAAATATTATGGTGCACATTTTTTGTGGCCAATCTTTAAAATACTTGCTCGTTCATAACACACTCGGTTTCTTGTACGCTGTGTAGACTGTGAAATGGTCTACACTACTGGAGGTAGCGAACTGGCCCGAGCCACCTTCTTGGACAAGGACGGCGAAGTCATGTAAATGAAATTTTGTCTTTTTTTTGTATTTGAATGATTAATATTTTTTAAACATTATTTCAGCTATGACGAATTAGTAAAACCTCAACATCCAGTATTAGATTATAACACCAAGTACAGTGGCCTTACTGAGTCCATAATGGAGGGCGTTACCAACACACTGAACTCAGTTCAAGCCGTCTTATTGACCCAGTTGAAGCCTAACTCCATTTTAATCGGGCATAGTTTGGAGTCCGATCTGATTGCCCTGCGAGTGAAACATGATTATGTAGTCGACAGTAAGTTATTAAAACAGAATACTGGTAAATATGCTAATTTGTATATAGTTTAAAAACTAAATATTATAAATTTGTGTTTTAGCGTCGCTTTTATATCCACACCGACGAGGCCTACCTTACAAGAAAGCTCTGAAAATGTTATCCCAAGAGCATTTACGAAAATTGATCCAAGAGTCTGTAGATGGTCACGACAGTGCCGAGGACGCTCGCGCGGCATTGGATCTTGCTGTTCTTTATGTTCAGCAGAACACACAGTGCCATTAGTATTACGCAATATTACAAATATGTAATTCGAGTTACAGAACACCCAATTATGAATACTCTTAAAGAACTAAAAGACTGAATACTAACTAAATAGCTTTGTGAATTGGCCTTGATTATATTAGGATGATTCAAAAGAGTTCAGTATTATTTAGTAATAATAGTTCAGGTCAACTACTTGATTTTTATAACCAAACCTTTATTGAAATAAACAATGTGTCGTCATCATAATAAGTATTGTTGTTCACATCACGTTTTTTATGTATTAACTTCATAAAGTATTGAAATAAAAGATCACGTGAATTTAATACGAAATCTCACTCTCTCTCTTTCTAATACAACTAATTGTAAGAAACCGCAAGGCACAATCTGCGGGTTAATAACAATTTATTAAAACTTGTAAACTTTTTTTAATGATTGCCAGTTGTACATGTTTTTATACCTTTATACCGAGAATTAGGGGAAGGAGGGGTCTACGACTACCATTCTAAAGTTCTCTCCCACCACTACGATAACTTTATTGGTTAATACAATTCAATTCGAATACCCAGTCTTCAACAACATTTAAGGAGACGATATGTATCTTATTCTTTTGTTTCAACCAGGATGCGACAGAGGTATGGAACTATTTAGTTAGTTAGTTACATTGAATTTACCCTAATTTAAGGTTGACATGCTGCATGCGAGAGAAAGTAGTAAACGATGCCTATTGCTCCTTCGTCCATCATTTCATTCTACTCCTACGAGGATAGTTTTACAAGATTTTTTACTGTGATAGAGAGTGGATAAATTTAAACACAACGAGGTGCGAGTCAGTTCTAGAAATGCGTGAGTTAATTAGACGGGAGTTAGAAAATTATAACTAATGCGCGCGGAGTACATATAAAGTATTCTCGTAGTAGTAAGGTCAAAAAAACGGTATTCAGTTTCCGTGATATGTCGAGCGAGCGAGTGCTCGTGGTCGTGCATAATTTTAGATAAGAAAAGATAACATTAAGTAGAAAGAACTGACTTAACTAAAAGTTGTTACATAGAAAAAGATGCGACAATACAAATGATAAAGTGTTCATGTTTCTTGTGGACGATAATGTGATAGCTGCGATTTCACATAAATATATAAGTATATGATAAGTCTATAAGTCAAACAACGCAATTAATAATAATACTCTGGCATACAGATCAAAAAGAGAGGATGTATAATACTACTACATTGTTAGTTACTGAGGCGATTTCGTCTAGTCTTCGTTTTCAATGTCATCCCAAGAAAAGTGGTACCCATTCTGTTCTCCCAGAGAATTGTAATGTTCTCGAAAGTAAGGGTCTCGAACTTTCAGCTCGTTAAATCTATTGTGGAGGAGTTGTTCCGCAAAAGCATATAGCTCCAAATCCAACGCGTTTGCTTGACGCACGGCCTTCAATTCACTAGGAGTCGTCTTATCTAACGTTGATTTAGAATATGTGTCTTCATTCTGAGTAAATGGAATCTTAAATCGTAGTTTGAATGTCTCTTCAAATATGTATTGCGATATCTGAATAATGGAAAAACACGTATTATTTGACTTGGTTTTGAAAAGGGAAATCATACTATTAGATAAATACCTTTTGGTTTTCAGTTAAGCCGACAAAAGCCATTGACGCCAAATTTTGTTTAGCAGAAGCTAGCATCATTTTATCACGTTGTTGAGGACTCATGTAACTCCTAACATAGATTTAATTGATCAAACATTAATAAAATCCTAATATATATATAGTATAAACTACATTAAATTTCATACTTGTTATAGCATCCAATCATGGAAAGATTGGCTAACATTCGCGTTTGCCTATTGAAGGCAAGGTTATGGGAACAATTGACAAAGTCGCTAAGGCTAACTTCAGCCCAACTCCGCCCAGAATAACATTTTCCTAATTCCTACAAGATACAAATCAACAATGCTATAAGTACTTTCATTTAAATTAAACACAATATTTGCTAAATAGGAGATGATGATAATAATGCAAGGTCTACCTCTGGACTTGCATAGCGTCCATTACAAATATGTCTTGACGCTTTCCATGTCGCACCTCGTTGGACGTGACGAAATTCGGAGAGAAAGCGATGAATCGGATCGCGAATCATTGTCACGTAAAAATACCTAAATAGTTCACTTCATGTCATCCCCACATATGAAGTGTTTTGACTAAACCTTTAACAAAATCATACCGTCTTTGAACTGGTGTCCCATACGCCCTGTCCAATTCACTGTCAACGCATGCCGTCAATTCCGTCCAATCTGAATGAATGAAAACATACTATAGTATCTTTGTCAGTATTTATTTACTGAATCATTTTTGTTACATCTTCGACAGTTGTTCAATACATATTGCAAATTAATAATCAAAATCTCTGAATTTCACTTACCTGCGTGAAGTCCACAGATCCAGCCTGTGGAGAATCGACTGAAGAGCCAGGAATCTGCAGATCGCTGCTCTTCTGGTTTACTTTGGTCTATGAAAATAGATTAGTTAACTACTATAAAATTATCCTTCGGGTGTTTAATGATTAATTAATTATAAATTTATTGCATTACCTCTACTCGGGGGTCTCGGGCATTTACACCGTTTCCTCTTTTTCCAGCAAACACAAGGCTTATCTATCACGAGATCTTGAACAATATGTTTTTCGAAGGATGTTCCCCCCGTTTTTTGTATGTGAAGAATGACAAGAACGTCGGACCCGGTAACGTTGAAGGTTACACCCGACTCCACCATGGCCCGGTAAGTCACAAGGCCATGAGGTTGATACTGTTGTAGGGGAGGAGACTCAGCAAGTGGGTCAACGTCAAGGAGGGGATACTCCAATGTCATTAACGACACATTACTATTGACGACAACTCTACTGCGTGGAAAAGACGAGGGGGAGGGAAAAGGGACGCTGGGCAAGCTCTGCCAGGGGAGAAGATAGAGAAGAAAAAACATCCCTCCCACCAAGATAACCACGACGGATGGGAATCTGACCCCCATATTTTTTACTAGTCACCCCACACACAGGGCTCTCCCCCATACGTCCTAACCACCACTCATTTGGTCACTTTGCAATCAGTTTCGTATCCTTCTTCCTTATCGAGAATACTAAACCGTCCATCCTTACTTAGAAAATAATCCACTCGTGTTCGTAATCAACGTTTACAGCGTAATGTTCCCATTGTACTCATCCTCAGCTCGTAATACTTCTTGAATCATCAAATTGTTGATGATTAATGAGGTAATATCCTGCCCAGTTACTGATCACTACTACTGCGATGATGATAAGTGATGATGATAACAATTCAAAGATAAATAGATTGGAGTTTCCACCTAAAATAAAACATTTCAACTTTGAGTACTTCTACTATAGCTTTTCCTCTCACAGCCAACCTAAATTACAAACTAAGCTCTAAATGCACTCACCTTGGACCAAAGTTACTTTAATTCGTCCCTTTATCAAATGTCAACTTATAGTAATTAAGGACGATTAATTTTAATTGCTCCGTATGAAAGACTGAAATTTCAGCTAAAGTGAGACGATTCATACGACCCGGTGAACGGGGTGACGTGAATCCGCACTCAAATATTGTATGAAAAATGCTCATGGAATTGTAATTTTTGCAAATTTGCCAATTTTTATGAAAAACATTTATAAATTTGACTCACAGACAAATTCTGGGTTATGAACTTTTTTCTTTTCCATTTATTGAAATTGGAACTATTCAGTAGTTTGTAACACATAAGGTAAGAAGATACTGCTGAAAATGACAATAATAATAAATCAAAATTCAGACAAAGCTTTTAGCTTCTCAAACTCAGTCAATTTTATAACTAAACTAATTAATAATAAGGTAAATAAGTATTCATTTTTATAATTATTCTTATCAGTGTGCCTCCTGCCATCTCCTCAAATGGCGAGGCGACAAAATTATTATACGACGAACCGTTATTATCATTATGACATTTCATTTGGGTTATCTTCTCTACAGTCATCAGTCATGACTCGTGAGACTATCGACTAATAAAACTCTATCGTTTTATAGACAGTATTTTTTAGAGACGAAAAATATATAAGGTTCGTAGACTATGTTTTTTATGAATTATGTAAATATTACTTGTTGAGACGCTGTAATGTAATCATAATTTGGTGTTTTTCAACAATGGCGAAATGTTGCCATTTTATATATGCAAACTTGAAATAATTACAATAATATTAAAAATGACTGACTAAAATTAATAAGAGGAGACAAGTCCAAATGTTGTAAACTCAAGATACAATTTTTACATTTTTTGTTAGTAACTTTTAAATCTTGATTAATGTGTTAATTTAACGAAAAAATTAGTCGGTTTGGTTTTCCTTTTCTCTTTTTAGTTTTTTGGGCTGTGGTGACTAGATTAATACTTCCTTTTTGATTTGATTCTTTTTTATACAATAATCAGAATCCGTAATATTTTTTCTTTTTATAATATTTTTTATGCTAAAACAGGTAATATATCTCTCCTTCTTCGTTTAGGCTAAAGTAATTATTTGCTAGATAGAATAGAATCCATTTAAACCAGAGCTACGTCCACAGTATGTTTGTATTTATGGTTTTCAGATGATGATGTTGCGTTTTTTGCGGATATATATATACTACTACACGTTTTTTAAACTTTCCTAAAATTCCTTTTTTCTATATCGACGACGACGCCGCGATGATGTCGACGACGATGACGAACAATTTGCCGGCCGGCCAGAGAAACATCGAATCGAATCAATCGATCAAATTTGTTGGTAATATATATTGTTATATAAGTAATCCATTATTAACAGCCACATTATCTAAAGCAACCTTATTGAATCCGTTGTTTTCATATTAGTTTCAAAAAATAATGACGATAAATTATTATTGTTACATTCATTGATTTTACTCAAATTATAGAAATGGGAAGAGTGGGTAGTACACGAAACAATAATTATTTATAATAATAAATACAACTTGACTTTGTGAAATGGAATGTACAACGACTACAAAACCCAGATTGAGATTTTAAATTATTTTTGTAATAATCATAATAATTATGGAAAAGAGGATTTTATAAAGAACTACATATATCATGAGCGAGGCTATAAAAACATTGGAACTCTTCTACTACAGAATATGTATTACATGGAGGTGATGATGGTAGCAAAAATTTACATTCATTTTCAGGGGGGTGTAAATAACTGTATAAAACAAGGTAATAATTTGTAACAGTAATCAAGACCAGTAACAGAATATCACGTTGTTTGTACAAAATTAAACAGACGTAGTTTAGAAGAATGCATCAGGTTTATAAAATTAACAAACAGATGCACGCACTGTTGACGAGCTTTATATTAAATGGTAGTTTAAGTAATAGTGATTTAGATTGCTTGGAAACTTGCATTGGCTGATGAATTAGTCGCTCTCGGCTTTCATGCCACGAACCTCGCCTGTTCTTCTTTGCTGCATGGGACAAAAAAAAATGGAAAATTTGTTAGGAATTTCTCACCCACTTATTTTATTTCTCATCAATTATTTACGCACATTTTCAGGGATATGCATTAAATAAAATTGTATCTTACCCTGTCTAACTCCTCACGAACTTTATCCTCCAGCGCTCGTATATCCAGCATCGTCATGCCATACCATTTATCAATCCAACAAAAAACTTGTCTAAAGAATAAAAGCAAATGTCAAAAAAAATATTTACATAATTTACATAATCGATCAAAAATCAATACATATTTTAAATACCTGTGAAAGTTTGTAAAAAGTCTTCGCTCAGCCCTTTGAATGAAATTCTCAACTCTGTTTTGCAATCCAAACCACTTGAATTCAACAGTGACCAGCTTGTAGCACGTCATTACGGGATCCACCTGAAAGGATGAGATAATTTGAATAAATCCATAATCCATGCTAATCCTTCTAAACCAACTATATGTGAACTTTATAACCTATATTATGACGTGTTGCATGCATGCTTTTTGTGCTTACCATTCCCTGCCATTCTCCTACCAGTGGACCTCGTCCAGACTTTTGTGAACGAAATTTGCCAGGATCTTCCAGAGCTTTGTAATCGCTAGGCGCAACAGAGTCTGCAGCAATGTCAATCATGACCACCTCCCGCATCTTCAACTTGTCGTTGCCTAGTTCATGTACATTATATTGGTTTCCTTTGTCCGGTAAATGTAAAGATTCAATCACAATTATGAAGTTATCCTTCATATAGCCTGGATTCTACAAAACATATAAAAAACAACATTCAGCATAGTTTTTAAATTTACACCAAGGTAATTAAGCCGGCCATAATGAACAACTCACAGTAATGACTGTGCGGCAGTATGGATAAGCATTCCAAGCCTCCTCATGAATTTCCATTGAGCCCTTAGGAGCCAGCATTCGTATAAAAGTCGGAACTTTACTAAAGGACACAAAAGAACATAATGTATTACATTATGAAGAACAATATGCAAAATAATATATAGGTTTACGAGCTGGATTATTTCCTTACCTAGCTAGATGATACTTTTTATACGTGTACTGCCCCTTACAGTACTTTCCTCCGAGGAGTGGAACGCCCTCAAAGGGTTCATTTTTGACTACTTCGATGCCTTCACCCCCACCCGTTTCATTCATGCTGGCCTCGGCCACAGAGTACAGCTGACCAATTTGGTACTCCTCGACCGTCAAAGGCATCACAACGCGGCTGAAAAAAACAAGTTATTATCAAATTATTTTTAACCACCAATAATAAACACTGCAGAAAACTCCCACCCCCATTTCACTTCCTAATTTTATCCATCATAACTCACTCACTATTAAACTATTATTTTATAAAACTATCTTATACATAAAATGAACTCACAATTCTTTGATGAGCATTTTGAATAGCTGCCAAACTCCAGAAAAGAGAGATAGAAATAGAGAGAAATAGATCTCGATTTGAATTTCCAATTGGTCGTGACAATGTCGAAACTGGAAGAATTATGATTTCCACACACCACACGTGTCACTACGTGACGAAGAGGTAGAGAATGTACTTAATTGTCGTGGAGATGATGATGTGTATATAACCAAAGCAAATCAAGGGCAGCAGGTGATGGGTGATCTGCTAATGGTAAATGATGATCAATGATGATGATGGTTGACTCTGAAGTGTAATTTTAAGTGGTGGCTGGCTGATGATGAGTGTGTGCTTATCTTGAATGGCTCCCAATACGGGTGGTGGAGTATCTTCTTAATTCCTCCGCCCAGTGCACACAGACCGACGGACGAGGAGGAACGATCAAGAGAGGTGTTGAGGACAAGATGACGAGGAGGAGGAGGAGGAGGCCGAGGAAGTGACGTGCAGAAGGAAAGGTGACCCAGAAAGTGGACACACACACACAATCGAGTTATGTATGTTCCGTAATGATGAATCAATCGACTAAATTAATTATGATCTCAGCCCGGACGACGTTTCCTTCCTCTCCTCGCTCTCTGGACGAGTGAGTGACTAAAGTGAATGAAAGTGAGTGAGTGTCGTCCACTCACCTTGCCCTCACACTAATAAAACCAACCACCTCGAGTCTACTTACCTACAAAAGAAATACGAGGAGTTGAGGAAGCAGGCTAGATTCACCATCATCATCATCATCATCTCACTCTCGTATCAGAAATAGGAGGATTCAACGCCTACCCGTTGAAGCCGCATGTCATCTCGAGCATCCTCTGGTGGAGATCAACACCTACTAACTCGCCCCCCTCTTCCTCGGCTGACCAGCAGGGGAGGGGCGGCTCACTTTCTCCAGTCCAGCATTTCCCATGAAACGCTGATAACCTAATTTCAGTAAAATTATAGTGGTTAGAATACGTGGAATTATACAGTTTAGTTGTAAACAGAGGAAAATATAGAGTACTTTTTGAGTCTGATTCACTACATTTATTTCAGAAATTTATACTTAATTTAGAGATAAAATAAGTTAATCATTGGTGTTCTTGATGATGATGGGGGTGGCGACGACGGCCGGTGTAGGATATCATTATATAATGCTATGATTACGTAATAACAAATGTCTGGAATTATGTGAAAAGGAAACATGATTTGTGTGGTTCAGTTCAAAATAATTGTAGATTATTTAGAGATATATAGTTAAATCTAGGTTAAACTAATAATCTAGTAAATTCATGATGGGAACGTTGTCGGCACAGGTCGGAATTATGACCGGAGAATGTTTTCGTAAGCTTGGTAGACACCGGCTGCCACGTCCACGGTCACGGATTTAATGCTTAGCTGCAAATATTTAGGATCGTTTGAATGAAATGGAGTTTTTATAATCATTACGGAAATAAATACATATTTGTGCAAATAGTTAGCAATTCCTTACAGTGTAGACACTTCCACCGGGTGGGATTTTAATTTCCACAAGCACCCAAACTCCATTGGTGAGTTTCAATGATTGGTAAAGCATGTCTTGGCCTTCCACGTTTCTCTTTGCTATTGTGAAGACGTTGTTTTGTTGCATCTTCTGAACGACAGAATCTAAAAAAGAGATTTTAAAATTAGAGACCCACGCAATTATAACATTAAGTAATGAGCTTCAAGATTGTATTTTTACCAGAACTATGAGACATATTTGTCAACGTGTACTGAACTTCGTTTTGGGTTGGAATGTCTTTCCATGTTTGCAAAAAGACTCTCTTGTCCATTTGACCATCTTCAACAAAGTACACGTGCATCGGAACCAAGCACGCGTAGTAAAGTACGTCGACATTGTTCTTGACTGCCACCTAAAAATTAGTAATATATAAAATTAGTATTAGAGTAATCGGACGACAAGATTGTTTTAATAAAGCAGATTTGAGTTGAGAGAACTGATTTAAAAAAATACCTGAAGGTTGTTTAATGGGTCCATTTTCTGCACGGGACCAGTAGTATTCAGGGGCAAAGACGCTTCACAGGATTGATTTGGCGTGAGTGGGGCTGGAACTTGGAGCGGTTGTGCAGGAAGTAGTCCAAAGCTATTCTTGTTAAATTGAACCGCAAATCCAGACATTGTTTGCATTGCTCGGTTTGTGAATGTCATGTCCATGTATATTTGTCCATTTCTGAAATAAACGTGCCAAATGAGTTAAAATCTTTTCTTCTCACAATCTCCAGATATATATATACAATTAACTATGTGCAAAGTACCTGCGACTAAATGTCCCACTAATCTCGAGTCCTTTCCCCTTAACTGCTGGCAGCCAGAGTACTTTTGGCATAACCGTTGCTCCCGATTGGTCTCCTCCTCCAAGTCCAAATATGTCGCCCAGCAGACCACCACCTCCAGGAGGAGGTGCAGCTTGTGACATCCCACCACCTCCGCCAACATCCAACTTGAATACATCAAATTAAATACATAAACTCAATGCAAATGAAATAACTTTTGAGGGATTCAAATTTGCATTAATAGTAAAATATAATTTTTACCAATGCATCCAAACCACCGCCCAGCAAGTCAACATGACCCCCACCAAATCCTGAAGCAGGTTGAGCTGCTGTTTGGACTACAGGGTTCAAGTCCATGCTCAAAAGATCACCAATTAGTGTGTCGTGTGACGGAATGACGGATGGGTGAGCACTCGTTGTCTCCACAGAAGAAGACGCTACACCACCTTCGCCCCTTGCCGGCAGTGCTTTCCTTAGCCCAGCTCTCCCTTCGACGAATGCACTGGGAGGTTTGTGATACACGGACGCCAGGCTGGCAATATGGCAAATCAACTCATCTAACAAGGTCGGCTCCAACAGATCTGTCTCTTCTGAAATCAAAGGCTTCTCTGCCAAGACAACTTCTTTAGCTGCTGCAGGGTCGGTGGATAAAAGCCTCCAGTAAATGTAACCTCGATCCCTCAAATCAGGGTTGTCAGAATCCTAAAAATAAGTAAGAGATGACATTCGTTAGACAATACGAAATAATGCAATTAATTAATAAAGGCTGAGATTTACGTACCTGTGTTGCCAAAGATAGGACTTGCTGCACTAACTCTTGCGTGTCTGCTGGACGCTTGAGAAATAATTTCACAATTGCAGTCAATAGTTGAAGCTGAACTTGACTGTTTTCATCAGCAAATCCTTCAAGAAAACTTTCCAACAATTCGTCAGCATTGTCAATTCTTTCGGCATACTCTCCAATAATCCAAATCATCGAGGCCCTGCACAAAGTATTTTAAAAATAGTTAGAATATGTGTAACTTGTGTACTTTATGAATAGAATTAAAACTATTTTCCACCAACCTAGCTTCGGGTTCGTCCAAAGTGTCGAGATTTTCGCATAGGGTCGAGATGATGCTTTCATATTTATTGGGATATTTTCGAAATATGTCCTTGATCACCACAATAGCTTCTTGAACCACATAGTTCACCTATAACACACAAAACAAAAGTTCCGTTAATTAAGTTTTAGTACTTAATATAAAATAGTAAGTTGCACATTGTTTTGTATAAGTTACTTTAGTTTGAATCAAATCCAGTAATGTCGCAACGCATCGCTCAGCAGATTGTTCTACTTTTATAGCACAGCGTCCAATTGCTCGGACTGCCTTCCTCACAAAATCGACGTCCACCTCGGTCGCATATTCCTTTAATTCAGATAAAACTTGTGCAATGTTTGCTTGAGATGCGAGCCGGATCATGATGTCGAGTTTTTCCAATTTTACGTAGATGGGATCATTGTACTTGACAAAGAACACTTTCATTTCATGTTTCAAGATGTCGGGTCGCTTTTGCACAATCAAATTGATGTTTCTCAGAGCCACATATTGCACCTAAAAATAATTCGAAATGAATAATTTAATATGTTGCCTTTGTATGTAATACAACACAATTCTTTCACAACTAGCCCAAAACACATACCTCTGGTTCTGAAGACAACAATGTAACCAAAGGTGGTGCAAGTTTCCTGGTAAGAACGGTCACAAACTCAGTGTCGTTGATCATTTCCATGTACTTCATTAGCACTTTAACTGCAGACAACACCACCGCAGCATTCGCGTGAGCCAGTCGTGGAGTTATTCGTTCACAGATGCTGAAACAAACAGGCAATCAAAAATAAGTCGTTCGGATATATTATAAATTAAATAGTTAACATAGATGGTCAGTATAATCTAATAATCAGACCTGGCCAAATTAGTAATTGACAATTACAATTACAAATTACAAATTAGTAATTGTAATTTCAATTACTTCATTAAAGAAATGTAATTGTAATTGTAATTTGCAATTGAACTAAATGTAATTGATAATTTGTAATTTGTAATTGCACATTTCAACATGGTGTAATTGTAATTCAATTACTTCTTCAATTACAATTACTAAACCACCATCTATCGTGAGTAGAACACATCAAAATTCAACGTTTTTGTTAAATTTGTCGTATTTCATACGTGAACATTTCACTGCCTTTCACTTTTTGGATTAAATAATCATTCTTTCACATTCGCAAATTTTTTAGTTACCATACATAAGAATTCATTACTACTAGGGTAGGGTGTATTTTCATGCATAGGGGCCTTATGCATGAAAATAAGTAAATGCTACTAATTACTCAATTGAATTATAAGACAAATTATTAATTATAATTGAGATTTTTTAATGAACATTCATCATTTAATATTCAAATAATTTCGATACTTGTTCACTTCGAACAATGTACATACTGATAAATACTTTTACTTGCAAAATTTACCTTTGCAAATTAGTTTTTCTAGGTGGAAATTTTGATGTAAAGGCATTTACATTGTTAAAAGCGAACAAGTATTGAAATTATTTGACTATTAAATGATGAATTTTCATTAAAAAATCTCAAATGTAATTGTAATTTGTGATGTAATTCAATTACGTAATTTGTAATTGTAATTGAAGCGAATTTTTTTAGAGATGTAATTGTAATTTGTAATTAGTAATTGAGTTTTCTTGAGTAATTGTAATTTGTAATTGTAATTGAAGCAATGTTGTGATTGTAATTGTAATTTGTAATTTGACTTCCAAGTAATTTGGCCAGCTCTGCTAATAATCTTAATAAAATTCTACCTCTGTGCCTCTCGCTCATCTTTTGGATTATAGTTTGACAACGAGTCCAAAATGAATATTTGACCCCATTCCGTGCACTCGTTCAAGGCGGTGAGAAGTTTATTGATTGTGGGAGCGTTCATTTCCACCAATGGAACCCCGGAGGGGCTAGAATCATTAATTTCAGATAATGCTGCAACTGCATTCGCGACCACCTAAAGGTTATATAATAATTAACATTGCTATCAATTTTACTAGCACGAATACATACTATATTTAATACAAAAAGTCACTTTTACCATTGGATTCGAATCGCTAAGTAAATCTTTGAGCTGTTCTAAAAACCCTTGATCCTCCACAAGTTGGGCATTGATGTCATACAACTTGGCGACGCAGACGGCAGCTGTCTTCCGAACGTAGGGATCCTCATCTTTCAAACATTTTCTCAATGGTTCACACAAATACTCGGTAATTTTATCCACCCGAATGCAACCCATCGTTCTAACAGCCAGAGCTCGAATTAAAGGATTTGGATCTTCACAATCCTACAATTACAATAGTCAATTAGTTAATATATAATTTACTACTTAACTTATAAACCTTACCTTGACAAACGTGTTGACAGCCATAATTGCCATGTCTGGTTGACTCTTGGCGTAATTCATGAGATACAAATACACCAATTTCTTCAACTCGAGGTTATCTGTTTGCATACAGTTGACGACATCGGGAAACAGGGCAGAAACATCTTTTCCAACCGTCATGGATGCAATTACCTGTCAAACAAAAACAAAACAATAATCACTTATCTATCAAATTGAACAGTAATTATTACCACTCCCCCATAAACTAACTTACCTTTTTAACTGCTTCCCGTTTCTTCTCCTTTTTATCACTATTTAGCTCCGACTTGAGCTCGAAAATCTCCCCCTTCTTGGTCGTCGTAAAGTATTTCGCGTCCGTCATTTTGGCAATTTGTTTTTGGTGACTCAGATTTTGCCGGATGAAGGGTTTCAGGAAACCTTACACTTTTTCAACTTGCACGGCAGCAGGGTGTCACTTCAGGTTTTACTTGGTTCGTCAAAAAACTCCCAAATAAATTAATTCGTAAATTTAATAACTTCTGGAATGATGAATGACAGACGAGAAGAAACTCCTACTCCGACTGACTGACTGGGATCGGTTGTGTGGCCACGAGTTTGGCGAGCCGAATCACCCGAATGCAAAATTAAGCTAACCGATGAGAGAGATGAGACTTGCTAGTTCAACTTGTCTCAATTTTGTAGCTTATCTAAAATTCTACATTGTTATAACATTTTAATGAGAATCTGTACATTATCTTGTGAAATTATAAGGTAGTGTAAATGAATTGAGAATAGTTTCATCCTAAACCAAGATGAGACGAAGCTACAAAACATCTCTTCCCAAAAATGTCTCAATTTGTATCTATTATTTATAAAGGAAGCATTTGAATTACGAAATTTTAAAAAATTTTGAAGGAAATATTGCAAATAAATAATAAACAATTCGCAACAAAAACTTTTTCTCGAATAATTCTTCCAGTTTGCAAGTTCAACTCGGCAGTTTATTCATTAATTTTATTTCATAAATGTTTCATATTTAAATTCTCATAATATTTGCAACCGAATCATTTCATAAAAGAAACTCATAAAATTCATGTGCATAATTGTTCCATCACGTCCTGGACTTTCTTTACTGCGATCTTTTTGCACATAATTCGCATGTAAAAATTCGCCCCATACACACACGAAGTAAAAAGTTCACTCACTTTTTGGCTAACACATACATATTTTGACTTACTGACTGACTCATCATCTCCGCCTCAAAAGTTGCTGCTGAGCTGATTTTCGTATTTTTCTAAATTTTTAAAATAGTTTTTAACTCGCCTCGACTTTTGTGATTAGTCATTCATTCATCCAACTACGTAAAATGAGACTGCTCGTTTTAAACGGGTAATGGGCAGAGAATAATATAATAGATGGGAAAAATTAATGGTTGGTGGTGGTTGGTTAAGTCATTTTAATTTATTCGTCCGTATTTATTGTTTATTATTACGTTAAGTAAGTCGAGTAGGCGTATTCTCTCCTCATTGATCTGATTTCGTGAACGAATTTGAGTCCGTCCGTCCTGCTGTGACAGTTTCAAAAGCTATTTTTCTTCATCGGTCAGCAGTTGTTTTTGTAATAATAATCAGGAAGTAAAGCTAATGTGGGCAAGTACATTAAGGTAATAGATTTCACGTGACGTCAACAAAATCAATATTTATTTTCATGGTTTGTTAAAATTAGTCACGCTGTTATCTGTTTTATCTATTTACAGGAACTTTGTGTACCTTAGTCTGTGCGGACAATAAGTAACTCAACGTTTTCAATCCATCCATCCATCCAAGAAGTTGTCAATCAATCATGGATCTCTTTTTGTAACGGTTTTTTAAATTAGAGAAGGGTAAGTTAACAACAAAACAGCTGACTGAATCAGATGAGTGTTTGAAGTTGATAAGGATGAAAGAGAACACGAACCGTATTCGTGCATGAGTTGTATTTGTTTAAAGTTTCTTTTTTCTTTGATACAAAGAAGGTGTTTTCTTGGTAAACGTTGACAGTTGAGAGGTTTGGTTGGTTGTTGTTGCAAGATAAGACAAAGTCATTATATTTTTTTGTTAGTTAGGATAAGCGAGTTTAATTTTGAGTGGATTTGGTTTTTAATTAAGTATTGAACATTTATAGGAGTGACGGAGCAGCGTATGAGTAACGACGACCAACACATTGACACCTGTGACCTTTAAGGGACGAGAAGATGGCTAGGATCTTGGACGATGGTGGGGATACAGACGTTCTCACGGGAGGAGGAAGTACCGACACGCGTGACTATGGAGAATCGTCGGTGGAAACAAGATCTGGTGGTCAAGGGGGCTGTTGGTTTTCATGCTGTGACCCCAGAAGTAGCCTTCATAGGTTTATCGTTCTACTCTTCATGTGCTTCCTAGGGTTTGGTATGTGGTAAATATGTAATTGAATTATAAATACATGAGTTTTTTGACATGGTGTCAATTAATAATCTTTTTTTCTATTTAAAGGTTCATACTTTTGCTACGACAATCCGGGAGCTTTGCAGGACAATTTTATGAAAGATATGGACATTACAACTGCTCAATTTACATACCTGTACTCCTTTTACTCGTGGCCCAACGTGGTGCTTTGCTTTGTGGGAGGATTTCTGCTGGATAGGTTAGAGATTTATATATGTATATTTATTATGTTTAATTATTGACGAGGTTAAAATGCTCTTAACTAAAAAATAGTGTCTTTGGAATTCGTCTTGGAACCGTGATATTCTGCATATTCTTGGTCATAGGACAAATCGTGTTTGCCTTGGGGGGTATTTTTGATATGTTTTGGTTGATGTTATTGGGTCGCTTCATTTTTGGGTGAGTTTCTTAATTGCTAACGAAATACAAATATTTTGTAAACAAATGTACAATAATTTTAAGGAATATGTTGTGGAATAACTTTTGAATCTTTTGTCTAGAATTGGAGGTGAATCTTTAGCCGTTGCTCAAAACGCGTATGCCGTGAGTTGGTTCAAAGGGAAAGAACTGAACATGGTGTTTGGACTTCAGCTAAGTTTCGCAAGGGTGGGATCCACCGTGAATTTTAATCTGATGGAACCTCTATATAAATGGATGAATACTTCCTACAAGGGACACACTTGTACAGGAATCGTGCTAATGATTGGTAATTAGTTAGTTTATGGGTAGATAAGATAAATCATAAGTCATACTGATTACTTAAAAAAACAATGTTGGAACAATTTTTTAGCTGGAGCTACTTGTATCCTGTCCTTGTTTTGTGCTGCTGCACTTGCCATATTTGACTTTCGAGCAGAAAAAATTCTAAAGAAACAAACTCTTGGGTCTGGAGAGAAAATTCGATTGTCGGATGTCAGATATTTTCCTGTATCATTTTGGTTGATGTGTGGATCATGCGTTGCGTACTATGTAGCCATTTTTCCTTTCATTGGTCTTGGAAAGTAAGTTATATCCATTAAACAAGAACATGTGGAAGTTTACTAAACTTAATTTACTTGTAGGGTGTTCTTTATAAGAAAGTTTGACTTCACACCTGAGGGAGCAAACGCTGTAAACAGTATCTTGTACATTGTTTCCGCCGTGGCATCACCATTATTCGGACTTTTAGTAGATCGAACAGGAAGAAACGTGTTTTATGTCTTCATTTCCATTCTAGTCACCATTGGAGCGCATGGTATTTTGGCGTTTACGTTCCTAAATCCTTACGTCGGAATGTGCATCATGGGTCTGTCCTACTCGATGCTTGCTAGTGCCTTGTGGCCGATGGTTGCCTTAGTCATTCCTGAACATCAGCTTGGTACGGCGTACGGAATGTAAGTTTGATAGTTCTATTTAAATTTTGGTTCATCTGTAAATAAATTATGCAGAATCCTTGTCATGAATTATAATCCTAAATTAACTGAACTGTTACTGAATTTTTCAGAATGCAAGCTGTTCAAAATTTTGGTCTGGCTGTGATAACGAGCGTGGCAGGAGAAATTGTTGACACTGGAGGCTATCTTTTACTTGAGGTCTTTTTTATAGCGTGGCTGTGCCGTAAGTACTTTCCCACTCATTCATTCCTCCTATTCATCATACATGTTAAATTATAAATACCGTTTTATAATGGTGATGTAAGAGTCTCGTCAGGAGATATTTTAAAACTAAATCAAATAATTTTGTTAATTTCCGTTTATAATTTCTTTATGAATAATTTTCGACTACTATTTCGGATAAATAGTGTCATTAGTGATGATACTGCTCCTTTGGTTATGGGACTCCGAGGGACGGCTTAATATGGGCCCGGCTCGTAGACAATTGCTTGAACACTTGGAAAGTCAAAATATTGACTCTGATGAAAATATAGTTCAAGATGACGATTGAGAGAGTAGGATTCTCATGTATAAAGTTCAGGTGATTCTTATTAACATAATTTTTATTCAATTTATGCTTTAGTGTCATTGGCTTGCACTGTTTTGTTGTGGCTACACGATTCCTCCCACTCTGCGGGTCTACTAAATATGTCCATCGATGATCGTGATCGGTGGGAACACGACAAAATGTTCGTAATATTCAATCTCTAATACACTTACCATAATATTCCAATAAGTATTTTTAGATGTTGTACTGTAGTGAATTTTTTCTGTTAGGAACGCACCCTCTTTTTTGGTTTAATTTTTTTTAATCGTATCGCCTTATAACTATTGTATTTAATGATTACAATGATGCCAATCTACCTAAACTTTTCTTTTTAAGCTGCTTTTTAAGCTGCTGGTGCATTACATTACGTTTTTTTAAAATTCCGTGATTATCAACGTTAATACCAGTAGTTCGTTATTTTGTTTTATGAAATAGTGCAACTCGTATCTTTTTACCTAGAAATTGGTATTTTTTGTGAGTGAGATGCTGATGATGGATCAGAAATTTGAAGTTTCTTTACATAGGCTCGCCGAATCTTTGGAAAGGGACGAGTTGTACAGAGTAGCAATTCCGACTACTTCTGCTACGACTGCAATTAAATCAGACTTTCTCACTAGAAATCGTTATCTATCCAGGATAGGAGCCCCTGTAAGAACAATTTTCTCAGACACTGTTCCAATTCAACTTTTTTGTTTTGGGAGTTATGGTCTCTGCACTTTCCCTTTTGTGGTGATGTTCTTGTATTATATTCTTGTAGTTTTTGCTCACTTTGTTATTAAATTATTATAATTACTAGAGCTGTACATAATATTGCGATCCCAACACGCTATGTAATTAGCACGTTGTAGTCCATGTAGTTTATTATTAGCTTAATACAAATACATAAAAGCAGTCAAGTATGTACGTACTTCTGCACACCTCTTTCATAGGGTCAAAAGTCTTAACTTATCTGAGACTTGTTAAGTTACTTAATACATGCGTAATTGAGATGAGACGTTGAAATGAAGTTGTTGTGAATATCAATTTCTTAAATATGGTTTTGTGAAATAATCGCTTTGCATGACTTTATCAAGCCAATGAAACATTACTAATTGTCAATTATTTTCTTACTAACTACAATTTCCTCCTGCATGATATGTATATATTTATGAACTTGTTTTTCACTTTCACTGTCCAGTTTCCTTTTGCACTTTATGTACACAACATTGTTATTCTCTGTTGGATTTTAAAATAACGTGAAATTGGTCATATTTCAGCTACCTTCCTCTTACGACCCTACCATCGGACGACTACTTCACCGACCTATGATCAGGTGACTGACGACACGACTGATTTGATGCTCTCGTTTCGTACACTCTTCTTATTTATTGATCAATATGATTTCAAAGTTTTTTTAAAACAAGGTGCGGTTTAGCTTTTTTGTATTAATGGATTATTTTCATAAATATATTTTGAATGACGCGTAATACTTATCATGAAAGAAATAATTGTATCATGAATGGCTGCTCATGTTTTTAATTTTATTTATAAAAATTTTTCGTGTATTAAATATTGTATTGTGGGATGATGTACTAATAACTTTTAATAAATATTTTTATGCGAAAGTTGAGAAACAAAATTCGATACATGCATTTTTTGAGAAAGCTTATAAAATTTATTGGTTATCGGCTCGGCATCTGGAAAAGTTGGAGTCTCTGCCACCTCCCGTGGGCCAGTTGAGATAGGAATGGAACCGGGTTTCTTTTTCAGTATTCATCTTCTTTTCTAATACAGCGGCGATGAGAGGTTTTTCACAATTTGGCTAATCATTCTCAGATTAGTTATAAATAATTGCTGTATAAGAAGAAGTGCATTTGGATTAAGTTGGATTAATTGACTACGACGAGAGAAGAGTTGTGCAGGTAATGGTTCACTCAGAAATTATGAAATTCGTCGTCGTAGTTTGTAAAATTGGCGTAATTTATTGCATCAGACTTTATGATTGAGTGATTGAGTCTATTTAACACTTCATTTAGAAATTATGGCTTAGAATTAGAATCGAAAATTAAATTTGGGATCATTTTTTCCTATTGTTAGCAATTGCTTTTAAAATTTTGACATTGAGACATTAGTTTTTGAATTTGTAATATTTTGTTTTTTATGGACAGGTTTTGAGATAAAGCCACCTTTGCTGTGAGCGAATTTCACGACATTATGAGCCTGGATGATATCGGGAAAGACCCTCATCTTCAAAATTTTATTGAAGTTGAAACACAAAAGCAACGATTCCAGGTAATTTTAATTGCATAATATCTATGAATTCTATGCATTAAACTAAGGTATCAGTTACAAAACATAATTAATTATTTATTACGCAGCATTTGGTTCATGGCCTGACGGAACAGTGCTGGGAAATTTGTGTGGATAAACCATCTACGCGATTAGACGGAAAGACGGAATCGTGTTTGGTAAATTGTGTTGAAAGGTTGGTTAATCAAATTCATTTTAGTTTGATCAATTATAATTGACTTATACTAATAAGTAGATAATTGTATTTTCTAGATTCATTGACACTACTAATTACGTCATCAATCGACTGGAGAAACAACCGGGACTCAAAGTGGATTCTGGAGACTCGGAATTCCTAGCCTCATAGAATATTCCTCAAGATCAGTCACGAACCTACTTTCAATTATAGAAAACCTAGTCCACTCAAGGCTAACCCAATAACTTTTTATAAAAAATTGATAATTAATAGCACCTTCAACTTTCGTAGTCTGCTAGAAATAGAACATTACTCAACTCGGTTAAGAAATTAAAAAAATGTTTCAACGAGCAAAAACCTTCGTTCGCAACCACTGGAAGAAAGCCGTCATAGGAGGGATTGCCGTTCAAGTGGCTGCTTACGGAGTTCGATACGCTTCTGAAAAATTCCTTTGTTATCAAGAAGAACAGGCAGTACAATATTGGCACAAAGTGAAGAAACAACAATACTTTGAAAATGTAGATCAAAATTGCATCACAACATTTCGACAACTATTCCAAGTCATGAAATCCAAAATTGGCGAAGTACTTAATGCCGAAGACATTCAAGACCAGTTAAAGTCTAATCAAATCCAAAATAAATTAAAGGCATGGGATGAGCTCAAAGTCATTGCGTTTACCAGAGTGCTCGTCACAATTTATGGTTCTTCAATTCTCTACGTTTTCCTTCGTATTCAACTGAGCATGATTGGAGGCTATTTAATTAAAGGGTCTGGATCTTCTGATAATAATGGATCATCTTCCTTTGATTCCTCACACTCTTCTTCTAGAGGGGCCAGCAATCTTAATAATCATCATTCCTCGACTAGAATAATGGACGAAGAAGCGCAAAGGAAATACCTCGACTTATCCCACTACTTTGTGTCCTATGGAATTGTCAAGATCTGCGAGTATGTTCAAGCAAAAGTGAAAAACGTGATTGATTCGGTCTCCTTGAAACAAGCGATTAGTGCGAGTGATTTGGAACAACTGTTTTGGACAATAATTAGAAAGACGGATAATCCATCAGAAAATGAGGATTACGATAATGATGTCGGTAGTCGTAATGACAGTACTGCAGCTCAAGCAACAGCTCCACAACTAATAGATAACCCCATGAAGTCTCCTTGGAAGTACGTCTTTCCACCAGAAGTTGTCCTCAATCCTGAATTTTTCAATGAAAATGTTGACGCCGACCCTATCGAAACTTCAAACTTGTACCGGAAGCTAGTCTGTGAAACGTTCGACCTCTTAGAATCCGACGACACGAGAGATATTCTCCGCTTCTTTGAAAGTCAAGGAGTCAGCTACTTTATTGACCGAATTTCAGATTCAATGAATGAACATGTTGCTACTTCATCGACATCTGCTACGTCAACCGAAGACACCACGCCAACGTTTAACGAGCCTCGAGTTGCTGTTGCGAAACTTATTCCAACAATGACATCCCTCCACTTGATTGATGTATTAGATGATCCCTGGATTCATTTACTCACTAGTGCCGATAATGTAAGAATTATGAGTGCAAACATTTATGAAGCATTTTGTTAATAATGAAAATAAAGCAAAGTTTTTTGTAATCATCCAGAAAAATGTGTTTGTTGAATCAACTAAATCTAATGTTTCTTTTTATTCACTGGATGAAAAAGTTTACATACGTCCGTCGTCGTCTCAAAAATACATGCTTTTGTCACCAATAACTTTTTATGTACGTTCAAACTTTCATCAGTTTCTATTAATAGTGAGTTATTTACCTGCATTTGATACATGTTGAAATTTGGAATCAGGTTTTCATAGAATTATATTGGAATCTGGTGATCTTTAATTTTGAGGTATTATTTATGTATGATGATGATAGAGTAAGATCAGCTCTACTCTAGTTACGTAGTTAGTTACGTATGGAGTTGTAGGTGTTGTGTGACAGTTTCTGATTATGAGTCCATGATAATACTTAAAAATTATTATCTAAACATTTCTTAAAAATTTACCAAGGTGTACAATATACTGGAACTTTTTTGTTTGCAACTTATGTGAACAATTAATACTTAATTGAGTGTGTACAACAAATACATTAATTAGCTAATCAATTACTTCATGTAAGAAAGTGATATATACTGTTCCGTGTTGTTGTTGTTGAGAAATTTTGTTCTAAGCTAGATCAGGTCGACTAGAACGTTAACGTTAATTTGGTACATTACAATATAATGCTTGTTTAGCCTGTTTGTAGAAATTATTCAGAGTACGGCTAGAAAGAGTTGAAAGTGTTTTAATTAGTTAGTTAGTTAGTTATTGTTCCAACCACGAGGCTTCGGATGAATTCGGACTTCTAACCTTGATGCTAAATTGCTTTAGAGTTGATTCCAACGCTTGTTGATTTCCAGAAAAATATGCTGAGATTGCATTGTGGAAAAGTAGCAACTGCTTGTGCATCACTTTTATCTGGAAGTAACATATTTAAGCAATTATTTTATGAAACCTTTTTCCGACATTGCATAATAGTTTAAAGATAAGAAATACCCTTACCCTGTTTTCATCAAGGAATTGTAATTTAATATTGACATCATCACGTAGTTTTTCGTAGCTGATTTTATAAACGTTGAAATTCTTTTGAGCTTCTTCAATTTTGACCGAAGTTGCTTCTGTTTTTGGCATTTGCAGCATTAGCTCAAGATCCGATCGGTAGGCGTCATATTCAAGTCTACGATAATACCATATAGTTAATCAACAAAGGTTATTCATTTACTACTAGCAGAGTAAAACATTAAATTAACTTTGACGTTACCGAGAGCTTTCATACTGCCTTATCGTTGAGATTGTATCCTCAATAGTTTTGTTGCATAACGTATTAACCGAGGACAAAAAGAAGTTCAAAGCACTCAATAAAATTTCTCCATTTTTGTGCAGATTCCGCTGTGTATCCGCATTATACAAAAACTCTTGCTGAAGTTCTGGAGATTTCTGTGCAAGATCAGCAAATGCCTCTGCCAGAGCTTGCTGCAAGATAATAATACTTTATCAGCTAAAAAGTATACCAATCATTTGTTCATCGTAACAACGAAGTAAGCAACTCTAGAAGGAAGTTTTTTGACATAATACATACCTGTGTCTGAATGACGTGATAAAAGTGGCTAGTGAAAGCTCGACTAAGACCCAAAACTTGGAGATAACGGCGCTTAATATCCCGTAAGTGTTCAATTCTTGATTCTAGCTCTGTAAAAAAATAAGCGACGTTCAATTCAATCATCGTGAAAATCATGTCATGTCACCATATCCTTCAGTCATACTAAATATTTTATTGTCATATCCATCCATCCATCACTCACCCGAATCAACTGTCCGAGAACTTTTCCCCATCCTTTCAAACATCATTTGCTTCGTGCACTTGTAAGTCGAGATGCTCCAATTTTTTATCGTTTCAATCTTCGATGATGGAGATTGCAAGGCCCTCATTGCGCGATGTTCCCCATTCTGGGGGCTTGTGGCGTCCAACGCTGATGGGATTGAAGGCGCAGAAACTGTCGACAAAATATAAATCAAAATCATTTCCAAAATCCATCTTCGGGTTAAATCACTTCAATATAACTTTAGAACTTACCGGAATTTGGGAGTACTGCGGGAAGAGAGTTGGGCACCGGATATTGTCGATTTGGCGGAATGTTAGATCGGAATGGAGGTGGAATTGAGCCTGACATGGCAGAGATACTCGTCGGGTTGGAAGTTACCAACATTGCGGCAGATTTCGACCCTCCGTCGTCATGTTGTTGCTGCTGTTGGTGGGAGGAGGAGGAGAGCCGTTCAGAAAAGGAAGAACTCACCGGAAGGCTGCCAGAATTTTGATTCATTGATGACATGGACATTTCTGAAACTGGAAAACAAACAAAACTCAATAAATTATGTTGATTACTTATTAATCTCGAATTAATTATTAAACAAATTTATATGCTATATACTTTCACCACTCAAAGTAGACACGACAGTGTCCCCTTGTCCACCCGTTTCCTGCTTGCTATCTTCCATCATCTTGTCTCTAAATAAATACTCCTATTTCACCTCTTCCTAACTATTAAATATTTCCAATTTAGTAATACAACGAAACACAAATAATCAACAATCGCTTTGATGAAAATCCTTTCCAACTCGTGTCTCGAGAGATAAAATAAAACCCATCAAATCAACCGACAGGAGCAATCGCAGACAAAATGTGCAGATGTACAACAAAAAAAGTGATGAGAATTTATGACAATTATTGTAAAAATTATTAAGCTACACAGCTAAACATACATGGATGCCAGAAGAACCACCATATTTAGGTAAATAATACTACACCGGCTGCTGTCCTGTCACACGGTACAATTGCCACGTATATTTTAAGACGGTGCTATACTTGCAATGCAATTAGTTCTTTTGGTCTTTTGGTACAATACGTGGACATGGATTCCACAATACAATTCGGCTTCCACTTGAAGAACACGAGGATGGATTATATTTAGGTATCCAATAAATCCATCCGCATCCATTATACATGTTATCAATCCAGTAGTACGTAGTTAAATGGATGGCATTTGTTCATAAAGGAATGAACGGCAGAATTAATTTTCGGATTAATTGCTCTCGTCGCCTTCTTATTTAGAGGAATAATTATGCAGGATGTGAGGTGATGGTGGTGAGACGGGTTTAATAAATGTGACAATTATGTATCACACACATTTTGACACAACTGAAACCCAGACGCGTGCAATGTCAGGGACAAACGGTATGTTCAATATTAAGATAACATATTACCTGATTTGGTGTGTAGTAATTGTCACTGCTCAAAGCATTATACTTCTTTGGCAAGTATCTTCAAGTGATGATGATAAACAGCCCTGTGGAATGTGTGGCGTCTCCAAAACTAAATATTAATGCGTAATCAAGGCTATACACAGGCTTCAAAACTGATTAAAATATGTATGCGTGTCACCAAACAGTATATTAATGTTTAATCATAGAAATCATGTCGCAATAAAATAAATGTGATTATTTAATAATTCTTCCTTTCTTTCCTTCTCTCCCTTCAATATTGGGAATGATGATGATGATTATTTGGTGCCTGAATTTAATGTACGGTACGAAACACGGGTGAAAAACCACCCATCTATGGTCCTGTCAATAGAAATACAGAGTTACCCAGTTTCGGAGATTTGTCGGGAGAGAGTCCCGAAAACCGGGGATCGGAGTGTCGGAGAGCTCCCTGAATTTGCTTACATGTACACATTTTGCCTCGTTATTTTATTCATGTAGGTATTTCACATGCCTGGCAAACTCTGTTGGCAATTTGCAATAATATTAGTGCGAAATGAAACGAGGTGAAAATGTTGCTGAATCATATTTACTTATACTTTGGCACCGTCAGTTTAAAAGTAATTAAGAGATTTTAATGCAGATTAGGTGTGACATTTTGTTGGCCTTGCTTTCGTGAAAGGACATGAGTGAGGCGTCATCAGAGGAGAAAATCAACCGATGGCTTCATTTCATTGAGTTGTTCGCTTTCTCTCACTTTCTGCCAATAATTGTGCATGGGGACTCTTATTATCCAGTAAATTTTCATAATGTGGAGTGCTTGGTGTGCATAGTTGGTTTGGTTTGGTTTGGTGGACTGATAATGATAATAATGTCGTCGTTGCTGCTTTCTCTCCAAGGTGCTTTCTCCGGTGTGTGTGTGTGTGTGCAGTGGCCGCGGAAGGGTGAGGGGACAGCAGGACAATGTCCCCATCATCTGCCCATCTTGTATAAACCCGGTCCTCCCCTATCCTACAATGTTAATGTCCCCCGATGTCCCCACACCTTCCGCGGCGACTGGTTGGTCGGATGAAATGAAAATGTAGTCATTTTGTGTCTCCCTGTCGGTTTCATTTCTCTGCTTGCTGCTCTGTTTTGCGGTTTGTGGTTGATGATGGGAATATTGAATTTCTTGATGAAATCAATGGTTTCCTATGTATGACTCGTTTCCGATTAGATTGTTAATCGTCGTCGTCCTTGTCGTCCTGGTCGTAAACAGTAATGACTGCATGACCATATGCAGGTAAAGTACATTTTGTACGGTGAAAGTGGAATAATTCATTCATTCATTCATTCATTTCGCGTAATAAATGTCAGACCAGCTACAGAGAAGTGTACGTATTAAACAAATTTATTTTATATACCGTTCATTTTCTTCATTGAGTTACTTACTTATCACATAATTATGTAATAATTTGTTACATATGATAAAGAGCCGAACAATATTTAACTCTTGAATAAATTACTCTTGACTCAAAATAGTTGTTACTGTTGCGTTATGTTGTGACAGACCAAGTCTCATTTTTATGATTTGTGCCACTGCTTTCACTTCTTTTTCTTCTTCTTCTCTTTGAATATATAGCAGTGATTAAAAATTTACTTACTTTGAACAAAATGCCATGTCTCCGAAAAATATGACAGCGAATAACTCAAGCCAAATTTTTTTTGCATACTTCAACACGTATTCCTGGCAGACGATATAACATTGTATAAGAACAAGAACAAGTACATTGTCGTCGTCGATTGATAAGAAGTAATCATCATAAGAATAATAATCGTCATAAATATAATATATTTATAGTAACACAAACAGTTTTTGGTGTTTTTTTTTGCGTACGTATGTTACACAATTCTTGTAGGACTTATGTATGTACCTTATTTAATAACAACGAAAAAGCAGAAATTTTCATTTGGTTTTCTTTAAAATTGAATTTGCGAATTTGGCCTTTTACCCGTTATTCTGCGTGGTATGATTTGGTGGTTTGGCTAACTACTAATGAGCCAACGAGAAAGTTGGAACATTGGAGACTACGTAGTTTCTTTAGGTAATATAGGACTCGTCGTTTTTGCTGGTGTGTGCAATTTTTGGTAAAGAATGATGATCATTAACAGTTTTTTTTAATATGATGATTGGCACATGACGTAAAATATGGTACGTACACCGTTTCTTTTTGAAGAAAAAAACGGACACAATACATCTATCACATGTAAAGACTTTCTCTTTTTTTGCTAGTTAGTTAGTTAGTGTAGAAAGTGTTATATTTTTTTCTTGTGAAGTATGTAGAACCAGAGACCAGGTAGATAGGTTTAGTAGGTATTTAGCTAATTAGGTATTAAATAGAGGAGGACAGTATATTTTTTTGGGTGACAGGATAACAGGACTTTTTTTTTCTTCCCCAGATAAAATAAAACTTTCTTCACAAATTAATAATTATGTATCTTCTGCATTTTTTTGTTATGTAATAGATTAAATAGAGGCCTTTTGATTCGTGCATTGGTCAAATGTTGTTTTCATTTTTTTAGACAGTCGGCAGCAATTTATGTATAAGAGCTTTTTTTTTCTTCAAGGGTATAAAATAAAAGTTATAATAGATAATAGCGACGAACAGGTACGGCAAACTGGCATCATTTACGTAACGACGACGATTATGTATGTATGCATGTAACAATTAACTAGTTAAATATAATATGTACAATAGGTAAGATCCAATTCGGAATTGGTTTCATCATCATCATGAATCAATAATCAAGCCATGATTACGTATTTAATAAAAAGTACGCATTTTCTAAGAAATATGCTAGCCTAGCTTTCTTTGTATAATATGTAAATATGTATGTAGCCTTGGAGTGGAGGAAAGTCGTCGTTAAGGTGGAACGAACTCTATTCAACTATTTAATGAATGAATGGATGCTTTGATCATCCATAATAATAATAATAATAATAATCACGATGTGTTACATAACGTGCTGCACTATAGAGTTACTTACTCAATATATTTTACGTGTGTTGTATCGTGCCGATGACAATCTACGGATAAGTATGATATCTCATCGCATATAACGTTTATCTAATATACGTATGATCCCTAAAAATCTCTGAGAACATTCCTCCAAAAACGGTGTGGTGTTCTGGCAGGTGAATGTGATTCTGGTGGTGAAAGAAAACCTTCTTATCTCTCTCTCTTCTCTGGATAATATTTAGTGCACTGTGTTGTTGCTTTCAAACTGTATTGGATTTTGGGAAACATGAAAATCTGTCGTCTTTTTTCTTCTTTTTTTTCATCTTTACTTATGTACGTATGTGTATAAATGTATCGATCTTTGGTGGTGAGTGAGAGGATAAAAAAGTCTGTCTCGGCTTGCAACATTGTCAATTTGAAATGTCAGAAAGCATCCGGAGTCAAAAACTAGTTCATGCGAACGAACGAGGAGCAGGAGCAGGAGGACGCCGTCGACGAATGTGTATGCATGCCTAGAAAAAGAGATGGAATCTGGAACAAGACGACATAAATAATACTTTTTGCACCTTTCTTCCACACTGGGACAATATGTTACCGAAATAAAACTGTCATTCCTCTCTCGCCCAGTGGCGGATTCAAATTTAATGAATTGAGAGAATATTATACATATCGGGACAATTTCCTCCTCGAAAACGTTCCCCACATCTCCACCAAGTAAAAGTGAGTAGGTAAGGTAGGTATGTATATATGTATACGTAGACTGGCAGGCAGGCAGTAGGTATACATGCACGAGGAGAAAGTGGTTAGTGTGTGTGTGACATTTAGATAACTGACATGACAGTAATATGTCGAAATGACGGTGACATGAATTAGTAATGTGTTCTGCTTATAAAGACGAATTTCTCTTAAGATAATAACATTCGTTCGTTTCAATTCAATCCATCTTCATTACAACAACAACGTCGTCCTAACAGTAATGCAATAGCTGGATAAAGTCTGAAATATTAAATTAAACAGCATCTTCATTTTTGTGGTCGTAGTACGTAGCAAATAATGTTAAGATAGAAGATATTGTACTTATCTTATTTAGAAATACCTACATACATACGTCCGTATATACTGTACTTATGTAGCCTAAAGTTTAATTAGTTTTCTCTCCCCTCGCTTTTATAAGTAAGTATTTTCTTCTTTGTTTTGACGAATTAGTAACTTAATTGAAACGACTTTAATAAATAGATATCTATGATTGTCACGGTAGTTGATCATCAAATGAGCCCTTCGGGTCATGTATGTATGTACATATGAGTAGTCGCTATAGATTAAAAAGTCTGACTGACGTATGTACTTATTTACGTGTTGGTGGTTTGGTTGATTGCCTGTAGAGGATTGTATAGGTTGGTTGAGATAATGTTATCATTATACAAGTTATCATTATAAGTTACCATTCTACTAACAGATATATATAGCAAATTTGTGTACACCACAACGTGTACGAGTCCAATTAAACGAATCATTTCCAGAAGAGAAGGAGAACAATAAATTTCTCGAGAGATTTGTGTGCCTGTATTTTATTGTAGGTAAATATGATGCAGATGTATGTACCTACGTTTTTTGTATGTATCGATAGGTAAAAACTTATTTTATTACCTACATAATTCGCGTACGCATTTGGTGAAAGCTTAGATTTTTTTTCGCAGAGAGAGAAAATTAAGCCGGAATTCTTTTCCTTCTTCCTGGAAATGATGATGTTTTTTGACGTGGGGTTGACTGAATGGCTATTGGTTACGTAGTAATAATAGCAATAATACATTACCTCTCCTTAACACTACTACTTAGGATGCAGATATAAAGCTAGATGGGCTATATAAAGTTGTGACTCGTCGTAAAATCTCGTATTCTATGTGACTAGATATTGTGTAGTTAGCTATCTTATTACACACACAGGTATGTACTTATCTATCTATATGCGGGTATCAGATGGGTAGTTACATTACGGTAATAAATGTAACTTTGATTGTTTCACAAGCCTGCTTGTTGTATGTACATCGTCGTCGTGGTCGGTATCTTCTGCTGGTGCTGCTGCTCTTTTATGTACAACGCTTAAAAGTCATGCATCTTTCGTCGCCACATCGCATTTACGATACGTTGAATGTATGTATGAGTGGACTATGTTGGGGGGAGGAGACTCCTAATAAAGTGGTCGCAATAAACTTTTAGTAATGAAAATCACTGACGACGACGAGGACAACGAGAGGACGAGGAGGAGAGGACGACGACATAAAGACTGCTCTCAGAATTTCCGTCCGTCAGCATATAATAACTACATCTCTGTCGCGATCTCATTTTAATGGTACCTTTGACTTTGACATCGATCTCATTGGCGGGGCATGTAGGGTGGTGGATGTGTTGTCACTCAGAAATTGGAAGCCATCACGAAGGGAAAGTCTGCACAGAAAGAAAAGCAAGATGATGATGAAACTTGACTTTGAATACGGGGAAAATGAGCATATACATAAATTATTTCTAGTGAAAGTTAAATGAAGGCAAGAAGCAACAGCTTGAGATGTGTGGGGATGTGGTGCAGTGGCCGCGGAGAAAGCGTGAGGGGACAACGGTTGTTGGATGTGGTAGGCATCATCTTATGTAAACCCGGTCCTCTCCTACAGTGTTAATGTCCCCACGGCTTCCGCGGCCACTGTGGATGTGAGTCGAGAGCAGTGGCACAAACAGTGCCATGATGTTAATGAGATATTCAATCTCACTCTAATTCTACTACTCTGTGGCCTGGGAGCTACTGCTTTCTCCGCTTTATGCGTCACCACTACTGCTACATGTATACATATTTACTCCTATGTATGTATATTCTGATGGAGAGGAAATTGGGGAGAGAATGAAATGAAACCACCCTTTTTGATATTAGATTTACCAGTTATCTGCACAATTTATGAACCAATTTCACCCTAAGAAATGGTTCTTCTTGTGCCAAGTGTCTCTCTAGTGGCTCCTTCTAAGCAAATAAGTATCCATGAAATAAAAGCGTCATCATTTTAACCGGGATGAGTCTTTCATCAGACGTGGAATGTGCTCTTCCAGCAACAACCGCAGTATATCAAGTCGAGATATGATGCCGATTAGAAACACATATATCCACCACTCTTGCTTGTGTACACAATAAGTATGTGGGCGCAGAGAGTTTGCCTGCCTCCAGCCAACCACCACAACCTACAACAATTATGTAACCTTCGCCATTTAATCAGCCAAACTAAGCAATTCCGTACAGTCATTTTACTCTCGACGCACCAAGTTACTCGCTAACGAACTCAAAATAGAGGTCTCCCAAGGTATGTTTACAGACTTAGATCAAACTAGTGTCACAAACTAAATTAGGATGAAATTTGGGGGAGATATTTGCATAAAAAGAGGAGAAAGCGCGCAGTAACTTTGGAAGGTGTAAAATTTGTCGATTTTTGAGCTCACTTTCTCCTCTTCGGATGCAACCATCTCTGCCAAACGTGCCCATTTGGGGATCCTGTCTTTCGCAAATTTCAACCTAATTAAATTTGTGATCGATTGAGGCTAGTTTCCTCAAAATCTGATAGTATACGTTGGGAAACCTCCATTATAAGTGAGTGAGTGAAAGTAGAAGCTTTTCTAAAACAAAGCCTGCCTCCTCCTCCTCCGACGAAGGGACAGGCCTCGTGAGTGAGTGGAGCCAGCCAGCGAGTGTGTGTTATCTATGTCGTGTGTCGAAGTAGATGCAAGTGTCATCCATCATCAAGACTCATCAATCATTCCTAAAGGTTCCTCTTCGTCTTCTTCTAGTCTAAACTTTAGGCTCGAATTGTGTATTGATTCGTGTACGAAACTGTAAAGATTTTCTGGCGCGATGTTATTACTCTGATCTTCTACTCCTCCTCCTCCTCCTTCTTCTCTATGCATGCTCTTCGTCCGTACGTTTTGTGCCCTAAGCGTCTCACAGCCTTGACATTTTACATAAAAATCCGTTCGAAAAAAAACCAGTTGGGAGGAAGATACATACACACATAAAAAGTATGGATGGATGGGTTGTGGGGGAGCAGGCAAAACAATTTGTTCACGCTTTGTGTACTTCTCTAATGGCTCTTCAACTTTCCCCTTTCTGCTTTTTGTTCGGAACGTCACAGCCCATTTGTAAGCATGCATTATGAACGAAATTCTACTGCCTGCCTGTTATGGATCCTGACGGACGGTCCTACATGCTCTTAAGCTGCTGGCCAGATTAAAAGGCAGCAGTGAGAAGGCATTGTTGGGTGGGAGACATGTGTCCGGATGTCAAGGGTGCGTGTGCAAGTGCCAAGAAGCAGGAGATGAGTTTTTTTTTGTTGCCGTATTGTTCATTTGTCTGTTATGCTACTAATTCTCAGATTTCCGGGTTAAACTTACCGATTTCACGCCACTTCATTTCTGATGAAAATATTCGAGATGAAGAGAATACTACAGAAGAGTTTTTTGTTCTTTTTTTAAAGATAGGTTAGTAGTAGTAGAATACGCACAAAAATATACAATTTTTTTTCTCTCATTCTTCTAGACAGCAACTACTCCGGTTTGAGCCTGTCACCTGAAAAAAAGAAAACAATATTGACATCAATTCCTCCCCGTTTATTTTGTTCGGTGTGTTTTGTTCGGGACGCGTGTTGTTCAAAGTGTTTTTTGTTCAGGAAGAAGAAGAGAAATGAAATAAGGTATCATCATCATCATCATGACAATGACATGTTGTTCTACTTTTTGGATCCTGGATAAGTACTTGTTAAATAAGACGATGTAAAACTGGCAGGCAGGCCAGCGTGCATGCCTGCCAAGGTGATAGGAATAAGGATATTATTCAACGTACGTACCCATCAAGTTCTCAAGCGTTTTCTTCTCTCAATCCATCGGCTTCAGCCTATGCCACTGAACCACGGTTTGTCTCGGTTTCGTGATCATGTCTTGCCAATGTTTCGTTTCCGATGCTCCAGTTCCATTCTTCCCTGCGTTTCAGAAGCAGAAAGGAGAAAACATTATTATTTCGAAGTTCCTAAGAGGGGAGGTAGACGAGCGGATGCTCGCAGATTTTGGGCAAATTAGTGCCAATCGAGGACAAATTTAGTTAGGATGAAATTTGCGAAAGACGCGATCTCCCAATGGGCACGTTTGGCCGAGATATTTGCATCCGAAGAGGAAAAAAACGCACAGTAAATTTGGAAAGTGTGAAATTTGTCGAGTTTAAAGCGCGTTTTCTCCGTTTTGGATGCAAATATCTCTGCCAAACGTGACCATCTTATGCAAATTTCATAATAATGAAGTTTATTATCGGTTGACACTAGTTTACCCCAAATCTGAGAGCATCCGCTGAAACACCTCCATTGTACTTAAGAAGAAGAAGCAGAAGAAGAGTAAGCACGTAATCATTGAGTTTTTGTTGGAATCGATTTATCGATGAACAAGTTTATGCGTGTAGTTTAGTTTAGTGCTGGATGGTTTAGGCAGATGAAAGAAGGACACAATTTTCCTTTGCTTACCTGCCAACATAATCCGTCCAATGAGTTCGTTACGACCAATATTATCAAAATCCATTACTAAAACGTCCAAAGAACATTCTCTGATCTTCTCCCAGGGCACGTTGAAAGTGAAGGTTTCATTGAAAACTGGGCACACGGAGTCAATTAAAAATTCAATTAGACATTAATTGTTACATGTGTATGAACATGTGTGCTACTTATCGGCACACACGCAGTCTGTTTCCGACAGCCGGAATGATCAGTGGCCGCGGAGGCAGGGGGGACAGGGGGGCATTGACCCCCAGAAATTCAGTTAGATTGTATCTTATCTCGCAATGCTAATGCCCCCATGTCCCCCCACTTCCGCCGCCACTGGGAATAATGACTGCTCTATATTAACAACCAACCACGATCACTAAAGTGCTATATATGCTTTCCAATTTTAATGACAAAATTGATCACACGAATGACTTTGAAATGACTCGGGTAAGAAAAAACTGCATAAGCTCGGCACTTCTGGCGGTGGTCGTGGTGGTTGGAGTCATATTTAGAATCGTTGCTTAATGTATGAGGCCATTAAGTTATATAATGAGGCAATTCACAAACTCTTTGCCGTAAACACCGTAAAATCATCATGGTACAAATGGTTACATAATTTTCAAAAAATAATCCACAGAAAATCAGCTCACAACCTTTAAAGCCATCTCTTTTTAAGTATTTTGCACAAGTTTGTAACCTAATTTTCCAAAATTTATGTACACCGCCAAGGACTTTGTGAATGCCTCGATACACAATATCGCAAAAATTTACCTGGATTCAAAGTGCACTTGTAAACGGGTGTCTTTCGTTTCTCGATTCGTTTTTCACCAAACTGGAGCCAAACTTTGACGTACGGATCTGTATGGAAAATTCGTAGAAAAAAAATAAGTTTCTTTTTTTATCCCACTTTATACCTCCTACTTTCACCGAGAGAAAGTGGATGGAAAAGTAGCGGAAGAAAAAAAGAACCACAGGGAACAGGACCAATCAATCTCTTTCTAATAACAACAAGAAACCGGACGCACAAACACACATCGTCCAGCGCGATATGCGTCGTCGTTTTGCCACGTACCTGACTTCCCATTGATGTCTTTGGCTTTCAAACTCCTGGCCTTGAGGAGGGTGAGGGTGAGAGTGCTGTTGGTGGGATGGTAGCAGAGGGACACGAGGAGCTCGCCACACTTGTCCTTTGCTGGCGGCTTCAACGCCTTCCAAAATGTGGGCTTTTCCGAAAAATCCACCTGCACATTAAGTAATTTTTTGTCTCATTATTACACCGCACAAACACTTGACTAACACACTTATCGGGGTGGTGGTGGTGGTGGTCCACTTTTTGTCTACTTTTTCTTCTTATCCAAAATGTCTCATGTAACCAACTTTCTCTTCCGCCTCAAAGAAGAAGAAGAAACTCTAAAGACAAACAAGGCTCCACTTGGGCAAGTTTTTTTTCTCCTGTGAAATTCCTATTTTTCTTATCTTGACATGCCGTGGTCTCCTAAATCCACAGGCATTACTACGCTTCATGCCCGAATGCCATCTCAAAAGGTAAGACGAGAAGAAGGGAAACATTTTTTAAGTCTTGAGGACAGGCAGGAGGAATTTCTGTTAACACTTCCTCCACATTTCTCCGTCCACGGAGCTATGCCATGCCGTACGGCGATATATTTTTGCCTGCTTGACGTGCTTGCCGTGGGATGAGTTGATGACCAAAATGGTTCAACATAAAGAGAAAAAGTTTGTCGTGAGATTGTGCAACATTTGTTCGCGTCTTCTTTTTCCCAGTCTGATTCATTACGGAGGAAAGAAAGAGATCGAGTAGTTTGAGGACGGAAATATAACGAGGAAGCTTGGTGGATGTGACACATCGTGAAAATCTTTGTTTCAGACACGCTTCATAAGTTGTGTGACTGTATCAAATTATTCCACCCAAGTTTACATTGCTCATCTTCTCGTGACGTTTTATGTTCATCCCATTAAAGTCCTGAGCTAACAAGATCAAGCTCCTAATCTACTCCGACACCGCCACGAGCATATCTTTGGAGGTATATAGCGGCCCATATAATTTCCTCGCATGCACCCCCACGAGTACGAGGCGAGGGAGAAGAAGAAGAAGGAAACCTTGGACAACCAGATTGACTGCAAATTAGTCTCGGAATATCCTATGGGGCTCAAAGTCTGGAGGGAAGCAGGGGCCGCGGAAGGTGTGGGGACATCTGGGGACGTTAACATTGTAGGATAGGGGAGGGAGGGGTTTATATAAGATGGGCAGATAATGGGGATATTGTCCCTCTGTCCCCCAAGCTTCCGCGGCGACTGGATGTATCCATACACACATACATAAGCTGAAATTAGAGGGGAAAACAAATCAAGCTGCCGCCGCCGCCGCTGTCGCCGCGTGCATGCCAACAAAGAGTCAGGTCGGCCTGTCGTGATTCTTACTCATTCCTATTTTCCGTTATTTTGATGTCATAATAATAAGTGAAACTTGAACCATTGGGATTGACGAGACATGCTAATAACCGTCTACTTTCCATACATAGCTATGTACGTATTTAGCTCCCCCCGTCCCCGCGCCCGTCGTATACATACTTGATCTACTACTCGTTTTGCTTGTTGGATAACAGGGAAAAGTTGACAAGTAAGTTTCTGAAAAACTTGTTTCTCTCTCCAAACTTTTCCCCGCCTTGCCTTGGTGGACATCGTTTCAAATACAAATGACTTTTGTAGCCAGTGGCAGCAGCAGAAGCACGAGTGCTTTTTCTACAAAACGAGGAGTTTCATATTATTGTGTCGAGTCCCTCGTTGGAACTTTCTTCAAATTCTTCCAACCCAAAAGTGGGGGCTGATCTTTTGTACAAACACTTTTAACTCGTGAGTGAGCCTGCAGCACGAAACTTGCTTGTTATTTCCTCCCTACTACGATAAAGCAGGCAGAGAGAAGAGGACAAGCATAATAAGACCGTGAGTAGCTAAACTAAACTAAAACTCTCGCCTGTGTAATAACATTGCAACATTAGCACTTCTCATCCATCCAAATGCGCAAAGTTCCCGATTCCCAGTCTCATTTCCACTTTCTCCTTCCTCCTCTTTGGGAGAGAACGCCAGTGGCCGCGGAGGGGACATAGGGGGACAATGTCCCCACGGTTGTTCGATCATCTCCCTATCTTATATATACAAACCCATCCCTTCCCCCTCCTATCCTACAATATTAATGTCCCCCCAACACCTTCCTCCGCCGCCACTGTGAAAGAGAAGGAACGTATGTGGCGTATGTATTCGCGAATTCTGAAAGTGTGTCGACCACCGGATTTCGCTACTACTCAATCGTAAACTGTATTGACTACAAGAGGAAAGAAAAGAGAGGAAGGAAGCAGCAGCAGCAGAAGAAGAGAAAAAAGTGGATGGGGAATCGGATAAGAAAAAAAAAGATTATGCATTCCGAGATGTCCCCAGACACCAAGGATCGAAGAAGGAAGAAGGAACGCTCTGCTTCATTCCCTCTGTCACTTAACCGGAATAGAAAACTAGTCACAAGAAATGAAGGAGGATTACATATCGCTCCTATTAATGGCAAAATGGTGTGAGAAAAATGCAAAGCTTATTGCTCGATCCACTTTCACTCACTTTTCCCCGTCCATATCATCGCCCATGAATAAAACGTCTTCATCCGACAAAAAAAGTGTAATGTTACGTACATCAAACTCTCATACGGCGGGCTCTCGTGTTACTTTGTCCGTATCGGATTTGCATGTAAAGTAAAAAGACGGTAAAACTTGTTCGTTTCAATATTGTCCCGCTTTCTCCGATATTTTACTCCCTTCCAGGCAAACGTGTGTGGTACACAGGGGCCGCGGAGGCTGTGGGGATATTAACAGGGGAGGGACGGGTTTTTACAAGATGCGGAGATGATGCGGACATCGAATATCGGTGGGGACATTGTCCCCTCAAGCTTCCACGGCCACTGATCGGGCCTCCTCCATTTCAGTGGAAACAATACCCCCCAAAATAAGTTTGCCTAGTTATTTATTTACATATGTAGATAATGTATGCGAACACAGCAACAGTGTCCATACAACTTGTTTACCTCACTTGTTCGAAATTTATGCCAGGATCAGATTACGAATTGGGAATTAATTACTTGGAAAACTTGGTTTTAATCAGACCGATACGGATCTCGCATGTTATTATCGAAGACTTTGAACACATGCGGCGAATGGTCAAACCCGATAGAAAATGATACGTTCGAGCATTTTCAGCAAATAAAGGAAAACTTTTTCCTGATTCGACCAGGGAACGGTAACCAAACACCCAAAAACCAGGTATTTTAGTAAGCTGGGGCTTAGCGTAAATTGTAGAATGCTTAAAACAATGTTATGATCACGGCTTTCTCTTTACCCTTCACCGACCGACGACCGACCAACTGTTTTGTGTGCTGCCGTGTTTCTACTTTATTTTTTTTTTTACTTTTTTTTTTTTTTTTTACTTCGCTTTACTTTGATGCCGATCCAATTGAGAGATACTCGCTTGCTCGAGAACTACTCGAATACGTTACAATTTTGCCCATTTGAACTTTTCCTCTCTCTTTTTTTTTCTTTTCTCCCTAAAAAAAAGTTTTATTCTGCTTTTTTTCTCTCTCTTTCTCTATTTTTTTTATATATCTGCTGGACTAATCCTCTTGTTTCTGGTGGTCTGGTGCTGTTTCATATTAAAACTTGAAAATTTTTTGGAAGGCATAATAAAATTCCTGGCCCACTTGTTCCACTTCCCAAAAAGAGAACGAGCTAACCATGCAGTGACACTTAAACTTTTGGCTGGATAAATAAAGCGCAAAAAAATTTGTCATAATACGTGCACAAAAGGAAAATGTGTGGTGGATGGACGGACACGGGCCAGATATTCTTGGATTCTTGCCAGCCTATTTATTCCACCAAGTTCAGTTCAGTTCAGGTGAATCGTTCTGGTCGTCGTTGTCGTATAATGAGATGCGATAAATCGATTATGTATTCTGGTTTGGACGAATATTTTCTCTGTGTGTGTGGGCTGCTGTTCATTTCATTGGTAAAAGTTGGGTTTTGCGATTAGATAGATGCAAGAATGGGAATTTGTGGAAGATATATTTTAGTATTTAGCCATTCTAAATGGTTAAATATAATAAGTTATTCGGCAGCAGGCAGAATAATATAATCGGACTGCTTTCTCTCTCCGGGTCGTCGGTTTGGTTAGAGATTACACATTATGAAAACCACCACCCGACATAAAAAAAATACAGGGCAACACACTCTTCATGATAAAGATTTGTATGCTCACTGAATGCCACTAATGTGTACTCTGGAGCATTTGGGAAAGTTTGATTATGCTCCAAAAACCAGCGCCACCAGGAAAGTTTTATTTATTCCATTTTGCGCGTAACTTTCTCCCCACCACGACGACAAGGATGAAGGGAGATGAACATGTCTAATGTAATAATACGGTGGTGGTGGTGGTGGTATTGCATATTTGTATGTATGTGCCGTGGATTTATTCCTGCCGGACTAAATAAGTAGGTGGCTATGCATAGTATGTAGGAGTACATTTCTCTGTCTCTCTTCCTATTTGCAAACTAAGTACTTACTCGAAAAACGAGTAAAATTACGTATTCTTGTCCCAACTTAAAATGAATAGCTGTGTTATTCAGTCAGATAAAAGGCAAGTCGGTCCATTCTCAAAGTTTTATCTTTCATTCATTCAAATTCAAGCACACCATGGAGCATTCTCGTTTCTAAGTTGGAAAGAACATGGCATGGTCGTCGTCTCGTTTTCCATACTTTTTCCACTTTCACTTCTATGTACATACGGAGAACAGGAGAGAGAGAGAGAGTGAGTGAGTGAGAGAGATGAATATTATTATACGCTTCCGCCTGGGGCCAACTCAATATTAGAAAGTCAAACATGCATATGTGTACATTAAAAGAGACACAAAATCCAGAGAACCATCTTACTTTTACGCCAGAGTAAATGTTCCAATTTTATCTGTAGCTTTGCAATTCGCCCATTTTGTCAAACATTATGACACTCTGTCGGTAGTACTTTTCTCTGTCTGGGAACCGTCTACCTACCTAAATATCTGCGTACAGTGAAGCCTTGGGGACATTAACATTGTAGGATAGAGGGGAGGGACGGTTTATGAAAATCGAACAACCGTGGGGACATTGTCCCTCTGTCCTTCCGCGGCTACTGCCTATATTCATATGCATACATACATATGAAATCGCCGAATTTTGTACTGCTACGTGCATGTTTTCTCTCCTTCTTTTTACTGGATTTTCCTCCACCACTCCTATGTCCTCGTTATTATGTATTATTATTTCGCCCAGGCGGATCCTGGGATCCGTATTATATTTAGCGATGGAAGAAAGAACAATCCTACGTAGTCTGCATACGTATGATTATTCTCGAATCCCACATCCAAAATTCCGACTTTGGTGTAGGAGTTTCACACAATGTGATGCAGATTACTGACTTACTTACTCCTTGCCCACCACACCACCGTTAAACCAAGCATGGCGAATTATTTGTGCAAGTTCACGGCATAAAAGTTGTTCTTTAATGGTGAAAGTTTATTCATTTGTCTTCATACATGAGCAAAATAAATCTTAAAGGCCATCTGCTAAGAAATTTACGAGATAATTCTCGCAACCTTTCTCTTCCCACCTTGCGACGACGACGATCATCCACAACAGCTCGCAGCACGACCTCCAAACAAATTTGCATGAGGCAAACAGTCGCCGCGGAAGGGGCAGAGGGGGGACAATGTCCCCACGGTTGTTCGAGGTCGGCATCATCGGCCCATCTTATATAAACTATAAACCCGGCCCTCCCCTGTTAATATCCCCACACGGCTTCCGCGGCCACTGGACGAGAGAAAAGTTAGTTATGCATTGATTCTGATAAAAAATGGATGAAAGTTTTAGTTAAGGGGGAGAAATTTCTCTGCTAAATAATAATAAGTGCGGATTAAAAACACGTGTAATAAATGTTTGTCCTCGACCCGAATAAATTTCATTTGTGTGAAGTATGTAATTTCCAGTGGAGAAAAATAAAATAAGGGATGCCTGAGTACAGCACGAGGCATAATTTTCCCGTAATTTGACCCAATCCACATAATGTAGCTGCGTTATTCTTAATTGAAGGCGTGGTTGGTTGGTTCATGAAGGGTGGAAAATGTTATCATAATTATCACAACTTAGTGAATCGTCCCGGATATTTTTCTAATGTGATTTGACCCACCGTTTTCAGCAGCACGTCGGGTTTATTTCATTATTTTATTACTCCTTTATTTGTTCACGTCCGTCATTACGGGGTTGTGAAAGGAGCGTGGTGAAAGGTTATGTTTGTGCTAAAAATTTCACAACCTCCTCGCACAAAGTATTGTCACATTTGTCACATAAAATATGACTGGATGCTCCACGGAAAATTAAACTTTGCGAAGGTTTTGAGAGGTAATCTGAATTATTTCACGAGCTAATTGTATTACAACGTTTGATTAATTGAATTGGGGGACCAACCAACGTCAGAGTTAAATACGGAGTGGATGGAGCTGCCGTTTTTCCATATGCAAATGAATAGCTTTCTCTCTTTCCTTTCTCTCTCCCGGATTGTTATAAAGGGACTGAACGACGATCATGCCATTTCCTAAGCTGGCAGGCAGGCAGGCTGGCACACATTCAAGGCAGAATTTGTAACCAAATGCAATGCAGTGTTGATTAATTCTGATTAGATTTCCCAACGATTTATCTTTGCTTATAAGCATTATTGCGTAAACTTATCGCAAATATGCTATAACCCATTTCACTCCTGTTGGGCCCGAGTTTCTGCCGCGGTCCAATACTAATCTTATGGGCACGTGGTTTTCTCGGGTGGAAATCTCCACCAGTCCCCATTACTTATGAAATTTCGCTTTGGTAGTAAATAGTAGTGGCAAAATTGAATGTGTCGTCGGTAGACGAGCAGCCAGCCTCGCCGTAATTCAATTCTGGAGCAAACTTCATTGCCCGACTATGTAAGATCAGACCAGGGAGAGAAAGCACAACGCTGGAGAAAACTCTCGAGAAATAAAAGGAAGGGAATCGAAATGGAATTTTGTGTTGGGTGGTTGTCATTCGTTCGGAGGGAATGCAATGTGTCACAAGTCGAGCACATGATATCACATGAGATTCGAAATCTTATCTTATTCCAATTTCACCGTCTTTCAAAGACTTGAAAGGATTAGGGTTATGTGATGAACAACTTCGCGAAGAGTGTGCTTATGCTCTCGCTCGTTCGCTCTCTGTGACGCAGGAAAAGTGGCCAATTCTCTGGGCAAACCAATTTTGTGTGAGCCCGATGTGTTTGTGTATATGTTTGTAAAATGTTTTGTTGCCATTGTACCCGTAGTTCGTATCTGGGCAGGAGAGAGACACGTAGCAACGAACAGGGGCCGCGGAAGGGGTAGTGGGGACATTAACAGGGGAGGGGAAGGGACGGGTTTATATAAGATGATAAGGACATCGAACAACCGTGGGGACATTGTTCCGCGGCCACTGGGAACGAATGTATATATGTTAATACGTAGGTAGTAAATACGTAATACGGATAATGTCTGGGAGGCCCTTTTTCCCCGTATCTGCATACAGACGAGTAGACAAAGGGCGTAATAACTATCACAGGAATGAATTGAATGCACAACAAGTTTGGTGGAGAGGAGGAGAGCAACAATAACGGGAAAGAAATAATGCGTACGATACGACCACGACGATGGAGAGAGGGGAAAGAAGAATTTACCAATTTGTGAGATTAAAAAAACATCGGCGGACCAACCACCACATGGAAAATTAGGCCTGCCCCTCGGGTGTATTTCACCAGTTGTGCATACACTAAACGGATTAAATTTTCTGCCTACCTGACACAGTGGAAGGAATATTTCCCCAATCGAGTCATCTCGAGAAAAGCGGTCATAGTCGAACACATGGAGATGTAAAACTCGGCTTTGAAGTTTTTGGATGGGAAAACCTGCAAAGAACAAATAATGTACATCCATCCATCCATCCGGCTCTCTATTTACACCAATTTATAACAGAATATAAGTAATAATGCCACCGTGGGTTTGTGGATCAACACGCTTTTCACCACAGTGGCCACAGTTGGTGGGTTTGTTTCCTATGTGTAAATTGACATATAAATGTAAACCAATTTGTTGCAGGGAATATTCCACCACACAATAATCAAGAAACAAACCAACCAACCAACCACATTTTGACATGAAGCCACGACCAGCAAAGTACCACCACCAGCACCACCACAGAGACAGACAACAAGGACGAGGAGAAAGGAGCGGAATATTATTATGTACTTATTATTACGCCTGATCGAATGGGATGCATGTAATGATGAACCATTTCGTCTTGTCTCGGTGGTGGTGGTGAAAGCAGTGGCCGCGGAAGCGTGGGTAGGGACAGAGGGACAATGTCCTCAACGGTTGTTCGCATTATCTTATATAACCCCATCCCTCCCCCATCCTTCAACGCTAATGTTCCCACAGCTTCCGCGGCCACTGGGTGAAAGTGCTGGTGAAAGTAGTCGTTCATTAGAATTCACCCCGCACAGTGGAATTAAACTCGCTTTGTGACTGAATGTGACTGGCTCCTGTCAGCGATAAAAGGGTTGACGAGGAGGCTTCTCTGTATGCATATGAACAAGACTACGACTCATCTCTCTCTCTTGGTCCACTTCAACTTTGTCAACAAGTTTATTATTGTATTATCATCGTCATCCTCATCAGTGAGGGTGCACCCTGATGGAAAATTACCTTCAAAGTATAGAGTCTCATTCCACTTTGGATTTAAGGTTCGTCTCTTGATCTTGGTTTCCAACCGATGCTTTTTGTCTGGAAGCAGTGTCACTCGCACGTAAGGGTCGGATGTTCCCGATATATCTTTCGCTGGAAGATCTTTTCCCTGTGGGGAGAAACAGAACGAGAAAAACATGACATTGAGAAACCTGGATGGAACTCGTGGAGGCACAAATTTTGGGGGAACAGGATGTGCGTGGGTAGGTAGTTAAGTAGTTAAGTAGTTAGTTATATATTTACCAACACGAGAAACTCTCTTTCCTTCTCCACTCAAGTAAATTAACCAATTGTCAAAGTTAAGTCGTTTCTGGACTGAAAGTTGGTCGCATTTCATTCGAGAAGAGAAAATTTGTGTCAATGATATTCATTACGATTGCTTGCTACTACTTATTTATTGTTGTTGTGCTGCTACTACTGCCACCAAGTAAACGGTAGCAGCTTTCTTTGAACTTTCTCTTTGAATTTGAACGATTTCGATTAGTAACAATGAAAGCAATTTCTTCATTTCTCTAGCACAATCGAAAAGATCAAACTCATAATATTTCCAGAGAGAAGAAAGGCCTGGATTGTAATCCGGACAACCTGCTTGCTACTTGTTGTGAACTAGCGTAACACAACGGGCCTGCACGATACGTTGGATAGAGGACATTTTATTCAGTGGCCGCGGAAGCTTGAGGGGACAGAGGGACAATGTCGGCATCATCTCCCCATCTTATATAAACCCGGCCCTCCCTCCCCTATCCCAGAATCTTAACGTCCCCACATGTCCCCACGGCTTCTTCCGCGGCCACTGATTTTATTCCGTAAGAGAAGAAAGTGGTGTGTATGGAATGGATGGAGTTTGAGAAGCAATTGTCTCGGGAATTGAGGAGAGAATGAAGGAATATTACGGCAGCAGCAGCAGCAGCCGCGTCTCGGGCGATTTGCTGCTGCTCCCTTCACAATAAATATGCTTTATCCTCTCTCTCTTTCCTTCCTTCTTTCCTTCCTTTTCCTCGTCGAGATAAAGCGCCACGGGTCGTGGGCATGACAAAAGGAGGAGGAAAATATGTCTGTGAGGAATTCTTACCTGAATTATTTTCAAGATAAGTGTTGTGCTCTCAAAGTCGTACTCGAGACTAAAGTTGATTTGGCCTACAGAGTCAGCCGCCTCCGAGTTATCGATGTACATATCCACCAAAGATATTGATCGGTTTTGCCAGAACGCCATCTGAAAAAAAGAAATAAATAAATGTTGTCATACGCAAAAATAAATAAATAAATGTGAGGTAGACAGTGGCCGCGGAAACTGTGGGGACATTAACATTGTAGGATAGGGGAGGGCGGGGTTTCTATAAGATGGGGAGGTGATACGGACATCGAATAACCGTGAGGACATTATTCCGCGGCCACTGAATGTGAGGCCTGTGCACTTTTTTTAAGGGAATTAAATGAGCTGTACGTACCGCGGGGTGTTGGTCGGACTTGACACCTCCGAGGGTCTTGTTCTGCACGGGAGGGGTTTTCGACTCTGGGGTCGCATTTCCAGTGGAACTTCCAGGACTTCCAGCGGGCCCTTTGCTCGTACCAGCCGTCCTGTATCAGCATCATGCATAATTTAGAAAATTCAGTGAGCCCACGGCACGTAAAGCAACGTTTCTCTCACCCCTCGGAGAAGAGGAGGTGGGAGAAAGTGGATAAGTAAATACGAACGAACGGAATAAAAAACGAAAGGAAAAAATAACACTTTGCGGCATTAAGAAACACCGTTGTTACGATATATTGCGAGCTCATTCATGCGTGCTTGTTATTGTGACACGTCAACCAAGGCTGAGCGAGCTAGATAGGAACGAGGGCGTTTTAATAATAGTTTTCAAAATGCTGGTTGGGCAATGCTTTTGGAAAAGAATTTTAATAAAGTTGGAACATATTTGGCATGTTTTGTGGGTCGATCTGTCAAAAACTGAGTTCGGAGTGAATGCTCAAAGTATAAATCTGGAAGGAAAAAATGTATGATTTTCAAATTAGGAATCGATGTTTCTCAGGGTTTTTGTAGCAATGGAGTCAATCCGTGGGGCAGACTTGTCTCAGGTCTTGCGCTTAAAGGTCATACGACCATAAGTCCATTGTTAAAAACTGTATTGTTAAAAAGTGACAAAATAGCTCAGTCTAAACCCTCGACAATTATTTGCCCAGATATTTGAAAACTAAAGTCAAGGTAAAAAAAATTGGTAGAAAGCACGAAATAAAATCGTTATTTTTAAAAATTTATAAAATTTTTTCAGTTTTTTCGAGGTGTCATTCTCAAATTCACCGAAAACCCAGTTTTTAACGAATCTACCTCTAAAACATCACAACTTTCTCTTCTTAAAATGACCACAATTTGGTCCAAAACACCTCCCAACCCACTTTTCCCAAACCATTACTAAAATCCTCCTCCCTACATTTGAAGAACTCCAAGTTGTCCGTGTCACAAAAAAATCCAGACAACAAAAAGAGTAAGTAACAGTACTCAAAAATTAGAGGAACAATTACAAGGCGAGAGTAGTATTCGTGTATGTAAGTAGAGAGACAGTTTGGTTAGTCAGTGTTGCGCATATACATAAACAGAGATAGTAGTAGCATAATAGTAATAATAAGTAGTAAATACGCTAACAATATGTTATTACACATTATGCTAAGTAAGTAAGTGTTGACTGCTGCGATTATTACGAGTTAGTGACTATGTAAGTATGTACTTAGTAAATACACTAATATCTATGCAGTGACTAACTAACTATGTGAGTATAAGTTATTTAGCAACTCAGTTTCAACCTACAAATGTCCATGTTAATGTGTTAATGTGTGTGATAAGTAGTAAATACGTACATATTTAATTACATATTCCGCGTAGCTACATACATATATCATTACGTGAAGCGGCGGCGCACAACAATCGGAACAACAACAGTGCAAAATAACTACAAAAGACGCATACACTTATCAACTCGAATGTTATCATTGTTACGCTTATCATTAATTATTGTGGTAGAGTTATGTTAATCAAGACTACGATTGCATAGTGGGGGCAGAACTATCGAGGACGGTGGGTGGGTGGTGGGTGGTGATGGTTAGTTGATTACGTATTAATTTCAGGTAGCCAAGACCAAGAATAAGTGAAGAAGAAGAAGAACAAACAAGTATTTTTTACTCGAGGTGCGGAAGGAACTACAAGTAATTTTTTTTCTACCAGAGTCCTCGCTATTTTACTTGAGCAGACTTTTTTTCTAATTGTGGGTGGAGCAGCAGAGAGCGAATTGGTGAGAAGAAGAAGAAGAAATATAAAGGTTTACCTAATGGACGAGAGTAGAGACATCATTTCTTTCTAAAAGGGGAGGAGGAGGGGTGGGGAAGAAGAAGAAGAAGTTAATGTCGTGGAGCGGGGGTTAGGTCGCTGCGACTCTTTTTTTGCCTGGACATGTGTTTGTGTGATGGTTTGGTGAGCGTCGGAGGAGGAGAAAGCAATGCGAACAGAAAAAAGAACAATGGACATTAACCACAAGAAGAGAGAGAAAGTCAATCACAAGTACATTTACACGTCGAGAATGTAGAGGACATTTCATGATATATTATGTCCTCGAGAGACGGCATGTCCTTAAAATATTTAAAGCCCACCTGCCCTCCCTCCCTAAATACGACGACAGGCCTTTATTATAACGGGTGTATTGTACAATATACATTCCAAAATTCCAATCCAACATCATCTGTCTGCCTCATATCAGAAACCTATTGATTTCCACTTTCATCAAACAAACCCATCAGTCCCACATTTATCCACTCAACCTCCCATTGTTCCACCGTCATCGTATTCGTCGTCGTCGTCGTTGTCCTGTGTCTCATGAAAACCCACTTTTACAAACAATCCTCTCTCTCTCTCCTCTTCAAAGACTTGTGAAAAGTGGAAGCTTTTCATGAAACCCTTGTGTTTAGTTGTCTTTTAATTATCTGCGGTTTTGCTGCCTGGTTGTATTACGTACGTACGTAATACAAATGTCAGTTCAATCAGAGGCCTCTCTAACTCCGTAGATAATGGATGGATAGACAGATTTGAATTTTGACGACCTCTGCTCTATTACATCTTGGTGGTCTATTGTTCTACCGAAAAGCGAGTTTTCCCATGTAGGTTCATCATATCGTTTATTTAAACCTCATTACGAAGGACGCCATTATTCCGTTCCACTCCCAGTTTCCAAACATAATTTCCCTACTTGGTTGTCCTACCTTCTGAAAGGCGGACCTGTCCCAGCGGAAAGTTAAGAAACTGTGGGTAGGAAATTGTTAAAATTAAATGAGCAGCAAGGAGAAAGGGTTGAGGTTGGAAGTCTTGATTCGTAAATATTAATAGGTTGCTGCATAAACTTTTATTGAGCTTTTTGGCACTTTTTGGCCCTAAACCACGCGGCTTGAACTTGTACTTCAAATACCGACGACGTGCCTTTATGCCCAACATCTCGGAGAAGGTGGGTGGGTCGGGGAGTGAGTGACTTGCCGAGATGCGAATTTATGGGTGAGTGGTCATCATCCTACAGCCAGCCTCGTTCCATAACGGTCATTACTGCGCTTTGAGTGCGAGAGTTGAGCAATTACAGGTCGTTCTGAGAGGAACTCTGCTGCTTGATGAGGAGAGAGCAAAAGGTTGACATTCCTTTGTTCTTGAATAGCTGCATGGACATCGTTATATTCCCAGTGTATAGGGAAAGAAGTCCATTATTTAAATTCATGGTGCTCGCAATAAAACCGTCCACACTAAGGGGCGGAGCGGATGATAACTTGACACACTCCACCCGGTCCGAAGTCCCCGGAGGACGAGAAGTAGGAGGAGGAAGAAGTAAAGAGAGAGAGAGAGAGGTTAATCTAATTTTATTCTTCGAAACTCACCCCACAACCCAGAGGAGAGTGGGTCATGAGCAGTGGTCGCGGAAGCGTGGGGACAGAGGGACAATGGCCCCACGGTTATTCGATGTCCCCATCATCTCCCCAATGATAATGTTCCTCATGTCCCCACACCTTCCGCGGCCACTGGTCTTAAGAAGATAGCATGACGTAGCTGCCTCGAGAAGAATCTCTCAGTTCTGGAAATAAGCTTCTGTTCGTAATTAGTCGACAGGGAGCGGCAGTAAATTTTGAGTGCTGGGTCTCTTGACAATAAAAGAGCAAATGATTTTTCCGGTTCCTCTACAGCTCTTAAGATGAATTTAAAATTCTATTTCACTACTAATTTTCCCCAGAAAACATTTCCGTCAGAGGCATTCCAATTTGTGAGGCGGATGAGAAGCAAGAGCAGGCGGACTTCATAATACAACAACCAACAACCATCTCTTCTTCTTCTCTGTACGAGTAAGCATTTTTTGAAGTCAACAAGCCATTTCGGGCGATAGAATTTACTTCACTAACTAACTCGAGTTCTCAAGTGCTCTTGGAATCCATCTCATTCCACTTGCCATCCTCATTTGTCCCCACTTAACTGCCAGATTCCGAACGGGATGGGAATGTAGTGGTGCGTTACTACCTGCTCCATCCAAGTCGTTCGCCGCCGCTGCTGCCGGAAGGAAGGAAAGAAAGCACCAACGACCAAACTGCCATCCTCTCAATTCCTCTCTCAATTCCTCCGAAAAAGAAAGTAGGAAAACGACGATGAGCTGCATTTTTTATTAAATAAGTTACAGAAATGTGATTGAAAGTTTTATTGATTGGAGAGAGAAATTGTGTCGCGTCGGTTGGTTGGCAAAACTTTGAGAATCCATTTTCCACAGAAAATGGAATGGCACGGTGCCCAAGAAGGTTTCTGCGGTTGTCAATTTGGTGCTGGATACGGGGGGAAAGGAAGAAAGAAAGTGACACTTGCACTTACTTTCACCCACCTGGCTGGCTGACTCGCCGGGTTCTTCTGGAATTGAATAATTTTATGCAGAGAAAGAGAAAGGAGCAACGTAACCAACCACGTACGTTCTTCGGGGAGAAGAAGAAGACCTATGCCAAGGAAATAACGAGCTATGAAGAAGGTGCTGGCTGGGGAAAGTGCTGAGCCATCCGCCAGGACCACCACCACCACCAAGAAGAGAAAGGAGGCACACATTAGTCGACGGCATTCATCCTGCTCACGTTGCTTGGTTGCTTCTGCTACCTGCCTCTGCCTCAATGGGATGAGCAGTTGTATTAATTTGGACTGGGAGGAAACAGAGAAAGTTCGCAGGCATGTGGCTCAGCATACTAATTCTAATTCTGGAGCGGAGACAAAAGCAGAGAGGACGACGAGGGAATGAGAGAGGATGATGATGCAGGCAGGCATGGTATTTGGTACATAACTGGGCACGGTCTCTCCCCCCGTGGGTCCTGTGCTGCTGGCAAATGGGTTATTGCTAAATGAGACACACTGCCAGATACCTCGGAAGTTTCGTGGATTTATTCGAGATGGGACGGCCCGTGCGAGATGCATTCAATAATTGGAGACTCTCATGAATACGAGGCGATGATGGTTGTTGCCTGGCAGATCAGCCCATAAACAAAGGAGAGAGGAAGACGCGAGCAAGTTGAGCATTATTGTTATTGTTCTTCTCTCTCCTCCTCTCTAATGGAATGCGGGGGCACCAAACCAGCACCAAACGGATGGCCAAGACCCACAGCTAGCCAGCCGACCGACCGACCAGTGTGTGGACCTCCGTTGTTTCAGCAGGGTTACATACTCTGCAGAATTTTATCCCGTATATAATGGCTATTGTACGCAGAATCAGGCAAGAGGAGCAGGCCAGGCAGGCGACGTAAAAACGCCAAGTGGGGCAACTACTGTTTCTGGTTCTTCTGGTGGCAATGGTGGCCGTGGTGGTGGTGGCATCCATCCTTTCTCTCATTTGCTTTCCCTTGCCTGGTCTGCTTCGTTTGGGCCTTTCACTTCTTTCTTTGGTGGTGGAGGTTCTACTTGCCGTGGTGGTGGTGGTGGTGTAGGAATGAAATGATGGTGATGGGGCTCGCCTAGAAATTTTCTTAGTTCGAGCTGGTTTTGATATGCCCAAAACTCTTTCTCTCTCTCCGCCGTTATCTACCTTCCTTCTTTGACTTTCTCATTTACTCTAATTTGGGACCATTCACAGTAGTCACCGTCCGACCGCACAACCCGACCAACGTACTTCTTTGTTGTTATCTAGGCTGGGCAACCGACTAGAGCTCGACCTCACTTCTCCCACCCACAACCATTCCACCACCACCACCACCACCCCATTGCTGGATGGAGGAGAAAGCATTCTCTCAATTATCACGCGCTCCTTATAGCGAGCCTGGTCTCGTTCCCCTCTTCACTTTTCCTACGTCCCCTTTTCACATTATTCCCTCTGCATCATCATCATCTGGGAGTGCAAACTTTGCCAAGTTCAACTCCGCCAAGATGAGCGAGTTGCCAAGTGAAATTTAAACGTGGGTCTCAAATCTCAAACCAATGATTATTTCCTGATGGTCAATCCCACCTTGGAGACTGCCTGCATACCGCATCCTCCCAACACACACGCCATTAGTTTCTTTCCCATCCACCCACCCATCCGTCCGTTTATCCGTCCGGCGGTATTCTTTGTGTTGGCATGATTTCATCAAATGATCCCCGAAAAAAACTCCACTTTTCTCCCCAGCCCATCATCTTTTTCCTTTTCCCTTTGTCGCAAAATCTCACTCCTCTTCTGGCCAGAGAAAGTATGAATCTAATAACCGCATGGGAAAAAAAGCGTATGAATTGAAAATCGGGGCGAAGAAGAAGACTCTCTCTACTCCACTTTAAGTAGGAGATTCTTCTCGTGTGGAAGGAGAGCTGAAGTCGGGAAGGAATCGGGGATTGAAGGATGATGGCATGAAAATGAAACATTGGGCGAGGTGGAGTCCGTATAATCTGTGAGATGAAGCCAGAGAAGTGGTAGTGGAGAGAGAGAGGATGGATGATAAAGCGACTCTTCACAATACAGGACAATGAATGGTGGTGAAATGGAGTCAGGGATCAAATTGATCCTTTCTCCGCCTGAATTCTATTCTATGGACTTTGTATGATTTGTGCCATTTCCTGTAACTGGCAGCAGCAGCAGCCGTGGCAGCCGCGTCGGGGTAAATGGAGCAACGTGAAGGGACCGTAATTCCTCAGGGGACGAGTACATTAAAGAATCAGGAGAGACAGGCTGAAGGGAGACGGAGTTTGCTTGCACCCAATTCCGCGACCATCACGGTGACGATCTTGCCATGGCTTGAAACAACTCGACAAAACAACAAATGCATTGTGCAACATCATTACTTTCTCCCGAGTGAAAGTGAAGTACTGTGATGCCCCAAAACCTATTGGATCCCCACATCCGTCGACTCCTGCTTTGTCTCTTTCTCTCAAAGAGAGTAACTCGTAACTGACTCTGGTAAAGAAGAAAAGTCAGAAATTTGACTGAGGCTGAGATGTGTAGCGGATAATAAAAAGAGAAAGAGAGAGAGCGGGGACAATAAGAGCGCTGGCTGGGGAAAACAAGAACAAGGGAACACCGATATAGCGGAAATTGGAATGAGACAATGGGACACGGGGTCCCACAAGAGGTACACAACAACAACCACAACCACTACTGCTTTTTAGATACACACGAACATCTACTAAATACGAACGACATCGAACACTTATACGTAAAAATACATCATTATATAGCAGCCCAAAAACAACAATCAATCTACACGGAGAGAAAAATAGAGTACAAAAACACACTGAAGAAGAGGACACACGAATGAAGAACGTTACACACAACTAAACGTTATTAAGTATTATTATGGACACATACACAATAACGATCTATGAAATATATAACAACGTTCACATAAAACACAGAACAGTTCTTACTCCAACTGGGCCCTACGTATGTGTATGCCCACAAATCGATCCCGTCAAATGCAGCAGAATGAATATAAATCACACATTGATGTTTTAAAACTCTGTGATTTTTACCAAAGATTTATGTCTTCTCGTTGTTAGAGGAAAAAATCACAGAGGATGGAAGATGATGATGATAAGTAAAGTAATACATTTTTATATTTGGGCAAGACCGCAATTTCCTCCGTTTTGGGTGGGTGGACTGGTTAATAAAATATATACTCTTTGCAACTATGTACATTTGTAGGTACTTGGGCTAAAAAGTTACCAACCAAGTTTTTTGGAGTGGAAATAGCACGATGACGACGACGACGACGACGTCGTGACGCGTCTCTTTCCACCACCGCAAAATCTGGTTAGAATGTACACCATGCAGTCACGGAAGAGCAGATGTCTTCCAGCTTTTTTTTCCTCTTTTGGAGGAAGTAAACTACGATACCACACGACACACGAGGACCAAAGGGGTTTTTCCCCCAATTACAGTTTTACACAGTGCTACCAAGAGAAGAACAAAGAGAAAGCACTAAATATATCTACAATAATGGGATACGTACGTAGGCCATATAAATGCACATAATATGTCACACCACCATGTAGGAGAAAGCAGTGGCCGCGGAAGGGTGAGGGGACAGCAGGACAATGTCCCCGTCATCTCCCCATCTTATATAAACCCCCCCCCTATCCTACAATATTAATGTCCCCACAGCTTCCGCGGCCACTGGTAGAAAGATAGATAGAGAGTTCAGTCAGACATGGTTTTATATACGTAGATATGTACACAAGTCTAAAGCTACGTGTCGCCTCGTGGTTTGGTTAGTATATCTCTCTGGCTGGTTGGTTGTTTAGTTCGTTGGCAAAATTGATGTTCGTCTTGACAAAGATTTTCATGGTGATGAGGAGTGAAAGGTTGACCAAAATGTTGACATAAACTCTACACGACGACTCTCTCTCCTCTCTTTGAAGTTTATTATATTCATATGTGAAAGACGAGAACAACAAGCTGTTAACTCGGTGTCACACAATTTCTCTCTCTCTCTCCCTCTCTGCATGGAGGCAAACCATGCATCATCATCCATCCCAAACCACACCACACAGATTGTGAACTCGTAATAAAACTGTATTCCTTGCACAGTTTGATAAATAAATTCTGCCCGTCCGCCCGCCCGCCCGGTTGGCATTTATAGTTACGTAAGCCTCATTATTCGTAGAAAGACGACCTACCAAAGGATTTAGCGGGGTAAGAATCACATCAGTGCCAAATGCATGTGACTTTTCCCCTCCCTGCAAACGACGACATTTTATTACGGCTAATGTCCCAGAATGAGTTTATCTCTAGACAATTGATGTGACACGATTATGATGGGATGCATCAGGCCTGAATATGGTACCATACGATCCTGCTACTTATATGCAATTTATTCATAAGACCATTTCATTTATGTGGGGGCATGATTCTCCTCTCCGAGAGATGTTATTTGCTCAATCCAAATATCCGGAGTGTCAATATCGTGCCAAATCTATTGCAAATGGTATTAATGCCGCACCTCATGTGGTGCTTGGTCTATTTCTGTCCTGCTGCTGACGAGGAAATGCTCACAGGCTCACAGGTAATCCTCTTTGTTAATCGCTTTACCTTGACCGTCGCCCCGTGAATGGTTCTCCTGCACATGAATGAGCACACGTCTATCTCGTTTCCCTCATCATCTCTGGCGTCTCTTGATTGATCTATTATGCTCCCAAACCACCACCACCAACATCCATCCCATTCAGCGAATGGCAGCTTATTACGAACATCCCCCGATAAAATCCATGTTTACCAGTTCAGATCAAATCTAGCAAATTCTCGCCGCTTGAATTATCACGAAATTATGCTTTCATTCACTCTCCGCCTGACTGCGTGGAGGGAGCGATGGATGGATGGATGGATGGCTACATACATGTTTTTATTTCAACTTCCACCCCAGTGAACACTAATTTGAGCAGTTGTGCCAAAGCTAATTCATTATTTGCCTTCACTACGTGAAGAAGGTGAAGTGAGCAATGAAAGTGACATTCGTGTTGGTGGTGGGTGAGATGAGATGAGATGAGATCTCGCTGGGAGAGAGAAAGTGGAAAAAGACGACAGACAAGGTCTCTCTCCTCCTCGTCGTCGTAAACTTTTGACAAGTCTCATGAAACTTGGACGGAGAAGGTGATCTGACAGAGTGGGTGCGAGACGGAAAACCTGTCCTGTCCTGTGGCACTCAATTAAACTCTTGCTCACCAGCAACACTTTTTTTTACAACACTCGACGGCGACACAATCTCGAGGAGTGTGTCACCTTGTTTTAGAAAACATTTCTCCCGTGACCCTTGCTAATTGAGAGATCAAGGTGAAGTAGGTAACGTAAGCAAGTTTGTATGAATGGGGTATAATCCGAAGGGAGGCAGATGCAGGCTGAATAATTCATCTTGGTCGAATCCCATATATACCCACCCAATGAATCATTTGGTATAATGAATTCGTTCAAGATCACTTGGAGATGGCACTCCAAATTTGCACAAGCCGAGGAGTGGATTTGACTGGAAATGTGAGTGAGTGAGTGGATTGTACGCTCAACTTACTTTCCTAATGAAAGGACAAAGCGAGTGAGTGAGTAATTAGACCATGATCGCTACTACTACATTGTAATACGTACTGCTACATGTATGATGATGATGATGTGATGCTGTGTGGATAAATTTTAGACGCGGCGATACATTTATTTTCATTTCTCGAGAGAGAGAGAGAGTGAGAGAATCGCTTTTCACACCGTGCTGCATCCTCACTATGAGAATTCTGAGAGAGAGAGAACAGAGAACAGAGAACAGAACAGAACAGAGCCCTGAATTGCTTTTAGACTTGGTTGCCTCGTAATTTGTTTTTGTAACGTAGTTCTTCTCGTATTATACGTAGATTTTGTGCCCTCTCTCTCTCTCACTCTCTTTATCTGCGAGAGGAGAGGGAGGGAGGGAGGGAGATGACGATACTGCGACTCGGGCTAGTGTGTATTGCCGCACCCTAACTGTATGGGTACACACACACCCTACAATTTGTACGTAGCAATTGGGCAACTTTTCTTGTCTCACGCGGCGAGGAAGTAATTTGCAGAATGATAGAGTGGAAGAATGCTTACATGCTTTGAGAAAGGAATTTGGAGAGGGCAAGCTTTGATAAACTGTGACTTTTAAGGCCTCCAAACATGACGATGGCCGTGGTGGTGATGATGATGGTACGGTCACGGGTTGGATTTTCCTCACACTCACAAACAAAGACGACAACGACGACTCGCTCAA